TGAAGAATAAGTTATACAAATACTGTCTAGTTGTTATACTGTATAAGTTATACTGTCTAGAAATACAAATTCTGTTTGGCACCTTCAATTCTTAGAATTAGTAAATTTAATATTTTATTTTCATTAAATCTGGCAGAAAAGAGTATACAATATACATATAATATATATATGTAATGTTAGGATCCTGCCGATTCTAAAGAATGTAAGAGAAACTCAAATCAACCATTATATTAAGTCATACAATGTTTTTGTTCAATAGATATCTCTCTGCAATGGCATACAGTCTTGGTGTCTGTCAGAGACAAACGTAGATACTTCAATTCCAGAACTTCTGAGAGATTCAAAACCTTGTTGATGCCAAAGCAACTCCATCTGTGCAGAGCTTCCGTTAACGCTGCTTGCCTGTGAGCAGGTCAAAGACCACCATTTCTGTTATACAGAAACGACTGAGTCCGTTATTTAATTGAAAGTTTTTAAAACATGTTTTGTTACTTGGTGACTTCTGTTTATTGTTAATCGATTCTCACTTGCATCTTGAATCTGTATCCCATAGAATATCATTTCCCTGCTTCTTAAATATTTCTTGAATTGCCAACCCCCTGCTTTTTTAGTTTCCAAAACCTTTTTCGCTTTTGTATAAAATATTGAAGTAGTTTACATTTGTTTAAATGGTTTATTTTTATGTATTAAAAACGGTGATATGGACTCCACACAGAGAGACAAGGAGTCCCTTTTTTCCATAAAGCGAGTGCCCCCGGTGTTGTCGAGTCATTACCAATAACGTATCTCAGCTGTTACACAATAGAACGTTGTTAGGCAGTTATAAAAAAACAATAGGAAACTTATTACTCACCATGCTTTTTCATTCTTGCTTCGTTCTTTGTCTTGTTTTGGTTTGCGGACTGAGGGTAGAGCATCACGTCGAAAAAATGTTTTGGTATTTTCGGTGTAAAAAAGGTGATCTTGAAAAAGATGATGGCTCGATATCTTTACGCTGCATTTTTAATAAGTAATGCCAAGCGGCGAACTTCTGTTGGGGCAGGTTTTCCAGGATGGTAGTCAAGCACAACGGTATCTTCCTCAAGGGGGTATTCGTTCCATAAAGTCATGCACAACACTTTATTTCAATTTTTATCAATTTTATAATGAACCAAAAAATTTTTCTAAATTACTTTCCGACCTTTGATGGCATTGCTTGAGTTATCTAAATAAAACTTATTACAATTATGGAGGAAAAAAATCTTTAGGGCGACAACAGTAGTGCCCGCACATGGTGAAACCATACAGAAGCCTTGTTCTATTCAACGGATACACAACCACTTTACGTCACAGGGGTCACGTGACCACAGGTTCGACCGCGTTTTTCTTGTGACACATTTTAGCTCGAGTGGGTGTCGGAAAACCCCGTTTTTTGCGGAAAGTAAGTCGCAAATGAAAAAACTAAGTTCACCGTCGTTACCAGCGATGTTTCTTTGATGATTTAAGCGAATAAAAATTTTCGTGTCATATGCACTTTAAGCGTCACCATGTGAACAGAAGTGAATCCGATACGAAATGAATCTGGTATCGTGTGAACAGAGCTTGGATATTCGTATCGGATTGGGTCAGTGAATCCGATTATGAAATGAATCCGGTATCGTGTGAACAGGGCCTAAAATTTAAAATTTTTATTCAGACAGTGAGATTTAGGCATTTCGTGCCTTAAAAGTTTTTGTTTACCACGGTTCGAATCATACGTCACTAACTGAACGTTTTCTCTTTTCAACGGTACACTTTGCCGAGGTCTCTTCTTTATAAGAACGCGCTTTTTAAGAACCCCGAGTTTCCCAAAAAATACCAACAATGACACAGCGTAAGAGCTTTCCAAGCCTTTGATGAATAATTAAAGAAAAACTCATTGTTTTTGAAATTTTTCAGTCATGCTGACAAATAAGAGCAGATTTGATCAGCAAATCAACCGTGCTACTAAAATTGTCTTCAAAGTAAATTTTTTAGAAACAGCTGATTGCAGTGGCGGATTTAAGGGGAAGGGGCAACTATGGGCAGTTGCCCCTCCCTCGGCCAGTTGAAGCAAGTATGGCGCCCCTTTTTGGAAATTGTGCGCCCCTTTTGAAGAATGAGAATCAGGTGAAAAAGTTTCTGAAAGCAATAGGTTAATTTGCTTCAAGGATTACTCAAAAGTTATGTTGTTTATTCCGAAAATGGTTCTGAAGTTGTTGTATACAGCGTTCTCTCATCATCAATTTTTGAAAATTTTTCAGCGCCCCGACTACGAACTGCCTCTCCCTCAAGTTTGCCCTGGATCCGTCCCTGGCTGATTGGATAAAAAGGAAAAAGTAAATATTAAAATAAGAGCAACATTTAGAACAGCCAAGCCTCATGTTATCCAGAAAAAGTATATCGATCTTCGCCAAAAATTTACCTGGTTCTTATAAAAAAAATGGTGTATTGTAACGACACGGCTTATTGTATTTTGTCACATAAACTAGGCTATTTGCATGAACAGAGTCGCCCTGAATATGAATTGCTTGTTTTCTGTCGTTGAACTGGGCAAATAAAGTTTTTAGAATCAGTTTTCGCATTTTACAAAATACCACCTCGAACTTGTATTTTGCGAAATTTCGCATTTTCGCATTATGCGAAAATTTTCGCAAAATACAATAAGCCTAACGACACAGGGTTCTCCTACGGACAGTATCACGTGACAATTGCACCATTGCGCTGTGATTGCATCAGCGTCTGTAAATATGTTTTTTGTATTACGTAATTATTATTTTAAGGTTTGCTTAGGTTATATAAAGGGTTGTTTCATAAGTTAGGAGTAGTTTTGTCGTACTGCTTGGAGCTCTGTCGCTAGTTTTGCCGTGCCTGTTGAAGCAGTGTTGTTATTTGTCGAACTTGCTGTTAGCCGTTAGTCGTATCATTGCCATAAAAAGAAGAATTTTGATCTTATCCGCCGTTGCCGTATTTTTGAGAATTTCTGTCTACAAAGAACTCACGTTTGTAAAACCCACCTTTTAAGAGGTTTTACAGTATGTAGTGTTCTAGTCAGAAAGGCCAATTGAGAATTGCAATTGAGGCTAGTCGTCCAATTGAGGCTCACGAATGACGCAAAATTAACTTGAACTCAAATGTAAGCATATCAAACATAAACATCTGAGATATTATCAGTTGTTTAATATTCAACACAGTTTTCGAGTTATTGAGCGTCAAAGTTAGCCGCCGAACATTTTCCGAGCACGAACGAGTTTTCTCGAGCCTTCCGCAAAATCGTGACGTCACAAGCACCATGTTCAAATCACTTGAGCAGCACGACAGTCTGGAAGCCCTTACTTTTGTGATTTTGCGGAAGAGCATTTCGACAACCTGGTTGGAAAATAGATTTATAACTCCTTTGCAAACCTTCCATAATAAGATTTGCAAGAATATTGTAATATTCAACGCGTTTGAGGCCCTTCCTCCGTCTTGCAGGACCCGGTGTGTGGCGGGCCAACATATCAAATAAAGGAAGCGATAAATAAAATGACAGGATTTTTGATTTTCTAGAAACCTAAGTAAAATACTTTCCTTTTGTAAAATACGGCTGCTGTTTTACTAATTTATCAGGGCTGCTGATAAATTTCGAATATATGATCCAGAATAACCTCAATATATGTTGTTTTTCGGCATGATCTTTATTCAATCACATGAAAGATTTTTAGGGCTTAAGAACCTGGTACGATCGAGTCGTTATTTGCAAGAAAAGAACTTCGTTTAAATTTCAACTCCCAGGCCGATCCACCCCTGTAACTCGGATGAGCCAATGAGTTTGCAAACCCAAAACAACGTTCATGATTTATTTGGATGTAGAAATAACATATCAAAGTAATAACATTTTGGATAGATTCATGATAAAATGAAAAAAATCAAACATTCGTACGCATGATTAACTTCAGAATTGATAATTTCTTCGAGCACCGAAAAATGCCTATTCCTTCCAAACTTGAATTCCCTCCTATCATAACGCAGTACCAGCCAGCACATATCCTTCGTACATTTCATTAGCCTCGAATTTCATGTATCTTGGATCAAAGGCTTGCTACATAGATCTCCTCGAATAGTAACTGAACAAGATGAACTGGACTGTCGTGATTTGCATACAAGGAATAAAAACATGGTGTTTGTGACGTCACGCGCACTGGGTCACATGGAATGCCGACAATGGTCGTGCATTCGACGATAATTTCGTAACCCGAAAACTTGCAATTTAGATTCCATGCATCGTTTTTGCATTATATCAAAAAATAGTTTTGCGTGTCAGTTCACCTGCAATTTTCCCTCCCACCACACTTCAAAGACAAGCAGAGCGGAAGCCATCTATAGCCTAATTGTTTGTGGTGGCAATTTAAAATGGGAAAACCTGCGAGGGAGAGTTAATGTACCTGCCAAAAATCTATTGCCATAATACCGCAGCTATTGTTAAAATCAATGCAATTACTTACATTAAGATAATTATTTCCTCGGATTTTCTCAGTCGACGGAGATGCTGGCTATGAGTGAATAGAATGCGTAGTAAAAAACAAGTCTCTACAAAATCAAGGGATTATCCAACTTGAAGACCCTGACGTGCTGTTTACCAGTTTGGATAGCAATAACATTTGAAACAACGCTTCTTGTTTCATACAGGGAATAAAGCATCAACTCAGGTACTGCGCTGCCACCTGCTAATCTTTCAAGACAAGTCCCAGGCAAGTGAATGTTTCTTTTTCTATTGAACTTCATAGTAAATGACATATTTCCGAATCTTGCTCATTCTTATTCGCGATCCACCTTCTAATTTCCTTTCAATTCGAAATATCTACAGCTTCTCTAGCGAAATATTAAAAGTTACATCTTTTTACTAATAAAACGACGCTCGTTTCCTCCAAAGACCAAACGATTTGGTTCGACAAATTAGTGTTAACCAGTTCCCAAAGAGAGAATTATTGAATGTTTGGGCACAAAGTATTGATTTGCTTTGCTTTTCATTAACTCGTTTGAATACTCTTCGCCTTAATACCCTCTTCAGTAAACACATTATGACATTATGACATGATCGAAGCATGTATTCGAACTACACTCTTTTTTCTTTAAGAACCAGTAAATTTAGGTTCAGGCTGACTGTTCTTAACTTTTTCGAAAATCTGAGGCTGGATTGTTCTTAATTTGTTCTTAAATTAAGAAGGTGTAAGCAGTGCTATTGCTAGCTTTTTCGCTCTAAGGAGGTGTTCAGGCCTCATTTGCCAACAAAGTGAGTGAGACAGCCTTAATTTGCTGAGAAATTTGAATATTCACCGAAAAAGCACCCACACATCGCTAAAAATCCTCAATTTTGACAAAAAAACGTTGTTCAAAATTGAATTTTGCAGAAGCTCAGCCTCAGCTTGCTCTCAATTTGTTCTTAACTTTTCACCAATTTTGAGACTCGTGTTCTTATAAAATTGTTCTTATAAAAAATAGAGTGTATCTAACTAAAAGCAATAATCTTTTTGCCTAACGTTGTATTAATAGCTTCTGTTTACCTTCAGGTTTTCGAAGTTGCTTTTCTACAATGTTGTTAATTACAATTCTTATCAGCCTTGCGGCAAACATCCGGACGCAAGTAAGTGCATTTTGTTTTTCACTTGTAAAATCCGTTAAAGACTTTCAGCAAGGGTTGATAAAGTTAACCTAATTCTAAGCGAACCAGGGTTAGTTTGATAATGACGCATGCGTAACATAAAAAATTGAAGGTGAGGAAAAACAAAATGACGACTGTCAACGCGTATATTGTTTGTGAACTTTGCAAAATACAATTAATCGACTTTAAAAACAATTATTCCGAGCGCTGGCTTCGTACAGTGAGAAAGCTTCGTATTCGCGCTTTGCTTTGTTTAGCATTTGGCGCCATTTTTTTCACTGCGCATGCGTTATGAAGAAACTAACCTAGGCTCGCCCTTGGGCAAACCTACCTTCAGAGATGCGTCAAAACCCACCTCCCTTCCATTTCAAATGCTTTAGCTTTAATTACAAACAAATCGTAGTCTTTCTAACAGGCTACGATAATGATCAAGCAAAATATTCTTTTCACTTCCTGTATCTGAGTATCAAACGATTCTTAATTTAAACGACTTGGAAATATGCTTCATGATTAAGAAAAGCACCACACTCAAAAGGTTCAAGTTTTTGAAACTAAGATTTTGTTATCAATAGAAAGAAATCATAGGGCTTTCGGGCCAAAGGCGATGGCCAAAATCGTCAGCCAAAATCGATATTTATAATGGGGAGCCATCCCCCACATTACGACATTACGGCCTTCATTTGCACCACAACACTTTTCTGTCACTCATTTTATTTTTTCAATTGTGACCTAGCCAGTTATTGATTTTTTTCGATAAAAAAGAGCGGAATAGAAGAAAACTTTGGGAGCAGAGGCGCAGGGTTTTATCTGATCAGCGACGACTTGGTAGGAGTACGCTTTCCTCCCATGCATGGCCACCAAAAGCCGGCGACCAATAAAAGGACTTTTCAAAACTCTTATGACAACTGTACAATAGTTGTATTTGTATTTGTTTCTACCCAGCTAATTAGTTTCTAGAACGCTGAGAAGCTATGCTTTTTGAGCAGTGTCCTGGTCTTTTCTCTCGATGTGACCACACTTCATGATCCCTACACCTAGAATAACAGAACGCTGATGACTTTCCTTACTCTGGGTAGAAGTATGGTTTTGTCAGGGACTCGAACCCCAAAACCTTTGATCTGTAGTCCGTGGTCCTAACCGCTGAGTAATCATCATATATAGACTTGCTGCTGACTAATGAAGACACAACTCTTAAGAAAAACGATTTCTTGTTCTTAGGAAATCACAACAACTGGGTGTGGTACCACAAAGGCCTGCATTAAGGAGCCAACATCGTGCACAACAAGCGCAAACTGTCAATTCCTCGCTACGTGGAAACGCAAGGCTGGTGACGATAGCACTATGGAATTTGAAATTAGCTCAAATGCTGCTACCGGTTGGGTTGCTCTGGGTTTCAACGCTGTCGGGCCGCAAATGGTGCGTTTTCTCTAATAACCTATCAGGCTACTAGACAATAACGATTTACAAATTGAGATGATACAAGTCCAAATAAGGGAACCATTGCAAAATATCTGAAAAAGTAGCAAGAAATGAAAATTATACTTCTTCCGGCCTTAGCAGGGAAGTTGAGCCCCCTTATAAGCCCCCTTATAAGCCCCTTGTAATTATGCACCCATAATTACAACTAGATTTCATTGTTATTTAAAAAGTATACTCTAGACCATTATATATTTATAAATCCTACAATTGGTGAAGTTTTTTTGAATTATCAAAATCGATCAGGATAAAAGGAATTAAAGAAATTCGATAATATCGAATTCGTAACTAACTATCATTTTATGTTAATCTTAAAAAAACATTTTTGATTACCCCACGAAACTTCTATTCAACAATGGAAGCCTGTTTTGCTGAGGTTGCCTGCTGTAGAAAAATTTTTTTCTTTTTAGGTATCAACCAAAGGGGAAATTTGCTACATTAGTGGTTCCCAGAAAATTCTTAAAGGATTTCACGCAACATCGAAATCTAGGCCAAATTTTCAGTCCCCGGTAAGTACTAAAAAAGAAAGTCAGATATTATCTAAAATTCCAAAATAGGGGAATATCTTTATGATGTTAACTTGACATAAAAATTGTATTTCACATGGAAAATCAGTTTTTGGATTGGCAGATTATGCAAAAATTCACTGCTCTAGCGTGAATTACAGGTCGTCTGGAAGAGGGGACTGATCTCCCCAATAATTGTGAAACTGAGCTGTATTTCCTTTAAAAATGTGTACTGAATACGGCAGCCCCCTTCCCCAATATGAATTTCGTTCCGACAGCACTGAATTACGCATAAATTTACCTACTGAAATTGATTCTGCGTTAAAACTATCCATCGTGTGAAGATATGAAAAATCTATAAAATATAAAATAGGCACTGTAAAATAGGAACACTATAAAATTTACAAAGGATGTTCTTGAAAGCATTTGAAATGCTTGTATGGGAACCATACTGGTACTTCGAATTTTTACATAAATTCTACTTTTGAATTTTTAGATACAAATGATATGTTTTTTGTCATCGTCGCCATTTCTTCTGATGTTTCTATTTCAAACTTTCAATACCACACGTTGGTTGCTTTACGTATCGTCATTGTTGCAGTTTTTATACACATTGCCAGTAACCTTTGTACTAAGTTGAAAGTTTTTTCCTATCAGAATGATACCAATAAAAATTTCGAACAGCCTTTGAAACCAAACAAAGGTCATTTACTGGGTTTGAAAATTTGGAATGTTTATATATATATATATAATCTTCTGCGATTTTTTTAGATGCCAACTCTCTTATTTTATTTTAAAATATATAAGTACTTCTTTAACACATCCATTAATTTTCACAGGCCAGCAATACCATGATGCAAAGCTTGGAAGTAATCAATGGAGCCATTATTTGCAGGTATCATATATAAATAAAGATATGATTGAAAATTTTCCCATGCCCCAGAGCAGAGCGGGACCCCAAAAAAGTTTTCAGAATTTAAAATTGCAGGTCAACAATTGTAAGACAAAAATTGTAGGTTTAAAATTGCAGGACAAAAATTTAGGTTTAAAATTGTAGGTTAAAAATTATAGGTTGAAATTTGTGTTCAAACTCTCGGTCAAAAATTGAAAGTGAACAATTTTAGAACTGAAGCAGTTGGTTAAAAACTGTAGGTTATGAACTTTTGGCTAAAATTTTCGGTCAAAAATTGAAAATTAGAACAAAAATTGAGAGACAAAAACTGCACGTTTAAAATTGCAAGTTATAAATCTTTGGCTAAAATTGGCAGTCAAAAATTGAAGGTCAATCATTTGCAAGAACAAAATTTGTGGGACAAAAATTGCACGTTAAAAATTGTAGGTTATAAATTTTTGGTAAATATTGGCGATCAAAGATTGACGTTCAAATATTATAGGTCAAATTTTTAGGTTAAATTGTTGGTCAAAATAATTTCCATAAATATATGTGGAAAACTGTGAGTCAAATCTGTATGTCAAAAGGTTTAGGTCTAGCAGATAGAAATAAAAACTGAATTACTTTATTTTCAGGTTCTCTCGACCCCTCGTAGGATCAGATTATCAGAACTCCATTACCTCCTCTATTTACCCAATCTTTGCTTCTGGAGACATCTCCTCCGGTAAGTTACTTTCAATACTTCGTTGCTGCCATATGATGCCAATACGCCTCGCTATCAGTTTCTGTAATTGATTTCCCGAGATCTCTCTCCCTGGGTCTTCATTATAGTGCAGAAGTATTAGCTATCCGGATTTATTTTCCACGAGGCGACAACGTATTGTTCAAGTGCGTTTATATCCAAGATTCCAAGTGTTTATGTTAAAAGCAAAAGTGAAGTACTCATGACTCGCTTATAAGTTAAACATCAAAAATTTTGGACAAGTAAACTTCGAACAAATTTTTTTTTCAGAAAGAAACCTCTTGAACGTTTTTTTCATGACATGTCAGGCGATTTAAAAAAAAATTCGGACAAAACAAAACACTCCTATAACATCTTAAATAGATTGTTGCACCATGTTAAAATTTCAAAAGCCTTTACGTCAGTGATTTAGTATTAAAAGTCACAAGGGTCGAAGAGGTTATCTCCACCATTTCAAAAGCTTTCGCTGTCATCTCCTTTTTGCCACAATGTCCACCATAGCAGATTAAAAGAGAAGGTACAAGGCCCACCTTACGGCATTTATTCAAAAAGATTGCAAATTTGGTGAAAGTAGCTTTTTGAACAAAACAAATATATCGACCTTGACTAGAACGAAGATAATGAAAAGGTTTTGTGCTTGCTAAATCAATTTAGTCTTTTTTCTTTCTTTATTTAAAGTTGGTACAATTTCTAGCTATGCATACTCAAGCTAATCAAAACCATCTAATTCAAATTACCAACGCTAAATATAATTTAAATCAAATGTAACCGATGTTGCATACGAATTCCTTGCAAAGATTACAAGTAAAAGTAAACGATGTAAATTCTGAGATTTTTTCTTTAATACTTGTAAAGTAGGGGACATTTGGCTACATCTGTATGATACTGTATTAAATCCATATATTTTGTAATGTGGTTCCGCTGTTTTGAATTGGGAGTTTATTGAATAATATAGGCATTCATTTATGGAAAATATTTCATCCATTAAAGGTGGATTCAAACCGTTAAATGTTTTCTAAATTTCTATACGAAGATATTGTAAATTTTTCTTATGAAAAGTTATTGTTTTATCCTTTATTGAAAGTTGTTCAAAAGTTGATACATAATCATCATGAGCTATTCTCATTGCTCCATCATGAATCCGGTTTATCCGGCTATTACTTTTCCTACTGCAAAACATCCAAATAAGAGGAAGATAATTAAAAAAAGGTAATATGACCTTACCTTTTTCCCAGCTACTTTACAGAAAACCTTAATATGTTCTTCTTCTAATCTAAGTTGATGGTCTAGTGTTACTCCGAAAAGTTTAACATTCTTACTTTCTATTATAGTAGAACCATTTATTTGAATTTTAGATTCCTCTAAATTGGATCGGCTGACTTTAAAAGTTATAAGCTTGTTTCTATCGCCATTGAGCACCAAACAATTTTCATAAAACCATTTATTAACAATAGCTGCTTTCGATTCTTAGTCGTCAGTTAGTTTACTCATATCAGTACTTGACAGACAAATTGTATTATCATCTGCATAGTTGCATAAGTTGCTTTTGTTCAAATGCAAAAAATATCGTTTATGCAAATATTGAAAAGCAACGGGCCTAGGATTGATCCTTGAGAAACTCCCCACTTTATTCCCATTTCATCGCTAGTTTATTTATTCTCGTTGTACTCTTTTATCTAGATAACTATACATAAATTCCATTGCGTTGTCGCTGAAGCCATAAGATTTCAATTTGGCTAGTAGAAGTATATGGGGGTAAACAATCAAATGCTCTTGATAAATCCATAAGCCTAGTTGACAAGATATGATACTGTTTCACTACCTCTTACAACACGTTCCGATTATGTGCTGAATGTTTGTGGGCAAAAAATTCCATTTTCTTTTAAAATAGGCTCGGACCGCAAAGAATTTTGCACGCAAATATTTTGGACGCGCCTATTGTCCGAAAGCATTAGCGTCCGAAATTTTTGGCATTTAATGTACATCCTAAGACATATACTGACCTTGGTATCTGAAGGTAAAATGGGCCTACAAAAATAAGCGGTGAGAGTAAGAAAACCATCAACGTTTCAAAAGCTGGCTCTAGACCGGGTGAACATTTAGCAGACTTTTTGGAGGAATGTAAAAATTAATGATCATTCTAAATACAATTCTAAATGTGAATCAGATGAGAACGAAACAGAGCTGATATAGTGGTGTATGGTGGACAAAGTTTTTTGTATTTTACGCAATAGAGAATAAGTACACACTTTCTTACAAGAAATTGATAATTTATGTTAAGGCTCGATGTTCGTTCTGGATTATTTGATGCTCGATTAATCTTGATGTTGTTTTATTTGATTCTTCTGCACTTACTTGCTATGTATTGTTTCTAAGAATGCTAAAAATCAGTGCCAAGTTTAATTTTTAGCGGCACAGTTTTAAATCTACTTTGTTTTCAGTAGTTTTGAAAAATAGCTTTTTTTCTCTTGTTTTCATCTGGTCGTGTAATTTACGGTGTTCTTATTTTTGGAAATTTTCATCCCCAGTGTTTTTAGAAAGTTTCTTCTTATAAAGTGCGTAAGACATTTCATTGGAATATTTAAGGGTTGGTTACACAGTTGCTTTGTGCCGAATCAGTACCATCAGCCAATTACTCCGCATCTCGACTTGAAATCCAATACATTTTTAAGAAGCCAGAATAAAAAGTTGTTTAGATTCACAATTACAGAGTTCTGTAAACGCTGTACGTTGCTATAAATATCTTTTGCAAAAGAAATTTAGGGTTACGGTAGAGAAAAGGTATTTTCATTCTCATTTATTCTATGAAGTCCTATCCTTTACCTCTCCAAAACAGGAACAGTTCAATACCATAGTGCAAGAAAGGCGCTTGCAATGGTCAACTTCAGTGCCTTTACAAACAATGCCATGACAACATCATCATCATCAACAATACCAACAATAACAGCACAAGCAACATCAACAACAATATCAACAGCAACAGCAACAACATCAATTGCAACAGCAACAACAACTGCACCTCTCGCAATGACAACAGCAACAACGTCATCTGCCTATTCTGAAATGATGAAGGCGAATGCAGCAACGACAACAGTGGTTTCCCCAACCACTTCTTTTGCCGTGAGTTCAACATACAGCTCGCCATCTATGCCATACAATACCACAACCCCAACGGCTCCTCCTTTAACGGTAAATAAGAACGTCTAAAGTTAGCTTCCAAGTATCATTTACAATTCCTGCCAATGGTCTTGGTACACTAACGTCAGTTTTCAACGGCAAATTCAACCGTCCCCTCCCCCCTATAAACAATGTTCGTTTACCACAAAATGACGTAGGAGATTAGGGAGAACGTTTTTTCTGTGACGTATGTGATAGTTCTTTGAACCAGCAACATTATTCTGGAAATTGGGGGTTGGAAGTATTCGGGAAAAGAATTGACAACTATAAGAACAATGGTGTTCCATGTACTTTTGGCAGGCATTGTAGCTATTATCTCAAATTTCCTATTTAACTTGTCAAACTACTGTTTCAAATTTTGTTGCAGGATCATTCGCTCTGTAGTCTCGTAATTTTCCTGGCATTTTTTGAAATTTTTTAACTTACAATCATTAATGTTACCAAATTATTTTTGTCTTTGCTCTTCACAACAAATCATTTAAGGCCATCATGATAACTATTTTTTTTAAAAACATACTCAGAAATAGTTACTGAAAACTTATAGTCTGCTTTATTGAAGAACTGTTTTATGATAATAAAGCTTTCAATCGACGCATTTTATGCAGTGACGTAACGGAGGCACCTGGTGCCCTAAGGAAAAATTGAGATAGGACCCCTGTTTACGGAATACAAGAACGTCCCATCAAAGCGCTATAGAGCATGTCAAACACAAATGCAAGAATCAAAAATATTAATTTTTCTCGTTTACTAGGGGGAGCTGAGTCATTAAAACTTCTGTTGAAGAACTTTCAAAGTTTTAAAAATGAGGTGAAATTGAGCCAAGTCTGAAATGCATGTATACAAAAATTATTTTGGCCAGGGGTCTTAGTTATCGAACTAAAGTGTCCTAATATGCGATACGCCACTGATTTTATGGTTGATTCTTATTATAGTAGAAATGGTTATTTTGAGTTCAAATGCCTTTAGACTGAGATTTGAAACTAGTTAATCAAACAAATTTAATGCTTAGATCGATCTATCTACCTGTGGAAAGTCCAAAGGGTGCTTCAAGATTCCCAGTGGTTGCAACACTGTAAGCTCGTGCAGATTCGTAGTTACATGGATGCCTGATCAAGACAAAAAGCAAGTGCGTTTCGAATTAAAAGGCAGTGAAAATGCCTGGGTAGCATTTGGACTTAATGCCGGTGCAAGAGCAATGGTAAGTGCCATATCGATCGTGATTTACAACCAAATGTTGACTGCTAAAGAAGCTTAGAGAAAGGACATAAAGGGCTGTTTTCACCTTTGTGGTATTTAAAAGCTTTCACTTAGCTTAAACGATCCCCTAGCAACAGTTTCTGTTAGAATAATGTAGCCACAGTAAATACATCAAAATATCACGCCAAATTTACGTAGAGAAAAAGGTCAATTAGAGAGACGGTATACAGTGTGTCCCAACGTAACTGTACAGTATGAAGGTTAAAAACAGATGCTGTGAAAGTTTCTGATTACTTTTCTCACAGGCAAACAAGAAACAGCAAGTCGTTACGGAACATTTTTTCAAACATACGTTGCCCGAATTTTCACACAAACCACATTGGTCTCTTGGCCCTTAGACACTTTGGCCCCATAGTCATGATGTAACTGCTTTATGCCATATATTCTTGACAATTGGTTGACTGAAATAGCGAATCAATAATTGGCCAGGGTCAGGCTTTGCGCTGTTGCAAATATGACATCCAGCAGATTGTGTTGCCTGACGTTCTTTAACTCATTTCTTTCTATCTAGCCCGGCACATACGGTGAAATTTGCTACATGTCTGGTTCAACTGCAGTTGTGAAGGCTTTTAAAGCAACAGCAAGAACCTTACCAGCATTTTCTTCCTCACAGGTATATAAACCTTAAAAAAAGTTTCCTTATATGTAATATTGCAGCTTCTTTTTTCTCTCAAAATCACAGCTTTTACTTTTAGTAAGGCTCTGAAATTTCAGTTAAGTTGGATCTATTTCAGATACAAATTAATTAAAATGACAGCAAATGGGAATAATTTTGATGAATCTTAGGCGCATTTAATTTCAAGACATATTTTTGTTGAAAAACTGTGAGAATAATGACTCATTTAGTTATCAATTCAGCTCTTCATATCTTTGTCATTTCTTGATAAAAGCGTGCAGATTTCTGGCGACTTCAAGGATAACAGTTTTGTTTGAAATGCTGTCTTGATGTTGCCAAGTTTTCAGAAACTTTTTTGGGATGCCCTTATCTGCTTCGATGCAATTCTGATCCACTCCATACGCATCTAGGAATTCGATAAGTTGAATGTCGACATAGCTTTCCCATCTTGCCCTTTTTCTTCATTGGGTTATATAACTTTCATGAAGACGGCTAGAGAGTAGTTACCTTCGTTCTCTTGTTTCTCACTGTACTTTTCCATTCGAAATAGCCAAATGGGATAACTGTGCATGGCTTCGCAAAATCAGGAGGAACAATTTGCAGGTAACAAACAGTTCATGTTTATTAAATTGAAAGCTTTTTGCTAAACTTCATGCTTTTGCAAAAAGACAAAAACCTAGAGCAGAAGATCTGGCAATTAACAGAGACACCAAAAGGACAAAAAAATGAAGAATGGTGGTTTGGGTTTATAATGATATTAGGTTTTCTACAAAGCAAAATTCGTAACAGATCCGTCGCCTCTTGTAAATGGGACTCAATTCGTCCTTACAGATACTTAAATTATTTTCAATACACTTTCTGCGGGTTGCCCTGGGTACCACAGCCACAATATTACGAGTGAAGAAATAGAAATCTAAGCGGAGAAGCGGAGAAGTGGAGAAGCGAAGAAGCGAAGAACGTCTAGCTGAGATAGAAACTCCTCCACAATCCGCTTCTCCACCCCGTTCCGCGCTCAAATTTATGTGGTTCTGCTACCCAGGGTATCTACAGGTTTGTCTTCATTTTTCTATTCACTGTCGGCAGCGATAAATCAGATTTTTCAAAGGCCATAACAAGTGAAAAGTCTAATTAAGAACTTCTCGTGTCTGCTTTTTATGGAATTATTCAGCATCCTTACTTCTGTTCGTTCTGTCCTAAGAATGGTAATAAATAGCTTAATTATTATTGCTAGCTTTTGACGGTTGGATTATAGATATAACATACCTTTCAAACATAAAGGAACTTCATGACAGAACAAAACATGCTGATAGCAAGTATATACAGCAAAACTTGTACAGCAACCCTGGACTTGGTTCTAGCTATGAATATGATAACCTTTCATGCACGAATGAAGGAAAGAGTCACAATGAAACTGATAACTTTACAGTTACTGACTAGTTATTTCAGCCATATGCTATTTTTTTATATTGAGCTGTTATACTTTCAGCTATACAAGACCATGGGTGAAGACAGACAATAGCTACAGCACTGAATTGAATAAAGAAGCATACATTATTGTTGCATCTGGAAATTCAGTCAACGGAGGTTGTAATTTGATTTGTTCTTAACTGCTTTTTAATTGACCCGATGCTGCTTTCTTTTCTCCATCTGATACTTATTTCAATCAGAAACACCAGATTTCTTTCCAGTACATTAGGCACACCACTGCTTGCACCTTGTTTATGAAAACTCTGCTCTATGATTGGCTGAGACAAGAGTAACATTAAATGAAATTTTGATCTTTACGTCTCCAGGAGTGCCGTCTTACCACCTAACTGCTAAAGGCTCGTCAGGTTCAAAGTTCAACATGGCAAAAGCAATTGGAAACTCTAACAGCGCAAGCAAGAAAGAGACTAATCTTCTTGGTAAATATAATCATTCTTTACATAACCAATATTCTGTGGAAAAATAATTGATGCGCGTTCTTCTCCAAAATATAAAAAAGATGCAAAAGTTCTAAATGGCAATGATCACTGATTCATCCAGTGCTCTGAACATTAATCTTTGAAAATTATTTTCTCATAAAGCTTTCAAATGAATAATACCTATTATTAAACCGATGTTATTGCTTAGCCTTTTTTCCGACTTAAGAAGCAAAAAAACATTATCAATTAAGGAATAGAGAAGAAAAGGGGAGGTACTTACTACACAAATTGTCGTAATAGCGTTTTTGGCTTTTGGGGACAAATTGGTAGTTTTAATTCAATTTCAAGTACCTGAAATTAGGATATAAGGGTTCAAGAATATAAGAAGTTTTACAGCTTACTGGAAGCTTTTTATCTGACACTCCTCAGAGTGTAAACCGTCAGAATAAGGGTCCGAAAGAACACGATGGAAACTATACTCAGTTTTTGATTGAAATAGGCCAATCAGAAAAACGCAAGCACATGACCGGTATAGTTGTCCATTCAATACCGTCGGCCTAAGGAAAGAATGAAATACTTGTATGAGGTATTTGCAGGCATCTTTATAAAAGTAAGAGTAGTGTATTGTTGAAAACATATACCTTTCACTGAAGTTTCATGGGCAATAACATGAATCCTTCAACTTCCTTACTACGCAAATAAACTCGTCATTGAATGTTGCTTTGTACTTACCAATAAAGTAAAGATCATAGGCTTTTTATAATGGGAAGCATACCACACAAGATCTAGCATTCCCCTTTCGATGCATAGCAGCCACAAGAAAAGCATCTTAGTTTGCAGACAATTAAGATGCAATTTAAAGAAAATATAGGCTATTGATTTCTTTTTCTACGTTCATTTTCATTTTGAATTCTTTATACACAGAAATCCCTTCAATTTACAACTAAATACCAAAAAAGAAAATAAATACTCTAGTTACATTAATATAGTTTATATACACTTAAAGCTAAATTATGCACTGTAATCTATCTTATAGCAGCTGCTCTTCCTGGGAGTCGTGTTTTATATTAAGTTCAGCTCGTATAGTAACTTTTCAATTGCTTTTTGAATTTACTAAGTGTAGAGAGCTCTCTGATATTGGTGGGGATATTGTTCCAGGCTTTCAGGGCCGAATAGTGAAAGCATTTCTTGACGTATTCAAGGTTATTTCTTGGGATTTGTAGGTCCTTGCAATTCCTTGTTCTGTAGTTGGAGTGCTGGGTCCTATGATGATATTTACCCCAAAGGCTTCGGGACTTATTCAACATTTCTCTTTTGTTTTAAGTTCTGGTGGCAGTTGGAACATTTTGCGCAATGCTTCTGGCACTGGTGATGTAGAAAGACTAACATGGTTGACTTACGACGATACAGCTATTTATTTCATTTTAGTTTCTTATTACTGGGCTGTTAACTTGTATTTATTGTTTGTGTCCACCTGCAACTACTTTGTTTCTACCTAGAAATAAAAAAGTAAATAGATAGTAGAAGTAATGAGTTTGAAATATTTAATCAATGTCTTTATCATTAATGGTACTTCTTATTCAACAATTTTCATTGTGTTGCTACTCAAGTCTCTGACTTGCAGTATTTAAAGCAAATGAGAGTGCATAGTTCCTTCAGATTAAGAATAATTGTACCAAAAAGGCTATGAACGTTACTAGAAACGATTGATTTCATGATAGCGAAGCTTTTGCAAATAAGGTCCCAGAAGGAGGTTTTGTTTGTCTATTTTTGTCTATTTTTGTAAAAAAGGTTTTGACCAATGAAATATTTCAGTTATAAATTCTGTTCCGCTTTCCATGCATTGTATTTCATTTTGTTGGTTAAATGATAAAATTAAAGTTATCAATGCTTAATTTCTTTGTCAAGGGATTTTTATTCTTTTAGTTAAATTTTGGAGACCTTCTGGACCGCCGCCACTAGCATAAAATTTGATAATCTCTTTCTCTTTGTAAACTCTTTCCAGGAAAATTGAAAGGCTTTGCGAAAACATATGTTGATAATTAATACCCTCTCCCCCTCTTTTAATTTCCTTATTTGAAATCTTTCATGATTGCATGACTTGCACGAGCTGCTTAAATTTTTGTTTTTCTTATAGGGCTAAATGTATAGGGTAACTAAGGAATATGAAGTTTATTCATCTAGATATATTCAAAAAAGGTGCATCTCTATGATAAACATTAAAGATTAAGGGACATCTCTCACTAAACAAGCTATTTCCTATATTCAAATGGTTGCTCATCTCACAGGTATTTTGAAATGAAACTACCAGTATATACTTTTACTTAAACAAGCTAAAATTTTCAGTCTGACTCCTCCTCTCAAATCCAATTATTTTTGTATGAACTATCCATACTATGAAATCGTGATCAGACGTTTCATAATCTGACTTAGCTTCCAGAATGCTTTTAGAAAAACACGTGCTATATAATATGAAATTTTTATGTGTTGTACGTTTGTTGCATCAAGCGGGTGAATCAATTTTGCTTGCAATCGGCAAAAAATTAGCTTATCTAGCAATTCTTGACTAGCAAACGGCCAATTATCAATAAAAAGCAATATATCCTGGGACAGTCCAGGAACAACGGCCTTGGCACTCGCTCCCTCGGTTTGGCAATGTCACCATTGGCAAAACTCAATCTTTTAAACAAAATTAGTAGTTTAAATCTTTGTCACTGCTCAAGCTCTTGTTTTGGCCTTCTCATTTTTACTTAATTTTTGCCTTTATTCCGGGTGAAAAGAATGGAAAGCTAAATTGGAAACAGCATGTGAAACAAGTAATCATTAAAATATCTAAGGTATTGGGGTTCTGTATATACTAAGGCATTTTGTGACAAAAACTACTCTAAGAACACTTTATAACTCATTCATTCAATCCCATGCAATGTATGGGATTTTAAATTAGGGGTGCGCAAGCAAATCAACTTTAGAAACCCTAAAATGCAGCTTGCGAAACGGAATTCATGTTCCAAATGAATAAAGATGCTAGCTTCTCTACTTTAGGAGCGGAATTTCTAAAAACAAAAACATTTCATCATTACAATACTGGACAATCTTCTAGTCTTAGTTTTTCTCTTCAATCGATTTCCGCAAACTTTAAAAAAACTTCCTTACATAAGATGGTGTTAAGTTATGGAATTCTCTGCCTCTAGACCTGAAAAATGCTGCCACTAAGCTAACTTTTAACAGAAACATTACCTTCTAGGGAAACTTTAACCCTATTTATTCCCATTCTAACACAATTAAACTATTTTTGCATATTGTGAACCATTATTATTTGATTTCTGTCTTTTCTTTTTAGATTGCTATTTTTTATGCTTACTGTTATTATTCAAACAAAACTAATATTAAATTATTGTCATTTCGCGTCAAATTGGGCACATGGCTCTGATAGCTCCTTCATGAGTTTTTTCCATGTGTCCATCAGCTGATCTTATATAATATCTTATACTGTTCCTTGCAGGGGTGGCGCCACGGGATGTCCACCCCACTTTTTTAAGATCGATTTTCTAACCTTTCCAAAACTAGACTAAAAACATAAAGGAGATGCAGGTTTTCTTCTTTGGGATCGAATCTTTCTTTCCATTTAGATGGTCATTTACGGTTTTTCTTCAGATCTTAGCTGACTAGAGTATGGTCACAGGTGTGTTGGATCGTCAGTTCCGCAAATAGTGAGAAACTATAATGAGGATGATCTATAAAACACAGCTTTATGATGCTAAACAGTTGGTTCTTAGAGTGTGGTTATTGCTTTCCTTCCTTGTTACAGGGTTTTAGCAATAATTAACTTTAAAACTTGTACCCAAACATTTTATAAGCAGGATTATAAAATTGCACCCCTTTATCAGCTCCTCCTCTTCATTGTCCACCCCATTATTTTGGGGCTGGTGCCGCCCCTGGTTCCTTTTAATGAAATATTTTTTGTTATTAATGATTGCATTTTAACAACTAACATGAGGTATCTTATAATTAAATTGATTTATTGCTGAAACAAGATTTTGATCTGATTTGATTTGATTTGATTTGATTTGATTTGATTAGGGTGTCTGTCACTGCCTGCTCGCTTTCTCTATTACGGTACCATCTTTGTTTCGACAGGCTTTGTTTACACCAAGTCTCGTTCTCGTTTCTTTGTGAGAGGCTGGAGACGTGGTTGACCATTTTATTTAGGCCAGTTATTAAAATCAGTAGTCAAATTTTTACGAAGGTAGCCCTTATTGAAAATGTTACCTCTGACGAATAAAGATCAGCTAAAAGGAGATGATTTCAAGCCAGGTATTAAGCTTTCATCAAAGATCGGAGGATGGCTCAAGTAAGTGGATGCCTTAATAATTTTGTACTACGTATCCCGCTTTTGAACGAAACGTTTCATGAAAATGATCAATCAGATACCTATCTTATGTTACAGCAATTCGTCGTAAACGGCTTTAGATTTGTTGTCTAGATGATGAGTTTTTTCATTTTCTGTTAATGGGACTTGCTTCTATTGTAAGCTAAAAAAATTCAATATCTTTCCTCAATAGTCAGATTTTCATTTCCCCACAAAAAGAATCGTCGAGACGAAGAGGGTCCTGTTTTGGAAGGGAAAATATTCCCTCATGCAATGCCGAGCTTATTGAGACCAAGTTTACTCTTTTAAGAGTAATGTTTTTAAACTTATTCGAGCCTTTGACAACTTGTTTCGTACGATAAAATAATTAGTTTCGAAGTTTTTTCTAATTATGTTCTCTGTTCCGGTTTGTGGGATTGGATGGTGACGTTGGAGCTTTTGAAATGTTGCGGTATCTAGCAAGGTTTTTCTCGTCATGGGTGTAAAGTAAAAAAAGTGGCGTCGAAATATGTTTATTTTGGGAAACAAGACGTACAGGCTGACCCAAGTCAGTCGTACCACAGTGTGCCCAGGGGTGGAAAAAAGTGATTTTTCAATGTCATCAGAAGGGTTTAAAGCTATCGATTTTTCAAAATTCAGACCCTCGCAAAATCTTGCAAAATTAGCAAGTCAAAATCTCAACTTTTGAACACTTTGTGGCTGTTTGAAGCTGAACAATAAATCTGAAATGACATTTTGAGGGACGTTTTTTTGGAAAAATACAGGAAAATGTATGATTTTCAAACAGTAATGACTCTTTTTTAGATGTAGAACACACAGCATAGACATTATTTTCATGAAATAACATGCATTCACAACATTTAAACATTTTTCTGAACAAAATAACAAAAATTTCATTCCAAAACAATTCAAATACTCTAGCTAAGTATAAATCCGAAGAATTTCAAATTTTGCAAAGGCTAATAGTCAAACCTCAAAAACAACAGGTCAAGCTTAGGGTTAATTGTTTCTAAAATTTTAGTATCTAGTGAATTTAGAACAACAGACAAGCATTTGCCAGAATTTGACAAAGGGTTTGAAAATTTTTAAGAAAGTTTGAAAATTTGAGAAAATAGCCAAATTTCTAGAAAAAATGTTTTTTATCTGTAAAATAATTACAGATATAACTTATTATCTACACCCAAAGGTCAGCGAATAAGTGTTTTTCCTTTCAATTCCTCCATAAAGTGCACATAACCATTCATTTATAATTTTAGAGTGTCTATTTCTATTATCATAACTACCAAATAGCTCATAATAAAAAAAATTAGAATTCAGTTAATGAATGATAAGATGACTGTGTTATTGTTTAACCGTTTAAATTGAGTAGCCCCAAGGGGACTTTATGCCCGTGCATAGTTGTCTATGACAGTTTATGAATTTTTCGAAGTTGAGTGTTCTGAAAAGCAGACGTGTTGTTTTTCATGTCTAGTTTTGCTAGGCCATGTTTTAAGGAAACATAACATTTTGGCGCAGTCGACAATTTTTCTTTCAAAAATGTCCGATGATGATAATAATTCTTTTAATAACTTCTTTCAGATCAGTATTTGCTGAAAAAGCTTCAAGAGACATCTTCTTTTTCCTGCTGCTAAATATGTCATTTGCATTTTTGGAACTCTTTTATGGAATTTGGAGTAACAGGTATTTTCTTAAAATGTATTTCAGCTATGCAATATTTTATATCTGTAAGATATAGATATCTTATATCTATCTGTATTTTATATCTGTAAGATAAGATATCTATATACTGTCATAAAAATAAGTGAATATTAAAGTATATTTTTTTCTTTGCCTATATTTGATAGTTTTATGTTATTGTATTTTAGAAACTAAAACAGCTTTATGTAATCCTTAACATAGATTATTCAGAGAGTTAGAAAGTAACTACAATGGCTGCCAAAAATAGTTATACATAAAAATTGCACTTAAAATAGCTGCCTATTGTCCCCTTTATTTTCCTATTTTAAAAGAAAAGCTACCCCTTCCCCTCTTCCCTGTCCTCTACAAAACAATGTTGCGTAGGAAGATCAGATCAGGTTTTGCTAAACATTAGACACATTGTTTTTATTCTCATTTTCATGTTTCAAAATTTTTAGTCAGAATTCAACATTATGTTGGGGTAAGGGGGGGGGGGAGACATTGAGTAGAGAAGATAATCAGGATGTTCCAACTCTTGTAGCTAGCTTACATTCTAAAGATACTGAAAATGGTTTGCCTTCTCTGATTAGCTGATTTAATTTGATTTTTCAGTCTTGGGTTGATATCAGATTCATTCCATATGTTTTTTGATTGTACTGCATTGCTAACTGGACTCACTGCATCTGTTATATCAAGATGGGGCAAAAATGAAAGGTTTTCTTATGGGTAAGCTTGCTCTTGTATTAATTATCATTTTCTAATGTAAACTGGATGATATCTATATAATCCAACCACTAGACTGAGAAAAAATAAAATGTTTAGTTTATTGTATTATATTGAGTTTTATTGTATTGTGTTAATTTTTTTGTATTGTGTTTTTTGTATGTTTTTATATTGTATTACATCATATTGTTTCATGGCAAAATAAATTTTAATCTATTCAAGAATATTATTTTGTATCTAAGGTATCACATTCTATATGCCATTGTATCTTATCGTATCTATTGTAAAGGTAAAAGTGAGCTATAAAATATTTGGAAGTAAGTGCTCCAAGTGTATTCTTAAGAGGGCATCTTCTCTAGGCCAAGTGCAAGGTAAGGCATGTTGGCCATTTCATTTCTTTGCTGCTGTCAGTCTGTAGTGTTGGCACTGGGTACCAATTTGCTTCTGGGTGGCCAGGAGGCAAGCTTCCAATCTATTTATTAAAATTGGACTCAATCTAGCAAGTGCTCTATCTAAGCACTCAAACAACTTACAACAATTACCTAGTAGAATTATGACAATTTTTTAACCAACATGTTTGAGATTGTTCAATGCCATTTTGAAACAGCATAATAAGGGGTGTTGCAACTTTGGGTTACAAGATTAATGCAATCCCCAGGCAATTTTAAAGGTTTTCAAATAACCATGAAATTAATGTATACTACAAAACCAACTGAAGTAACAATTCCTGCAATTTTCAGATTCTCGAGAAGACACCTGTACTTTCTTTCATTCAACCTTCAAAATATTTTCTTTGCATAAAAAGTTCATGTTTCTCTTTTCAGCTATGTGAGGGCCGAGGTCATGGCTGGATTTGTGAATGCATTGTTTCTGATGTTTGTAGCATTTTTTATATTCTCAGAGGCAGTTGAGGTAGGCATTACCAGTTTTTTAGACCCATATTCTTATTCTTTGGTAGCATCATTATATTTAATTATAACTCACAGAAAAGGGTTTTCTGGTGTAGCTTCAACATCTGGAAAATATTTTAAAATTATCATTTATTTTTATCATTTTTGATTTACTCTTGAACAACAAAAACTCAGAGATATGTTTGAGTTCTGATCATAAGATGTGTACCAATTGCTTTTACTGCAACGTCCAATGTAAAACTCAATGGTATTAAACTGTAGAAGGCTGTGATACAAAATCAGTTAAGACTAACACTTTACCAACCTGACAACAAGATATTTGATGTACAACATCTTAGCTTCATTTTCTGTTCAAAACGAGGCAAACAAAGTAGAAAGATTAATTACATCTTGCTGCTTTTAGTCTTCTCCTTGCAATTCAGCCAAGATAATATTACATTGTGTAAAAGTTAACATATTTTTCAAAAAGGCTTGAACCCCTTTCTTATTTTGTGTGCTTTTCTTTGTTTCTAGCGTGCATTTCATCCTCCACATGTGGAACACGAGCGTCTGTTTCTGGTATCTGTTCTTGGTTTCTTAGTCAATCTTATTGGCATATTTGTTTTTCATCATGGTGGTGAAGGTAACTAATGATTTTTTGAGTTTTTCTTCTTGCTTATTTTTCACTAAAAAGAAATTTACCAATGAATGCATTACACATTAGACCAATGAAAATTCCAGAATTCAAAATATTGTGATTTTTAAAAACCTTATGCTAAGAATTTATGAAACAGTTCTGTAGTTTGAGGAGTTTCTCAATGCTATCACTTTTATATGTAAATTTTAATCAGAGACTTTCACCATCTCTTGTTAGATTTCCATATAAGAACTTGCAAGTTTGTTATGAGAGCACCAGGGATCTTTTCTTACAACAAGAGTTGTTTAACAAATTGTCACAAAACTTAATGGGTTTTGAAACCACTGATATTTTGACCTATGATGGTTTAGAAAATCGCCAAAAAACTTGTCATAATCATGCCTTGGTCTCCATTTTGGAAATGATGGAAAATGTATTTTGTTTACAAATATGCACGATTTAAGCAATAGCATTGATTTCTAACTGGGCTAAAATAATAAAAATGATGACAAACAGTGTTTTCGACCTAAGGAAATTTTAATCGTTTAATAAGGTAAAGAGACACTTCTTCCCTATGCATGTATATTGACAAGGTTAGCTGTCTCTTGTGCAAGCTGTTTGTATGTCAGTTTATTGCGTTAGGTATCCTTGAATTTAACCTTACCCTGATGTAATTTTATGAAAGCTAAATTTGATAATACTTTGATCTTGATGCCAATTTTGCAAGAACATTTGATAATTCTTGGCTTGAACTTTCAATAACCCTAGCTGTTTTTATGTTCCTTATAAACTTTCCTCGATACGTTTCAACCATCGATATTTTAAGCTTTTAATAACTCTTGCTGTTCTGTGCTTTTCCCTTGACCCTGTGAATGCATTCAAGCACTCGGTAACTCAAACATTTGTTAACTGGAACCATTTTTATCCCTCCCCTTGGAGGCTCGAGTTATAGGGATTATTCGTTGGATTTGTATTTGGCTTTACGGCAGCTCATTATTTTAAACAATGTTAATCGGTCTAGTACAAGATTATACAGTGTTTTTAAGCAGAATCCAATACATTTATGTGCTGCAACGTTCTGGTTTCTTTTTGCAGGTCATGGTCATTCCCATGGTGGAGGAGGTCATGGTCATTCCCACGGAGTTACTGCATCACTGCCGCCTCTTTTTGACGAGAAGGAAGATAACGAGTTTCATACCGAATTTCATACTGGAAAGAAATCATCCGGACACGGACATTCTCATGGAAACGACGGACACGGACACTCTCATGGACACGGCCACTCTCATTTCGAACACGAACCACCCCATGCTTCAGATCAGCAAATCATCAAGGGTAATAATTTTTTTCATCATAGTCCTCGATGTTTTACTAAAGTTTTCGGAAATTCATCAATAAGAGTAGGTTATGTTCTAAGGTTAAATATTCTTAAATTTAACCACGTTTGAAAGTGCGAAATATTTATCAATTTTATTTTCACCTTGATTAGAAAATGATGGCTCTAAAATGCCACTCAGTATTTCATGGTTTATGCCATCTGTGTGCAATCTTAAAGCTCTGTCTACTGGCATCTCCTACTCTACAACAAGCAATTTAACAGTGATTTGATTTTCGTTGGTCATATCTACTTGAATCTGGCTGCTCCTTTTTTCCTTTGCGTTGTTTCTGCTCGCCTGCAGCCTATCCACAGAGTTTCTGTTGCGTTGCACGCTGATGTAGATCATGCTTTTCTTAGTAGATTCAGGGGTGTTACAACTCCAGGTGGTTGACGAGTAAGCGTGATCCACGACATTACGCACAGGAACGAAAATGTTGACAACCAATCTAACACCTAACCTCCCTCTTAGGGATTTTCAGACTTAAAAACCTGAAAACCAACATTTAATCTAAATCATGAATTTGGTAGCTGTTGATTACTGTTTCAAGTATTGTTGCTTTTAACTGTAGCACATTTGATTCAGACGTAATGTTAGTAGTTACGTTTGAGGATTACCTTTCTTAACTGAATTTTACATTTTAGGCGTCTTTCTTCACATTCTTGCTGACACCTTGGGTTCTGTTGGTGTTATTGTATCGTCACTTTTAATCTCATATTTCGGTATGTTGCTATGTTAGTTTGTATTAATCTGTTCACTATTGTCAACATTTTTTATCTTTAGCCACTCATCTACAAAGTAACTCATACAAAACCACTCCTCTACATATCTCTACCTTCAACCACCCCTCCCTTCAACCACCCCTCCCTTCAACCAAAACTCCCTTCAACCAAAACTCCCGTCAACCACCTTTCCCCATCAGCACTCTTTCCCACAACCACCCCTTCCCATTACCACTCATCCCCATAACCACCCCTCTCTATAAGCACCCCTACCCATTACCATCGGTCGAAATAAACATCCCTCCCCCTAACCACACTTCCCCATGCACAACCCCTCCCCTAATCACCCCTTCCTTTACCACCCCTCTTATAACCATCCCACCCCATAACCATCCTTCCATAACGACTCCTCTCCGCAAGCAACCCCCATAATCATCCCTCCCTATAACTAAATCTCCCTCACCACACCTCCTAGTGATCACCCCTCCCGAAAACAACCCCTTCCTTTATCCATTCCTTCAATAACTGTCCCATAACATAGCTATTCCTCCCCCATATCTACCCCTCCAAATAACCACCCCTCCAAATAACCATTCCACCCCATAGCCGTCCCTCCCCATAGCAATCCCTCCCTATAACCAGCAATCCTAATGACCACCCCTCCCATTGATCACCTTTCCCCATAGCTCTTCCCAATAACAATTTCTCTCCCCTTGCTTATTTGCAAACAAAGCTGAATCATCGCGCAATTATATTCTTGGTTGTCTACATTTCATTTTATTTTTTAATGCCAGGTCTTTGATTTTTATATCTAAATTTATAGATTTGAATTGCATGCATAATCAGTAAAATTTAATTGTTTCTTAATTCTTTTTCTTTGGGTTCTTTTTCGTGCTGTTTAAATTGTAATCATAGTCTACCGAAAAAATCTTCATTTATTCCTATGATGATATGTTTTCCTTGTAGGATGGATGGCTGCTGACCCAATTTGCTCAATGTTTATTTCTGTACTGATCTTCGTGAGGTGCGACCATGAAAAGAAGGCTATTTTTAAGAATACTCGCAAATTTTTAAGGCAAAATTCTCAAGTATTATAAGGCATGCTTTGGCGAAATCGTTTGTTGGTAATGTAAATTTCTAATTTTAAATGTTCTTGACATGAAGCAAAGACCCTATGACATAGCCTCTTCCCAAGTAGACTCCTTCTTTCTTCACTATCAGTTTAATACCTTGCATTAGCATAATACAAATAAAATACATTTTCTATAAAAAAGTTTTCCCAAGAATTTTTTTATGTTACACGGTTAAACTTCTAAAAAAGCTTTGTGGATGCAGACTTTCAAATATATTTATGGGTAAACAGATATTCCTTTTTCAAAAATGAATATCACAAATTTTTTTTTCTTCAGAAAAAGAATGTCTAAACTTTTGACTATTATGATTATGAATAATAGCTTATAATCTAGCAAAGTGTTATTATAAGTAGCTTATTAAGTGATACTGAGCTTTAACTTATTAGGCTGATATTTAACTGTATTAACACAATGACCTTTTCCATATTCAATTCACGGCTTTATCCACCGTAGTAAGAAGGGCCTGTTTGCAACATAGCTTAAGTGCAACATAGGGTAATAATTATCACGCTAAAGATATTCAAGAATAATATGTTGCGATTTAACATTAACTCATTTCATTACCAGCACATTCCCGCTGTTGATCGATTCTGCTGCAGTTCTAATGCAAAGGACGCCCCTAGAACTTGAACGTACATTACCAATCGCCTACCAAAAGGTAAGAAGCACACTAAAAAGCAAATAAACGAAATTTAACATAAAATGTAGTGGCTATAGAATGATTTGAAGGCCACAATTTTCAATCACGTGATAGTCTGTTTTTCCATTCAATCATATATATAGTTTGCAAAGAAATTTGAACTTTGGCCCTTACCATTCCGATTCATGAAAGACTGACCTTTGCCAGTTAACCTTTGACCTTCTAGCCTGTGAACTTCTTCTCCTAGTTCTATTTGAATTTACAGTAGTGAAAAAGCTTCCAATTCTCTCAGTCCTTATCTGTATAGATTATTATTTGCACCATGAGAGGTCCATTTTAACTCTATCTAGCATTTTGCAAGCACATCTGAGGGTACTGCCATTGTGGGAAATAATTTGAATTCATTTTAGAAGTATATGTATGCTTTTAGATCATTTATTACGGATACACTATATAAGACAATGCACTTTAAACACAGGTTTTTGTAACTGATATCCCATTTCGTCTTGCAGGTCAGCCAAATACACGGCGTTTTTAGCCTACAAGATCCTCACTTCTGGACCCTATGCAGGTATGTTCATAGTCCCATAGACTGTCATACAAAGATCCCAAACAAACAAAGTAGACAAATTGACTAATTCGTGGTTTTCGAAATTCGAGCTTCCTCGCTAGCCATCCAAGACAAAATTCATGCCGAAAACAACTGTTTAGCTTTCTTGCCAACCCTGATTTCTTAACTATTGAATTTCCTTCCAATGATCTCCTAAAACGAGATTTTTTCAAGTTAAGTAAACTGATGTTGCTACATTTAGGGTATTTCAAGTAATTTCACACTGGTGAAAATATTTTGAAGCCGCGTTCACTTACTGCAGAAAAAATTAAAAGAAAAACTTCGTTTAATTACTTTGGGTTCCTCCATTTTTATGAATTCTAAATAGTTTGCCATCGTCTCTGCTCTTATTCTGCTTTCCCTCTTGCCTAATTTCTCATTTTTCTCAGTTCATGTTTTGTTCCGATGCTTGACGTAATCTAACTTAAGATATTCGTCTTAGACAATGCTTATATTGTAATTTAGACTTGTTTAATAATTTAGAGTTCCTTAAGTTCCTTTGTCCGTCCAATGTTTCAATATATCTTTATTTTCGCAGTATCGCCTTTTAGGGCCATTGAATCTGCTATTGGGGGACTGGCTTTGTGGGTCTCTTTATCCTTCCTCCTTCGTTTTCTTATTTGTACCCCCTTACTGTCAGGCCAATACTTTGCAACGGTCACATCAACGTTTGGCTATTCTTTGTTACAGCAAACACTACGTTGGCACTGTCCGTGTTTTGATAGCGCCCAACGCAGACGCATCAGATATCCTTCGTCAAACACATAACATTTTTAACCAGGTATGTTATTTTGCATCTTTTAGCTGCGTACTTTTTCAATTTACAGTCATTGAAAGTTGTAGAAAAGGCCCAACAGATATGGCTCCATTTCTCATTTATTTCTATAAAAATTCATTTCTGATATCAAGTAAGCTAACTGTGACACAAATGGATCTTTTGTAAAATGCTTTACATGACTATCTATATACGACGAGACGATGCTGGACAACAATAAATGTTCACTCTTGATTTGTTCCAATTTAACCACTATTTGTTCCAATTTCTCCTTGAAATTGTTTTTTGAATCGATCTTACTTTACTCAACGTATTGGCCGAAACGCGTACTACGTGGAGTAAAGATGTTAATGTCATTTGAAAGACGAAGCTTTGAGAACCCTCCTCGTCAAACAAACAATATATGGCTTTGGGACTATCATTTTCAACCACAAAATAGTCGGTTGGCAGACATGGGATTACCGTGTCTTCTGTATTCGGTACTTTGAAATCAAATTGTTATTGAACACCATAGATCTACCATAAAATAATAAGAAAGAATTTACAGCTTTTAGCGCGAAAAAAATGCATGTAACTTCTGAGTAGACGTTCGTAGTGTTGCTTCCTTTTCATCTGCCCGTCGGAAATACTTTTTAATAAATCTCTCTTACCTAGTATTTTGTATTATGTGTTCAGTAAAATCTAGAATTAAGGGTTCAGATGCCGAAGGCCAAAGGAGGATACATAAACAAGGAAATGGAATTGCCACCCCCAAATTCTGTTTTTTCTATTTTCCTCAAAAAGTTTCAGACGTTAAAAGAATTCTCCTGAGGAAAAAATCCACTTTCCTGGATTACTCTTATAATACATTTTATTTTAAATCTCTGATGTTTCAGTTAACTTTCAACCTAAAATAACATTCTTCTTTCATCCAGCTTGGTGTTCAACAGCTCTACGTTCAAATCGAAAAATCTTACTGAGGGTTCACAGCGTACAGGAAAGTGAATTCTTTGTTTTAAAAACTGGTGAATACCCGCTGGGATATATTTATTAGCAAAAATAGAATTTATAATAGAAAATTATTTCTAAAAAATGGACTTGAAACGTCTTTTTTCTGGCATATGAATTATTATTGGCAATAGAAAAGATTATTTTGTGAATTTTCAATTATAATTTCGAAATGTTTTGCCATTGAAATGACCGGAAATATGTTATGGAGGTGGATTAGGTCTTTCTTAAATATAAAAAGAAAATAGGATAGACAGATTGGGGTCGTGATATGTAATTCACATTCCAGCTTTAGTTTGAAGGTATATTTGAAAAATATACTGTTTTAACCGGCTCATAAACATACTTCCTGCTCATACGACTAATCTTTTACATTTTTACTTGTTTATCCCTGTCATAACATTCTAAAGTTTTAATGCAACTTAAAACCTTTGGGTGTCTATGGAAACGTTTAATAAACAAATTACCGTTGTATAGATGGGGGTTGCCCATTGCGAAAGTCTATTAAACATAGAAAATTAGAAATAACGTTATATTTACATAAAGGACAGGAATCCGTTCTTATGTATTTAATTATAACTCCTTGTCAAATATATCATTACTTGCAAAATGGAATATGTTTTGGTAGATTTAAAGAATTCGTTTGTTCCCAACTCTTCTTTTTTGTCCGGACAATGACACATCTGCATTTCACATGTTATGTTATGTTATGTTATGTTATGTTATGTTATGTTATGTTATGTTATGTTATGTTATGTTATGTTATGTTATGTTATGTTATGTTATGTTATGTTATGTTATGTTGTGTTATGTTATGTTATGTATTGTTATGTATTGTTATGTATTGTTATGTATTATTATGTTATTTTACCGTTTGTTACCTTGAGTTATCTTCTGTTTTTGTCTGTGTTTGTTAACTTTTGGAATTTGACTCCAGTGCTAAGTTTTGAAACGAGAGACGATGTCACTAGAAATCTTTAAATTTTTTTGCTTTCAAGAGACGTCCTAACGGGCTTTATAAAGAAGGAAGTATAACGCTAATTAGCGATCACTCAATTTTCTAACACAACTAAGCTTACAATGTCACAGAAGTTCAATCTACTTTGTAATGTTCATCATCGTTCGATTCCTTGTGCGAATTTCAAGTATTTCCATCGTTCAGCGTTGATTTGAATTCATCTCGCCACATGGTTTGCTTTTAATTCATATTTTATCTGTTTTATTCATCTGCCATGTGCGACACAAGACAAAAAAAGCACGGATATAAGTTTTGTCTCGACCAAACCAAAATGTTTATATATCTAAAGGATTATTGTAAACCTATGTTTGAAGGTAGACAATCCATTGTTTAGTCGCACATGGATCGTTCTTCCTTTCCTTTCCTGGACACTCCATCGCAGCGGCGTTTGTTGGCAACTGATTCTAGCCCGGATAATTAGCCCTGACAAAAATTTTGGTTGCTGCCACAGCCTCTGCGACGGAGAATGCGTCCTCGACCTCATAATTGTCATACCCTGTTACCAGGGAAACAAAATTGCCAATTACTTGAGAAGAAGATTGACTGGGCCAAGCTGAAGAATCCGGTTCAGGATAATCCGACTAACCTCGTGTCATACATGTCAAGGAGTTTTTTGAATGCATAAATGAATCATAGGTCGCTTAGGGTCAGGGAACGCTCTCCTGCAAATATGAGATCCAGCAAAACATGATACCTATCCGGATTCTTCATGTCCACCAATTGACTGAAAATTGAACTTATATTTTGATTATAACAACATAAACAGTTAATTTTTCTATCGACTTGTTACAGCCTGTTTTAGCTGGCCTGAAATTTGCAATTTAGGCCTTGTAAGAAATATAAATTCGTTATCCCTTGAACCCCTGTTGTCAAATACAAACACATTCCTATTAAGAAAATGCTGTTGTTTTTGTTTGTTGCGGTCCTGTGTTGGGAGCGACAGGTAGCAGTATAGGTGAATAACAGTCAATGCTCTGAACAAGGACAAATGCCTCTTGAAATTCAACTAACGCGATTAATCTGGTTTCAATGAGGACTTATCTGTGGTTTCATGAATTGCATGAACAATGTCAAGAATTTATATACCTTTCCAACCTGTAAAATGAATCGAAAGGATGGGCGGCTCGGACCCGCTGCGGTTAGTTTCACAAATTTTCGGCTTGTCGCTATGCCGCGCGTTGAAAATGATCCACCTCGTGGCTTGTTTTATACTCCGCGGCTTTTCTGTTCAAATATTTGAATTCTAAGACTAAAGATTTTATATCGCTGCTCCGTAAATATTGATCCTGCTCAATTTCATGTTTTATTATTTCCAGTCATTAATTAGTACAAAACATTAGTTTATGATTTTCAACAGCCCGCCCAGAAATAACATAACGAACTGGCTTTCTTAGCAAACGCCTTCAGCCAGGTTTCCTTGCTTCCTGAGTTCATGATGATAACTGGGAACCAAGGCCTTGAAACTTTAAGCTTTCGAGCAGATACGCTTGGCGATTGTTAACTTTTTCCTTGGCTTCTCAACTATCTCTGTCTCTCTTCAAAGAACAACTGGCTCTATTCATGTGTCTGTTATAACACGTTGTGTCTTATTCTTCAAAAGGCCTTCACACAACTTGTCTGTCCTATCTTTGCTATTTCTTAGCAGAACTTCGCTCGAAACATCCTATAACATCTCTCAATCGAAAATTTTATGTTTCTTACTTGAAGTTTTCTATGCTCTGTCCATTTGCTACTTTGCTTTTTCTTATAGCATAGCAATTTTCTATGTTGTTTTAAACCTCCCCTAGTTGAAACGTTTTAGTTTTTTAACACTAAAATGTTCATGTAATTCAACTTCCCAAGAAAGTAATAATTCAACACAATAAGAAGAGTCGTTATTAATTCGGCGTCTTTTGAGAATTTTTAAATGTACGTAAAGGAATAGAGACCAATACTGTGATTAATTTCGATAAAAGACTCTAAATATTCGTGTAACGTCCTAATTTTCGCATCATTTGATCAGACTGTTCGTTTTGTAAACGTTCTGTTTATTTATGTTCAAGAGAAGGTTTATCGCAACTTTTGAAAGAGATGCATGCCTCGACGAGAATTCGGCATGATTTCAAACTCAGACTTAAACCGAATTATAAGAGCAAATCTCAACAGAAATGGTGAAATATTTCTAAAGAAAAGGGACTGAAGACAAAAACTTCAAGCTACTGTTTGATATGAGAAAGGCCCATGACAATTTTTTTCCTTCGAGCAAGATGTCACCAAGGTATGTAAACAGTTCAAATATACAAATTTCAACAATTTGTACTCTCCTTACCTTTTTATGATACTGCCTTTTGAGGAAACAGAAAAATGTATGGTTCTGTTGGCAAGCCGACTGCTTATAAAGAATGTGCGTCGGGGTATAATGCACCGCCTGGTGCCAAATGTAGGTAAGATTTTTTCTTATAGATTTTTCAATCTGTCGGATTATAATGTGTCCTGAAGGTGGAAGCTGAGTTTTTTGCTTTAAACAGCACGCTAGAAACGGGCTTTCCTTTCTAGGAGTGTGTTTTTGATATTGAGGAAAGCAACAGTACAAGCACCAGGTTGGGACTGGGACTTTTCCATTAGTATGTCTTTGGAAACTCAACTGTACCCTGTCTAGCCTTGGTGTATGAACTTATTAGAGAACAGAAGGGATGAGCAGCAAGCAAGTAGCGTATAATTTCATGCAAGTGATTCGAAATTGAAATTTCAGCCCCACAGCTGACCTACAGCTCCTAATCATGTTTATTGAAATGGGTTTGGAAAATTCTTGCTGTCTACAAAAAGGTGAAAATACGTTTATGTGCACGTTTATGAACTTTGTACATAGAGAGGGGGGAGTTCTGCTGAAAATGGGGTTATGAGTACCTACCGTTTCGTTCTCAAAATATTTTATGAACTTGTTGAGGCACCCTAATACCAGCACAAATATTCGAATAACCACAATTTGGTCACCCCTCAAATCCGCGTTGTATCAATTCCCTTCCTTATCTAACTCTGTTTGCTGTTAAGCTTAGGGGAGTCTGTGCCATTTTCTGTTCCACCTCAAAGGAATACTTGTAGAATGGTATTTGATATTTTACAAATAATATTCCTTATTCCAGATCATAGTTAAAAATTATATTATTTAGATTCAAGCTAAGGGTCTAAATAGAAGGTTTTACGCATGAAAACGTAAAATCTGATAAAATTGGGAAAATGGTGAAGCTTTCACGTTCAAAGAGTAACTATCTAGTTTCAAGCGCCTCTCTCGGTGAGTTGCCTCTTGAAACGATGTCAAGAGCCAGAGGCTGTTGTCACAAGCGCGTATCGTGTGTGATCGCTACGCTTAAATTTATTATTGTCAATTTTTTTTTCACAAGCACGTTTGCGTTGGTTGTTGACTGCGACAGATTTCAAGTTGTAGCCGAACTTTCAACATCGTACGAAATTCCATTCACACCCTGGGACTTGCTAGTGTTTGACACATTACCCCCACCCCACCCTCCCAACCCCCTACCTGACTCAATGTTGAGTTTTTGTTATCTACAGTACATTCTGCTTTTCAATGATCAACGGCGGGGTCCTCCAACGGTTTCAGGGTCTACCTGTCCGCTTAAAGAAAACCGCGCGGCCATTAGCCGCTACCCTTGGAGGTTTGTTTCATTTCAGGATTCTTAATACGGCGGATTGTATATGGCTCATTTAATTATCGATCTTTGGAAAGGTTTTGAAAAATATATCCTTCCTGACAATAGACAGCTCAGTTACAGCTTGATTTGTTTCATATTTTCAATCTAGGCCGATTTGTGAGCAATAGGAGCCGTTTGCCCGTAGCTTTGATTATCTAAAGATGGATAAACCCGCAACACCTAAGAAGAAAAGCAGCAAGATAGTGCGAAAGTTCTTCAGATGGAAGGCTGATAAGAGCAAGTCAACAGAACACAAGCGAGATAAGCACAGCTCCAAGGTAAGCTTTGCTACTGTTCTTCCTCCTTCCTGTTTTACTTAAGCCCGTGACTTCAGTTTTGTTACCAATAAGACTATTTTTTCGTGTACGCCCAGGATTTGGAGCATTATGGAGCGTAAACACACGAACATCGACGTTAATGCAACGTGCGACTCAATTGGGAGAAGCATAGCTGCATAGAAAGTATAAGCAGTGCGTTCTGCCTATATCCATTTGTCTTTGCGGTTATCAGGACAGTTCCTAAATGGCATCGATTTTGCATCACTTTGCAAAGGGTTGTTGTTAGATTGTAAATCATCTGTAGAAGACAGGAAAAGTTTCTTCATTTTGCTTGAAGAGACGGCTCCTGGAAAAATTTACATTGCATCAAGGTATTTTGCCCTGTGTTTGGAAATTAAGTTGATTTACTCAAAACATGTGGTAATATGATCCACTATGTTGATCTTTTTGACTCAACCAGCTGTACCAAATGAGCTGAACCTTGAAGTCTATTTTTTATTATTCTTATTTTTGCAATATCAATATTTACTTATGATTTATCGTGCAGTGCGGGCGGTATTCTGCATCTATCGATTCACTTGGAAGCCACTACTCGCTACCTAACTTTGTACTTCTCTCTATTCCATTTCTCTCTAACACACGATATGTTATGTTTAGCATTAAAATGAACCAAAATACCCGCACAGTGTAGAATTGGGGGGGGGGGGGCTGATAAGAATTTCACCATCACAATCAATAGCACGTTTTATTGCCACAATAGTGATGCAATTACAAATCAAAATTCTGAGACATGATATCCTAATTTTCTGTGGCCAACGCTATTTGAGAATCATCGAAGTGATGGATGAAACCCAACCTCTAAAATGGACACTGGATAATCCTGACTTCAAGATTCGCCGTTCATGAGTTTATTAGCATCATTCATATAGTAAGATTCTTCATCTATCTGACTAACTGCAGTGCCATTCTACCTATTCTATCTCTATTTCTAGAAATATTCCCCTGCTATTTCATAGTTTGTTGATGGGAACTAATAAAGCCCTAGTAACAAGTAATCTATACAGGATGTTCCTATTTGACTTCATAGATAGGCCTTCTTCATAGATCATCGAATGTTTTTTATCTCCCCTAGTGTTTCTTCAACCAGCCGATTCCCTTCCCCAAATTTGAAAATGCCCCAAGTTAATATGCCTCTCCCAGTAACTAGGACATGAAAAGTACCAAACATGAACATAGATACAATGAAAAGGACAAAAAACAGCATGTAATTATGGCAGCAAACGAAAATAGATAATCGAATGATATAAAAGCTATTACCCTGGGTTCCAGAGCGTCTCCTGCAGCACCCTATTTCCCACTTGACGTCTTGGAACCCAGGGTAAAAAGCTACTGTGTTCACAGACTAGACATGCAAAGTTTGAATTCTATGGTACGATCAAGCATGGTAGATAAAACACCCCTGTGTAACAAACCCCGTGAAAACCGTCTCCCGTGAGAAATTTTTTGTCCGTGAACTCCGCTTCAGAAAAATTGCATGACCCGGACAAGTTACCATTTTCCCAAGTCCCCTGCAGGCTGAAACCTTTAAATTTTGTTTTGTTTTCCTGCCAAAAATGTGCCAATGTTCCCTTTAATAGCCCCCTTTGAGGGCCATTTCCCCGGTCAAATTTTACGCATCCTCCGCCGGTACAAGTAAAATTTACTGTCCACGATAGCAGAAACAGCTGGAAAATCATTAGGCTTGGTTCACAAAAGTTTTTAAGTACTTGAGCTGAAAATGCTCTTACCAAAATACTTTAATGATGTCGTCGAAATTTAAAACTCAGAATGAGGTTTGGAGATCATCACTAGCCTCGATGCAACAACCTGTTTTGATAAGCAATTACAGCACTTAACAACTTATGCAGGTTGTTTGTGTGAAACACCTAAATTTCAAGTAATTTCTTATTATGTTTGTTGGACACATTGATATTCAGCTCCAACGTCTGTAATATGAATGGATGGCCGTTTGACGTAGTCGCAGCTATCGCTCGGTGTTGAATCATTTATATAAAATGCAATACAGAAATATAAAGGATGTTGATTTTTATTCATCGTGTTTCACTCATTAATATGAATTTTCTTGCAATTTGCCATTTGAAATGGAAAGCCATTGATTTCCTCGCCAGGAACCTGATTCAGTGGGCAGTCCTCCGCTTGAATGCCTAAGCCAAACTCTCTGTTAGGCCTCCCCTATTGTACAGATCTCCTCCTGCTTTTATTTGCTTTTTACGTTGGTAATCGCTTTTCTTAGAAACTCACAGGGGAAAGGTTTCTAGTTTTCTTCTTGAAAAACTGAATACATCCAAGAATAGTATCAGATTAATCTATTGCCTTGCCTCGCAATTGGCGTTTATAAATCTTATGTTACGTTAGTTCTTTGTCGCACGCCAATGTAAGCTATGGTGGAATCTCTGTATCTGCATATTTCCTCGCTTCATTTACCCTAGCCATAAAGATCTTGCTGTATGGAAAATTTCCCAAGGCGCCAGGTTCCTTGAATGAACTCTTCCACTTTGTTCCTCTTACTCTTTCTTTCATACAATATTTTTCTTCCTCTATGAAGTGCCAATTACAGCATACGCTTTCTTTTCCCATTTCGTTAGTGAATGTGTTTGTAAAGATAAATGTTCCCGTGGACTTTTAAGCGACCTTGCACGGGAAGAGAATGTGAATGAAGGAATTTCTAGTTACTGTGACACTTGCTCTAACGAAACATTTTGCAGATAATGATAGAGCCCGTTCTTGACTTTTAAACCGAATACCAAAGTATTTTTGCTTCTCTCAGATTATCTAAAATCCTCCTCTTTTGTTTTATTATAAGCTAGAAGTTTTCTTCTCTGCGCAGGGAGATAGACATGTGACCTACAGATATCAGTATCTATCGTGTTTTTAAGTCCTCCAGTGGAAAAAGCTTAAGACACGCTAGAATATAGTGGTTACAGGTGCTTTACCTATCTTGCGCTATATTGCTGCTATTTTGAACAGAATTGTGAACTCACAAGGAGAAAGTACATTATCTGCAAAGCACAATATGTTTTTCTGTTATCAGTATGCACGCGGTGCAGCTTGTTGCGGTTAAGTTCTCGACGTGGGTAGATTGCTGCCGTATATTCAAATAAGGCCCGTCCTTTGCCGAATGTCGATTGGTATTGTTATGAAGTTAACAGTGGCAGCCGCCTGTTCATTGACGCCACCTGCTCAAAGCCTTTTAGAATTTATTCGTTAATGAATCTTTTTAAATTTTGCAAAATCAGAGGCAACTAGTTCTTGAACCACAGGGGGAATCTCGTTGGTGATATGGTGAAAGAAGCTCAGTTTCTCCATGCTCCCTTTATCTCTTTAGAACGTTTTTGGTCGTACTTTAGCTGTTCTTCTCGTTTTTAGATTTGATTGGATCTTGCTACTATTCCTTTTTCAAATCCTTCTTTGTTACTCTTCAAGTAGACTTAAGGTTAGCCACATTTAGGTTCTGTAGGGGGAATCAATTTCTTCCAGCCCCTTTATTGCTATCAGTTGTAGTCAATTGTTTTGTGGTATAAAGACTGTCTTTAGTCAATATCGTGAACTGTAAAAGAAAACATCTTCCTCTCAAGATAAAGTTATTGGCGTAGGTTGGAGGGTTGTCAGGTACAAAAACTGCCCTTTTCACGTAAATTTTCCTTATTACTTGATAATATCTTGTAGATTACCTTTAATCTGCTTGAAATATGGTGGAAATTTGCTCGAAATCGTGAAAGCTCTAATTGAAGGGCGCTTTCTGCCCCCAAGAGATTTTTATGATCAACCGTATCGTGGTATGAACAACCTGTATCAACCCGTCTGCGAGTCCTTTAAAAGACAGTAAACCCTTAGTCAAAAGAAAACCTCTTCAAAAGGACTTGTCAGCAAATACGTCACTAACTGAGAAAGTCTACACAAAATATGTTTACAAAGTAAAACGCGTCCCTTGATAAAATGACGGGATTAAAAACTATCGTTTAAATGGACCAACCTGCAATAGTAATCAATCCATTCAGCACTACCTTTGTAAACTAGAACAGACTTTTCTTTTGCTCAAAATCAACGCAGGTAACTTGTGGCTGTCTTTAAGGCAGAGTGTCGATCTGCTTTTCTGCACGATGTCCTAGGAATCTTCATCATTCACAAACGTTTGGTGTCTTTTGGGAGTTAATTATGAGAAGTCACCAGAAGCTCATTATACTGTGGACATGATGGGATTTTATGGAAATGTTTTTCTTTGCATCTAAAGTTGAGTAGGTTTACCAACAGAGGTAAGTCTTTATTAGGATGCAGGGCTTAATTTGTGGAATAGATAGAGATGAAACATGTGTGATAAAATAGCTTGATGCAATGTATTATCTATATCTGCGTTCTTCCATTCTAACACTTGGTTCAAAGAGCTGGATATTTTTTCCATTATGACAAACTACTTATGCCATCCCAAAATTGCTATTTTGTTTCTCAAATACCAGGAGGTAAACATGCCTGAATTTTTTGAAGCCTCTTGCTGTTTAAGGGTTCTGTTTAAGGGTTAGAATGATCTGAACATTTCTACGTTCCAAACTCCATACATAGCCCATTTTGAATAATTTATTTATTGTGCCCTCTTTTAAGAGTACATTATTTATCCACGTGAAAATACTTCACCTTCGCATGGCAGCATATATGCAGGTTAGCTTCCTTCGTAATTTGTAGAGACTCACCTAAATCAAATTGGAAAATACCATTCTATTGTTTGCAGCTGTTTCTATATTTATAGAAACCACTTAAAGGTTGTTAGTTGGTCACTTCTGCGTTTTAAAGGCAGGTAAAAGTGGCTTAAAGCCACTTGACCACAACGGTTGACCAATCAAATTGCACACAGAGAGTAACACGTGAACAATTTCCGCCTTTCTGCAAATCGGTGAAATCGTAGAGGTTTTCAATACCTTTCTTGTGCCCGTGCTCTGATCAAATTGGCCTAAGTTATTTTTGGATTCGCTGTACTTATGCATTATCAATGCCTTTAACGTTATTAGTCGTTAGAAAAACTTTGGGTTTGTGTAGTCCCTCCAAGGAAAAATTAACATTGTAGATCATTGAATTCCATGAAAGCTTCACTCTTCACGAAAACATGCGTAAAACGTCTTCAGCATAAGCAGAAATTTTTGCATGTTTTCTTGTATCTTGATATTGGAATATTTGTTGTCAAGAGTAGCTACCACATGAAGAATTATGGCAGAAATACTGCTTAGGAAATTGACTTCGAGGGAAATGGGTCATTTAATCTTTTCATTTAGCTTTTTTTATCCTACAAGTTGCTTGCTTGCTTCAAAAGGTGGATAATTGTTCCATTGTAACTTATTATCTACGCCATCCCTACATTACTAGTTCATTGCTCAGATTGCTATTGGCAGCATCATAGACGCAAAATGAAAAAAGTTTGGTTTTATTAAACCATACTCTCTTATCTCTTTTATTAGACCATCCAATACTGTTTGCCCTGCACCCCTTCTAATATCGTCTATTTATAATCAAGCTTAACCGTCACCCTCACCAATTTTGAATGCACCATTAAAGCTTTTTTAACTTACCTTTTCTTTACGGCTATGAATGTAAATTTACAAATACTTTCTTTCACGGCTAAGCAATTTGTAATAGGCGCTATGAGATTGCCGAGAAAAGAAAAACAATATTCTTCAAGGAATTCGCTAAATCTTTATGTTTTGCATACCATCGATAAGCTCGAATTCATACAAAACCTGTTTGCATAGCAGCAGTGTTGTTATTCGACTGTAACAATCGTTGTTTGAAATGCCAGTCTTTGGATTTTGCCATGATCGAAATGCATACAAATGTTAATCAGGGTCTGTGAATTTGAAAGGGACCAGATGGAAATCGTTATGGTGCTGACACGGTTGTACGAAGCTCGTGTTTCAGTTGGATTTTGTGGCCTCCAAGCTGTCTTGATGTAGCTAAACTCTTTTGTAAATTGGAATGTTTTTATGGTTTACACCGAGCAACAGAACTGGGGTTAAGCTTGTGAGAATTACGCATTCATGTTCATATGTACATACGTTTGAAGGCTGTGTGATCGATTTATATTGTACATTAATATACGGGGATTCTTCACAACACCTTGTTTGGTATGTATGATCGATATCAGACTGGTAGTATGATTTGAAAATGTATGTTGGACGTTAAGGAAGTTACTTTACTGAAAACATGTGAGTCCAAAGCCGTAGAGTTTATTTTGATGCTGTTGAACCATATGTAACGTGGGGAATTGTTAGTGCGCATTTGATGCCATGTTAGATGGCACATCTGTAGAGGCACATGTGTTTTCTAATGGTGAATATGCACTAGAGACACGTCTGTTTCTGTTCGTATCTGCCCGATCATAACACATACCATGGTGCAGTTGTAGTTTACCTTGCAGGGTACAGGATAGGCATGCGTTTGACACTATTAGAGATTTATAACATGAACTTTCATCTTTGGCGTTTTCCACGATATATGTTACCAAGAAGTCAACAAATTATTTTGTGCAATAAACAATAGCTGTCTAAGGAGACCTGTGTTCAGATCGCCTTGAAAACATTTTAGCATTTGATCGATTGGTTTTAGATTTACACTATCCTATCTCCCTTAACATTAAACCATGATTGTTTTGAATTTCATTCTTCAATGTTTGCCTCAATGTAATCTGTACTGGACCCCTTTCTTCAAGAAATATTCTGCTGTTGTTGTACTTGAGCCACTAACGACTCTCCTATGTTAGCGTAAACTGGTTGAAAACAGGTTTTCTGTTGGTCATCAAAAAATGAATACTGTGAATTTTGAGATATGTTTCCTTTTCTGTTAATTTATAAAATAAGGATATTTAGCCCTTCCCTATGGCTTGAATATGGCTCTCAACTTTAGTCTTGTCATTTTAAGATCTAATCTTGTTCTCACAAAATGAAAACTGTATCGCCTTCTAAAAAGGTTTCGATAAGCTGTTACTACGTTTCCAGTTGTTTAACTCGTGCTATCTAATCGTGTGTTTCCCGAAAAGGCGTGTGGTTTCTCTACGTCGATGTTATTTTTATTAGTACGTTATCATCTTTTTGTATTTCTTTGTCTCCTTATGACTTCTTTATTTGATTCAATATCGCTCTGTTTCAGACTCAATGCTCTCAGCCATTCACTGACACTGATGAAGATTCGTGGGAGCGAATACGGAACATGGAGCAGGCGAGGCAGATTTCAGCAATGCAAAATCATATAGCGAACTTGCAGTCGAAATTAGAATCTTTTGATAACCACAACAACAACACGGGGACTTCAGATGCACAGGGTGACCCTAGTATAAAAACGGATGTTACGGAAAACTTTGCACTAAAATCTGAACAAGTAACGAAGGATTCAGTTATGGTTGAGAGAAAACGCGAGTTGAGCCTTCCTGAAGATGATTCACAGGATAGTGGAGAGGAAATTTTCGTTTATGTCGACGAGGATGAGTCTAACCCGAAAGAAGGCTCTAGCCGGGAATTCAATTCATCGTCTGAATTGCCATGTACAATTATTAAAAACACAGACTCTAATGGAACTGAATTGAATGATTCTACTAATAGTGTGAAATATTCCACGAAAAAAGTTACTTTTGACGATGAAGCGATAGAGAAGAAACCAAACAACCAAGAAATTAATTTTGAAGACATTACTGACGATGTATGTCAATTGGATCAAATAGCCTTGTCTAATAACTTTGAAGATACTTTTGTTGGTGCACAAGATACTTTTGAAGATAAAACTGAAGAAGAGATCTTGGCTGCAGCAGCTGAAGTAGATTCGTCAGAAAAAGGCCGTGGAGAGTTCATGTCCGATCAGATGGGAAATAAAGGAGAAACACGCTCGTTTGAAAGTCTTTCAAGCGGCAGTAATGCAGCAAGTGTAATTGGAGTTACTTTAGAGGATGCTGCGGTGGATAGGTGGACTGATGTGATGCATTCACCAGAGGAATGTGCCGAGGCGAACGTCGCCTTGAGGGATGACAACCCGGATTTGACTAAGATTAATGGGGAATTAAAAGACAGGATCGCAGAATTAGAGGAACAAGTATGGCTGGCAGCCGAGGATAAACGAAATATGCAGGCTATGCTGGAAATACAAAAAGAGCGTGCTTTAAAGAATTTGGCCTTCAAATTTCAAGATATCAATAAGAAAACACTTCGAGAATTGAAGAGTATATTTGAGTACCGCCTACAGGAACTGAATGAAGAGAAAGTAAAGCTGCAAGAAAGGCTTGAAAACCACAAATGCGACGTGGCTCAGGCTGCAGAAGAGTGCCAAATCTGTGTCACATTAGAAGAGAGCGTGCAAGTGACAAACGAAAAATGCTCGAAACTGGCCGAAGAAAATATAGTTTTAAGAAAACGTTGTCGAAAATTGAGTGGCGATCTTGGGAAAGTTAAAAAGGCCATCGGGGCCTTACAAGTAGCGGAAGAACATTTGGTCAACGAAAGAGGCACACAGACTGAAAATTTAGCTGTTGAAGTACGAGATATGGGCATTCAGTGCCAAGAGTCACTTGAAACCTCGATTTACGTTTTGCATGATGACGTCAAAGCCATTGCTGCAGGTATGACCTCGTTATCAAATCACATATTGAATGAGCAGAAGCAATGGGTTGATAATAGCAGCAACCAGTCTCTTGCTGGTGATAGCCCTTTTCCTACGATTAACGAAGACTCTGGCAACGAGAGCTCACGATTATGCGCGAGCAAAAGTCGTTCCGAACATGACGAAAGCGAACTTGAGGACGATAGCAATTTGAGTTGCTCCGAGAACTCATGTGACAGCGATAAAAGTGGCGAATTAAGAACTGAAGGGTCTAAGGATTCATCAAGAATAATTGACGATGTGGACTCAGGATTTTTTTGCAGTGACATCTCTGAATGTGAAATTGAGAAACATCTTGACAAAATCCATCAGAAATATATAAAAATAAGTGAAGAATTAGAAGATTACGAGAGGTCGAAGCTACAACGAGATCATCTACAATATAAGGCTGATCAGCTGACAATTCCTTCGAAGATGTTTGAGCTAGATCCTGAAATTATGAAAATTGTGGAAGATGTAAATAGACAATATGACGAATACTTTAGAAATAAGGTTGTGTTGTAAAATTCCGAGCCATGAATTAATGTAGTCACATATTTGAAGCTAAAGTAAACATATGTAATGATTCTTTGTAATATATCTAGTGAATTGCAACGGCTTTTAATATCGTAGAATTTGAGAGTTTTAAAGCAGTTTATTGCCAGTCGAGATTGTGTACAGCATCAAGCTAAAAAGGTGAAGTTCTCATCATTGTTATCATTCGCATTGACTTCGAAGCAAGTGGTACAGTGTTAGGGAGGCCTAGGGAGCTGAGCACCCTTTTTAATGCGAAAATATAATCAATTTATACTTTTTTTATTGTTTTTAGCAACATGATGTGCAAGAGCCCACCTTGTTATTTTGATAGCACTACACCAGTGCTGTTACAAAGGTCTTTGGTCGTTGTCTTTGTTGTGCTGTAATTGTTTCTGTAAATATCTCGTTAGTTTGCTAACTTCATATTCTGCCATTATTTTGTCCTTGTCATCATTAGTTACGCCTGTGGTTGCTGTCATCCTTGTTACTTCATTATGGCATTGGCCACCTTCATCATTTTCAACGCTTCCTACAATTCTGCTGAAATAAACCAAAATTTTCTTATACTCTCATACTCTTAATCGGAGAAAGGTACGCAGGAGTCGGAGAAAAAGGTTGAAGTATATTTCAAAGTATTTGCTGTTAACTTCGGAACTGTGAACATCGAAAAACTTCAATTTGAAAAGTTACAATACATTTCCTTTGTTGTTTGTAGAAACACCGTTTTGTTTTCTTGTTGTTTCCAAAAATTCAACATTTCTATTCTAACTGCCTTTTAAAGATTCTGTCATTATTTTGGTCTTTGACATCCTTTGTCACCTGTTGTTATTCTCGTCCTTGTTATTGATGTACTTCGTTATGGTGTTGGTCATTTTGTCTTCACCGTTGTCTTTGCCTCCTAAAACTACTGCTAGAATCAACTAAAATGAAAATTTAGAGTTTTCATTTCATACTCTGATTGAAAAGTGGCAGAATAAAACCTGAAATATGTTTCAAAATGTTTGCTATTATCAAAGCCATTTTTAAATTCTGAACCCGCAGAAATTGTTTAGAAGCGAATGCTGCTAGTTTTCAGTGGTCAACGATTTTTTAAAGAAGGTTGATGCTGATTGGCATTTTCAGTCCTCGTCGGTAAAACTGTGAACAGATTCAATACATTAATTTTGTAGGGACTCAGTTGTAATTTTTTCGGTTCAGCATTGTAATGAAGTGCTCTTTATATCCAGTGTGTTGTTATACTTCATTATCAATTCTATTTAACAAAATCTCTTTGTTTGGCGTCAAAAAGCCCCGTCAAGTGATTTTCTAAACGATTTTTGCTTGCACTGGCCTTTGTTACAGTCGTTGACTGTGTGACCATGTTTTCTGGGATCTGGATGAATCTGCCAGAAAGCTGAAAAGGAGAGTCATCACACATAAAGACCCATTTGTAGCTTCAATATGAAGGCATTTTTGATCTAATCAAACAAGTCACTACTAGTCAGCAACATGTATTGCTGAGAATAAAACATAAGTTTTTGTTAATTTCCTTTGTAATTAGCGCAACCCTGTTTTCTCCAGCCAGCTTGGTACAGCTCTTCGCACCACTTCTTGTGTCTTTCATTCATGTCGCTTAAATGAGGCATCACTGCTGGATCAAACGCAGGTATGTAACCTTGGTATGTTTGCATTGCACAGCGACAAGGCTTGCTTGGGTCCCATGACGTTCTCCAATCGGCGTCCCAAGAATTGCCTACTTTGCGACCATCAGGGAACGTGAACTTGCGAATGCCGCCATTGAAGACCTTGCAAGATAGTGTCTTCTCAGATCCAATTATGTGTCTCACACCAAAGTATTTACAGAACCATTTAAATGCCTTGATCCTCCTGCTTTCTCCAGCACCACCTGGCTCTCTAATGTCCTCTCCACCACACTCGTTGTTTATAACCAAAGAAGTCGGGCCGAAAACACCGCCGCCGAATTCGGGGTCAGGAGATACCCAGTTACCTGTAACATATATTGAGTAGTTTAAAGATCTCTACTCCAAAGATTAACACTTCATGATACTCTAGAAAACATTATTTTGCCTGATACCTATATGCTCTATGTGTCGATACACAAAAATCTACTATGAAAGTTATGTTCTAACGGGTCGTATGTGTAAGCGATGCAGTAGAAGGTGAAGCAGATCGGGAGATATAAGCACTATATATTTGTGGTGTATATATGAATTTGCTTTTGATGACTTTGACATTAAGAGATCTCTAGGTTCGCTGAAGAATCTTCCTTTATTTTGCAACTTTTTTTAGGCAGTGTTAACAGGGTTCTCTTATCTATATGCCTCCAGTATTTGGGAATTTTCGGCCAGTAATGACGTTAAAAGCTAAACAAAACCGACATATTTAGAGCTACATAACAGCAAGATGAAAATATTTAGCTGATCTTGATAGCACAGGGGTAAGCAGCTGCACCACATTAAGTAGGGTCCCTTGGCTGGCGCTTTCTGCTATACAGTCGATCATAAGAATGGATAACTAAAGTGTCGATTAGATTGAATGTTTACAATGATAGTGTTCTTAAGTGATGGCAACATCTAAATCTATTTTTAAAGTCTTCTGAATTTGGACCATATAACCTGAAAAAGCATTACGAGAGTCCGAAAACTATGCAAAATTTGAGTATGTTGCAAATTAACTTTGAGATAGAAACATTAACGCAAGCTCTTTGTCCACCAAATCACTGTAATTTGGTCTTGATTCATATCCATGAACCCTAAATATCATCAATTCGTTAGAAAAATGCGGTTCTTTGAGTTGCTCTATTATACTTAATTATATTTCAGTTGCTCTTTTGTATTGGACTTAATTTTTTTCATTTTGAGAGTTATTCAATGGCCTCTTCTTAGACTATGAGCTCTAAAACTGAACAACTTTGATATATATTTTTCTCATCACGCACACAATCGAGAATTCTATATAGAAAGTTTATAAAGCAAGCAGGCCGCTTTTGAAATAGCGTAGAAAGTCCTGGAGAAGGTTAGGAAGGAGAAAAGCCCTTCAGCGGATATTACGCTGCTTAACCAAGGCTCCTTTACCCAAGTTGACATGGAAATTGAAAACGAAATATGATCTCACCTATGACAATGTCGTGCATTGAAGGCTTTGGACTCTGTGGCGTCATATAGAACCACATTGAGGCAAGGATGCTGAGAGGAGGGTCCATTTTGGTCATCACAAGGTTTGGATTCTCCAGAATGTCGACTGGCTCTCCATTGTGCATAATTCCTTCATCTATTAGCCATCTGTTAAACAAGCCGTAGTTGTAATTGTATGAAATCTGGATGGCACCTCTTCCAAAGTAGCAGCCTGAATAAATAAATGAAGATTATTGTTTCCCTGTCTTTCATATAGTGTTCGATATGCTCACGCTTGTCGCTATGGGGGAGGGCGTGACACACTTTGAAAAATAATTCAATTTCAAAAACGAGGCGTTTCTGCCAACAGCGCAAATAACTAATGACGGGCCTGGATGGTCAGAGCTGTGCGTGTGTTGTTTTTAGGAAAGTGTAGTTCTAAGGTGCAACTCTGAATTTAACCCCCTTATGTGATAATAGGCAATTGGGCTGTGTGATAATAATCAGCTTTAGATGTCCTCTTTTCTTGCGTCTATCTCAATGTTCTCTTTTCCTGCTTGAGACAGTAAGAAGGGCTTTCAGCTATTGTCACCAGATCACGCCTTGTTTTGGATGTTTTTAAGGCCCGGAAAGTTTTTCCTTATTGAACCGTTTTGAAACTGGTTTTATGTACGAAATGCTAAGGGAAAGCTTAAATATTCTAAGACATTACCTCTGTGGTAGCCTCCAGATGTGCCCTTGGCGCAAGGGTAGAACCAATTTGTGTTTGACCCTTCATCGCAGTAACGTGCCGCTGGAACACAAAACTCGCCGTCTTTAGGATCGAGACCTTGGTTTTTTACAAACGGAGAGAAAGGACCGCCTTCAAACCAGTTGTAAAATCCTCCCCTGTAGAAACAATCATGAGCCTTTTCTTTTGGTAGAACTTGGTACAAATGTCCGTTGTTTTCACCCGTCTCTTGAATGGCATGAGCGAAGAATGCCGCGAGATCTCTTTTGAAAGTTTCCTGCTGTGTGTATGTTGTCCGGAGCGAATTGCCTTCTGGGTCTATAGACACGTATTCTGTTCCGAACTTTGGGAAATAACGCGCGGCAATAACGAATGCCTTGTAGTTATATGGCCTGCAGTTGGAAGGACCATGCCCTAAGTTTGCCTTAGGGAATAGGTCGTTGAACATCGCTTCTGTGAACCATGATTCCAGCTTGGATGGCGCTCTGTTTTGGGGATCTGTTGGCTGTACACAGCTTGTCGGTGGCTTCTTGCCAGCTCTAAGCCAATCAGGACAATCGAAGGCGTACGCCAGCGAAAGGTAGCCTAAAATTGTTCAGTAAATCATGGTAATAAAATATTGTTAAAAGTGTTTTCCCAGAATGCATTGCTAAAGTCTGTTTTTCTGATGACTGACTATCTTACCCAGTCCTTCCTTGCCCTCTTTATTCTTTTGAAATAATCCATGTCCCCGAATGGTTTCTACTGGTCCTTATGTTGCAGAAAGGCAATTCAAAAAATGATTCAAAAAATGGATTAAATTTATAATAGAGCTATTGAAAATAGCTGTTAACAGTCCTATCATAAAGTGTTCGATGTATAGTGTATAGTGTATAGACAAAGTGTATAGACAGAGCTGTACTCGCATTTGGTGTGTAGGACAGAACATTTTAAAGTTGCAACTATATAATGAAACTAAATTAATTAATATGGCATATCGATATACATTGCTTTATCAGAAAAATATCTATCGAATTATTTTGACGTCTCCAGGCTGACTCACTTTATTAGCTAGGATGAACTGTCCAGATACAAGATGGCAGTCTTGAAATACAAGAAAGCAGTCTTTTAACATCGCTTACCCTCACGTTTAGCATAAAGCTAGTAATATAATGTCGACTCACCGATCAAAAGCACCAGTGCTTTCATTTTGTCGTGTATCTGTTAAATCCTGAGGCATCTGCCCTGAAGGAGGCAGCATCTTCTTCTTCGTCTTATAAAGTCACGATCAAGTACATCTTGACATCTATTTTCTGGAACTTATACTCACTTTACTGAATCGTTATTCCATAAGTATATGTTTGACAGAAAGGAAAACAATGTAAAGAGAGCTTTTAAGATTTCTGGTGGTTCTACTAAGAAGCACATGCTAGCACCAATTTGCTACTTGACAAACACGCTAGGAAACTTGGATTTGAAATTATGGACAATGTGAATTTGAGCTTCACATTTAAGCCAGTAGGAAGGATGCTACCTTTATTTCTGCCCATCGCCAATCTTAGATTCGAAAACTTACCATAATAAAAATTCAAGCATGAAATACATGGCTGAGTTATCATCGATAATGCCCAAAAATAATATGGTTAGGAAGCTGAGCTGCGATGGCCTATTGACCAGCACTTAACAGCTGAATAAGTAAACAGAAAGAAAAAACCTTGAAATCCCAAACTAATAGTAAAATCAAAAGTAGTTCGATGGGAAAGAAAGAAAATGGCTTTTTGCACATAACATGTCCAAGTATCTTGTTTTGCACATCTGCAAGATGTAAAGGAAAATAATCTTCAAATTCTGGTTTCTATCGTCATCTTTTCTATGTTTAACCAGAACAAAGAGACTTTATATGATGAAAGTCATTTTACTCCTATAAATTTTCAATTTGCAATTTATTAACCAGTTACTGAAAAGGAAATATCACTTAGAAAATTAGGAAGCAAAGGAGGAACTGATCCCTGAGGTTTACAAATTTTGCTCTAAAAATGCACAAAGATCTATTCAGCTGGGGGCCTTTTCTTTTTGTTCTATTCAATGCCTGAGTGGGGGTCAAGTGAATGATCCTGCGCTGTGTTAACGTTTCGTCCCTCGATAGAGGCGGAACTCCAGAAAGGTTCCTGGTTCTTGTTTGATTAAAGTAAATATATTAAAAGATAAAGGCTAAAAATACAGCGAGTGTTCCATTTTATTTACACGCGTAAAGAATCCTCGATGCGGCGAAATTTACATTGAACTAACATATTCCATGAGTGAATTTATTACGAGCGTTAAGCGTCCATCATCCCCTCGTATCGTACTTCGACTTCACAAAATTCTTTCCACAAAAACGTGACATAATCGATTTCCTTCAGCCTGCCAGAAGTCTTTTTATAGTACGCTTGAAATTTGCAAATTTTCATTAGCATCCCCCCCCCTCCCCCTTCACCCCTTAGAACAATATTGACTTGCAACATTGAAATATATTCAATGCAGTTCTATTGGGTCGTTTAAGTTTGCAAAGTCATTCATCGATGGTCTGGTGTTGTAAGGAATTTTGACGGGGGTTATAGTAATAATTAGGCAAATTTAGGAAAGACAGTGGTTGTGAAACTGGTACCCCGAAGCATGGGCTTGCTGACTCAAAACCGTTTGGTTCCTATTGACGTCATGATGACGTCATTCACGCGTTTTACACCCTACAGACAGACTGGGTCCGAGTAAATTTCAAGCAGCACAGCAACTAGTCGGCCTGCAGAAGTGGCCGTAAAGAAAGAACTGCCAGAAGAGGGCAGTAAACAAGATGAAGTCGTTTCAGTTGTTTGCTATATTAGTTTTTTTCTGCTTTACTATTGAAGAAAGTGCTTCAGTGAGTAATTCCTCGGCTTATTGTGGACAAGAACTATATACATCCGATCATGGAGGGACGATCAGCTTTGGGCCTAACTCAAGCCCGAGCAAAAGATGCCTTTATAAGATCAAAGTCGCAAGTGGTCGTAGAATTGTTTTAGAGTGGTCAAAATTTAAAGTTGATGGGAACATGCCTCGATGCACTGAATCTGATGTCACTGTTTATATCGGGTATGTATACAGTGCTTTAAAGACTGCTGTCTAATGTTGAGTGGATGTGCGAATGGAGTTTTGTTTATGTTAATTTTTTTTCAGGGCGGGGCCGTCCTGAAGATTTACTTATCTACGTAATTCGCTACTTCAATCTATTATGATATCTTTGAATGTTACTTATTATTTGCCAAAATATAGTGTAACGTCGACTGGTGAAATACAAAACTCCAGAAAGATAAATCACGTGGGCAAATTAGGTGGGTGGCCTAATTAAAAACCTTCAGGTAACTTCTTTCTTTGTTGTTTTAAGGTCAATATCATATTAATCAGGCCTGGTCTGTAAGGAAAGAAGTTACTTGCCACATTATTCCAAGGTACAGGTTTTAGGTAAACCTATCCTTTCACCTACACAAAATGAGTTGTCTAACCACATGTGCAAAAGGAAAAGCCTTTATCACTTTTATTGCTTATCAAATGACCACTACAATATTCTTGACCCTACCAACTGTTTGCTGATATAAAATGAGTTCCATTTGGAATGTATATAAATGAAATATGGCACATTATTGGTGCCTTTACCATATTATCCATATTATCCAATGAATCTCACAATGAGAGCACTCTCACATGCAAACCACATCACCTGCCAAACATTAATTGTCTTTTTATCTAGCCACTTGTGTATACAAATTTTGAGGGCTTGTTTAAAAGAAGAGTGGATATTTCAAATTTGTTTGTTATTGTTTGAAAATAAGATTTTGTATCAAAAATCTTCTTTAGTCACATGTTTTGTATTTTTGAATAAAAATCTACTTCAATTTGTATTTCTTCCGTTCTGACCTTCAACATTTTCCTTTTAAAAATATCATTCCTTCCATCACCTCCGCCATGAAGTGATGACCTATGGTGCACTAAAATGATACCGGTAGTGTCCATCAGTTGTGGGATGTTTTGGGTGGGGGAGAGAAAACACTGTTGGACTCATCTAGGAGAGTGATGGCTGTGATTGGTCAAAAACAAAGCACCAATCAAATGCACTTTTCTTCCTCTTAACATTACTTTCAATCCACAACTGGAAATAAATTTTCTCCTTCTTTTGGGACATTTATACTTTAATGAGTTTCATAGTTTTCGTATGACATGTTTCTGCTCTTATATGCTTTTTTAAAACTTTATAGTACCAAATGCTTTAAATGAGAACATTGTTTTAGGTGCCAGGAAACTCAAGTGGCAGTATTCTGCTCAAGAAACATGGATTCTCTTCCTCATGATATTTATTCTCGAGACAATTGTATGAGCATCAAGTTTACATCAACCCAGCAGACAAGTGAACAGTTTGCTGCCTCCTATTCAACGTTTTCTGATAATCAGCCTATTGATTATTCATCATTTTGTTCCAGGTATGTAAGCAACATGTTTCATACTTATGCTTAAATTGTTCCCTCGGTTACCAAAATTCAATTGAGGAAACTTATTTTCTAATGACAGAAGCATCTTGCAAATGTCCTAAGAAAGGTGTGATCCTCTTCTTTGATTTTACTTCCATTGTGAGTTCCAGGGAATTTGAAGAAAGCCAAAATTTGAAGCTAATATTTGCGTTTGTATTTGTAACTACTTAGCTTCTGAAAGAGGTTTTTAGGAAACAGAAAAGCTGTGTTTGTCAAGCCACATGATCATGCTAATTCTAAAAAGAATTTTCAAAACTTGCAAAGCCAGCTCTGACAAAGTTCTGTTATCAAAGAATTGCCCACTAATAAAGAATAGGAGAAGCTCCAAGGGGAAATGAAGTGAAAAACAATTTTTTGTCCAATAATAAAGGTTTCTGTGCTGATTCTAAAATTGTTTTTAATGCGTTGTGTAGTTTTATTGTTATTAAGTTTTTAAAGTTGAAATTTGCCCTCATTGATGGCAAGACAAGAACCCAGTTTGACAACTGTTTCATGTGACCTTGTGACATAAAGTGGTGGACACGAAGATATGTTTTGATGTAATGTAGTGGGTTTGATAAGGTTCATGACAGGTAGCAATCATGTAAATTGTGATAAAAACAGGAAACTTGGTGAAAATACAGAATTTGATATGCAAAACAGATCAGATATGCCTATCTTGGAAGAAAAGCCTTGTGCTATTTTTAGACTGGAGTACTTGTGCCCAGTACTCAAAAGCCTTACTGTGGTAAAATCCTTTCTGTTAGCTAAAAAGCCATGAATCGAGGCAAATCTACACAATTTGACATTCTGAAAAAGACAGAAGTGGTCCCCATCTTAAAAATACCCCTTGTGCTATTTTTAGAATGGGGGTCCTGTGTCCAGCACTCAGAAGACGTCACTATGGTAAATCCACTTCTGTTAGCTATACATCCATGAAACTTGGCAGACCTACACAATTTGATTTGCTGAAAAAGGCGAAAGTGGTCCTTCACTTCAGAGATACCCATTGTGCTATTTTTAGAACTGAGGTTCCTATGCCCAGTACTCTGAAGATGTCACTATGGCAAATCTATTTCTGTTAGTGATACAGCCATGAAACTTAGCAGACCTACACAATTTGATTGGTTAACAAAGACAAAAGTAGTCCCCTACTTCAGAAATACCCCTTACACTAACTTTAAATGGGGGTACTCATGCCTTGTCTACAGAACATGATTTCAAAACATATTCTGTAAGAAACCTTACCAGGACGTACATGAAGAAGAGGAGTGCATTTAAAGGACAACCAATAATGGTTTATCTTTCCAAGTTTATTAAAAAACTTATAATGTCCATATTGCTATTACCTCATCGAAAGAGTTGTTAGAAATTTTATCTCATTGTTGTTCTAAATGAAATATGTTGAGTGGCAGAAAATTTCAGAAAAATATAACAATTGTGCACCAAAAACTCAATTCTCAAAATTTAAAAACGGTGCATCAAGACAACAGGCAGTGACAGAATGCAATAAAATAACATTGTATCCTGAGGGTGACACGTTTTCTTCTGGTTATTTTGAAAAAAGTATTATCAAACAGGTGGTACAGGATATTGTATAAGAAAAACTTGACTATTCTACACATTTGGATATGAGCATAAATCTTGAAAAATACACCTTAGGAGTCTTAAAAATGTCAAGCCCTGTTAAACCCCCCCTCTTCTTGGTAACTAATCTAGTGATTTGGCCTAGGGCTGACAAGATTTGGCCATCATGACCCCACTAGTTTCAACAAATTTTAACAAATTTATAACATGGTTCTACTAGTTCTAACGTTTTTATATCAAAGCAAATGTTTATTAATTGTGACATGTGATAATCCTTATTATTTTAGATTTTAGAAATGAATAGATTATAATATGTAGCCTAGTCAGTCTCTGTTGCATTTTTATTTTTGAAAGGAAACTGAGTATGAGTATTTCTTGCCTTTGTTGCAAGAAAAGAAACAAGGATCAACGTACCATTTATTTACTTCCTTATTTCTACCGACAAAACAAGCACATAGTGTCTCGGGAGAAAAGTCATCCTCATCCTCTGGGATCTCATTGGGCCTAGGCTAATCTTCATTGCTACTTTCGCTGTTCCCGCACGCTCTTGGTAGGGCAAGTACTTCACCACCACATGCTCCAAACACTTCCTCATCGCTTGATCTTGAGTCTGTTGCCATTCCTGAAGAGCTGTCTAGCTGTCACGTGTCGAAGACTTTACGTCAGTGCCTGAAACTTATCTCTAGACCTCTCCGCCACGGAAATGGAGAGGTTTCACACTTCGCGTGGTAAATGCGTAAAAACGAAAAAAAGAACACAAATTTTGTGTCGATATTCGTAATAAGCACGATGAAAACTACTTGTCAATTGGTTTTCATTTTTCACTTCATTGTCCCTTTTAGTTTCTACATTGGTCAAATGCTGTTGCATGAACCTTGACTATATTCTGCATTCTATTCAAATAGAAATTAGATTTGGAATCTGTCTTATTATTCATTTTCTAGTGACAAGAAGTTGCGGAAAAAGTCAGGTGTTATTTACTCACCATTATGGCCTAAACGAAGCTCCAGCTTGTATAAAAAATGTGGATGGGATATTGAACTAAGTCAAGCTTACGTCATAAAAGTGAATTTCATGGACTTTGATTTGCTTTCCACTTCTTCATATGATTGCAAATACAGCAGGGAAAAGTTGAAACTTAAAGGTACAATTTCATTTAGGGTGTTTCTTTTTCAATGGATTTTACTTGTTATGCTCTCATGTAACTTAATTGTAGTGGCCAGTATTTCCTTGTGGTATTGAAAATCTCGAAAGAAGCTAAAGTTCTTTCACAGGCAGATCATATTAAGCCCCTGAAAATTTTCTTACCTTTTAAGTCATTCAGAACACGCAGAAATGGTTTTCCATTGTTTTATAAACCCTTCCTTTTAATTACCAACAGAATTGTACTGATAGTCTATCGTTTCAACTAAACATTATAATATTGCAAGATGATATGATGGCTTATGTTTCAAGAGATAAAATAATGGCTCGGCTCGAATTTTCCTGTCCATAGTGCTGTGTAAAGACCTTTTCATTGGCGTTGGAGATTGTAAACGTTTTGGGAGAGTTTATAATATGGATCTCGCCCGAATATTATTGGTTCATTGAGAAAGCATTGCTCATAGATTCAAAAAAGATTGAAGCATTCCACAATTTTTGGGAAATGACTACCCATATATTGTATAACAACATTTTCTATAAATTGACGAGTGAATAATTCTAAAACAGCTACAAATACTTAAAGTTAATAAAGAAATGGAAGGAAAAAGCACAAAAAAGTAACGGAAGGAGGGGTTTAAGATACCCTATACATTTGAAAAGACACTTCTATTGGAAACTAATTTGTGTCAGCAATCTTATTTGGACAGAAAGAGGTAGTTCAAGTATATGATATTGGTGAGTTGGCTGTTAAGTGCCCAGAGGAAAACTTTTTTCATATATATAAAGTAACGGAAGGAATTTTGTTACTGCAAGGCATAAAATGCTTTTGATTCCTAAATAGAGTATATAATAGTAAATTACAACCAAACCACCAGAACAACTACTCTAAAATATTAAACTTGGATATAACCAAAAAAATACATCACACTTCAAACATGAATTATTCCTAAACTTCACTGCCCTGTAGTTCAAAACATAGTTGAGATATTTCTTGGCTTTAACTGTTTTTATATTGTTTAGATATCATAGAATGCCATCTAAAGATATCATAGATATCATATGAATGCCATCTAAACTCTTGGTTTATAGGTTAAATTTTATCAAATCTGTACCTCATTTTTGAAATATGTCTAAATGGAGCCTGAAATGTAACACATTTTGCCTGATTAGGGGGCTGCACAGTGGCGGACACTTGGTCAAATATTTGGAGGAAGCCAGTTGTTTTAATAAGATGACGTCAATTTCCTATTGTTTTAGAGCGAATTACCATTTTCCTCTAAAGTATTGGGGGCGATCGCCTCCCCCCCGTCGCCCCAACGTGTCCGACACCGGGGCTGCAGCCCTCTTTGTCCCTATGTCTCTTACCAGTTTGGATTTTTTTCAAAGAGCAAGCTTATGGCATGAGAGTAGATCATATACAAAGATGCCACATTGCTATCTGCTAAAAGGATTTTTATGTCAATCTACAAACATTTATTTAATCGTTTCCACTAAGCTGGGTTAAAATGTACTTAATATGTGTCCTTATCCCTCTACACTTTAGGTTGAACAGACTTAGATTATTATAAACAGAAACAAAAGCACGCAGAGCTGTGAGAGAAATCAGTATTCACAACAACACTCCTTGAATTATTTTGTATAACGATATTGTTGTTGTTGTTGATGATGTTGCTGTTTTTGTAGTTGTAAGTGAACGAAAAGTTATCCAGGTTAGTCAGGCTAGCCTGGTTGAAACTGATCCACTCGAAGACCTGTTTTTAAAATTTTCTGTTTTCCAAGTAAAAACATAAAAGCATAAAAATTGACAACTTTCAACACCTGTTTTGTTTTAAGCCTGGTTAGTGGAAAGGCTGCCTTATACAGAAAATTTACTATTTTTATTTCTTGATAAGCATTTCCAGGCTTCTTAACCCCCTAGAATTTTGTTTACATAGGTGACAAGTCGGTGTTGACATCTTATAAAGAAAAACGTTACTACTGTGGAAATAAAAGCCCGTTTTCACAAACAACTAGATATTATGAACTGGAGTTCGAATATGAGGCGAAGTATTCACCTTCATCAAAACGAGGCTTTATTGCTGGCTATGTCGCATACAAAACTGATGGTTGGTATTTGTCCATAAATTCTATACTATAATGCTTGCTTAAGGTACATACATATAAGTACATAGATTCAAATATACCTATGGATCTACCGTTTGTACCGTTGTAAGGCTATTTGTAGCTTGGGAGGTTATATGGGTTTGACTACCCTTCAATGAAGCAAAAACCATAAAACTCTAAATAAGACACTTAATGGAAACTGTATAGTAGGTTTTTTGCAGAAAAACTTATAATACACGTATAAGATCAGGTGATACATGCTAGATCATCATTGCCGTCCACAACTTTGTAGCTGTCTTTCACTAGACAAGGGTCTTGCTAAGTTATCACTCTTTTTAGATCAGGTGTATTCAAGTTGACTACCACTTGGTTTGAAAACAATTTCTGTACAATTTATGGTTCCAATAGTGCGTAAGGCCAGTTTTTAATTAAAAGACTTGAGCAAGTTCAAAATTGTTTGGGACAATCTGAGATCTTTCAAACAACACCAATACGCTTGCGGTTGATAGATCTTTTTCTTTGTTTGATATACGCAATAGCAGAAGCCATATATAACTTATTTCTTGATTATTTGATCAGAATTAGAGATCGACGTAATAAAATACATGACCATACACAGCCTTGCAAGATGGCTGCTGATAAACAGCCCACATTGTTGTATTGTTTAACGATTGGCACTTAAACATCACTGCCTACCCTGAGTTTGTTCTCAAATTTTCTTTGCAGACACCGTTAAAGCCGCCAATCACAGCAAATTAGTATACATAGGCCTAGGCATTGCAATCATCGTTATTATTGGCTGCTGCATTTTCTTCTGTTGGAGGCGTCGCAGGAGGCAACGAGATGCCAATCATGCTGCTTACCACGCCCCTCCAACGCAAGAACCAACTGCCAAGGTCATTACGCAGGCTACGACTGTAAATTATGGTACTGGGCCTCCCCCTGGTGGACCTGCTGTCCCACCCCCATACAGTGCTGCCGTTAATCAGCCTCCATATCAAGGTAAGTGTCATTTCTTTTTGCTTAGTATGTCCCCGACCTGGTGAGAAGTATTACGTCAAGGGCTGCATTCTTAAACTTCTCTGTCGTCATTCGGTTATATTTCACATTGTTAAGCTAAAAGATCTTTTCCGTTTTCGTGCTTGGCAGATTAGCCACTCGCTGCCTGACTGACAAAACAGGCAAACAACTTTTTGATTTTCTGAATTTTTCTTTTTTGTTGCTATGATATCAGATTGTTATGGTATTCGTCACCCCTTTAAAGTTCGTCATGAAATTCATTGCCCACAAAGTGTGACGTCCGCACTTAAGAGCTCTGGTGGTATTACGTCAATAGTTAGTATCAATAGATAGTGAAGATAGCTGGTTTATAGAATAGTTACATGTTGTCTGACGTTCGTATAAGGCATGAAACTGAGAGTTACAACTTTTTACTACCAAGTTTCACAACTAGCTTTTGTTCATAGAACGGGACGGCTCTAGGTTGCAATAGGACTTCACTCTTTATTCGATCATCAGGCATCAGTGCAAGCAGCTATGCTCAAACGGGCACTATATATAAACCCGTTAAACATAAATTCATACTGACGCTATAACTCCACATATTGCAAGTCTTTATAGCAGACAGATAAACCAGATTGATCTCAGGACAAAATTGATAGAATAAATTGTATCTACTCATTATACTTTTCCCTTTTAGGCTATCCAAGCCAGCAGTATGCGCCAGCACCCTACCCTGCTGCAGGTCCACCGTATCCTGGAGCTGCTGCACCATATCCTGGAGCTGCTGCACCATATCCTGGAGCTGCTGCCCCCTACCCCGGAGCTGCTGCACCCCACCCCGGAGCTGCTGCACCCTACCCTGGAGCCGCTGCACCCTATCCTGGAGCCGCTGCACCCTACCCTGGAGCTGCTGCACCCTATCCCTCAGGCGGAGCGCCATACCCACCAACATCAGCCCAAGGGGACTATCCCACAAAAGAATCCTATGCAAAGTCAGGTGATCCAGCATTTGATGGTGCTACGGCTCCTCCATACTCTCCAAAATGAGGTACCGCCCCCTTCTGGGCATAATGTCTAAACATTAAATCGACAGCCATCGTGCAGTCAACCCTTTTGGATATCACAATCACCGATATATTTTTGCTTGCAACTTGCTAGAATGCTCGCTGTAATTGATATTTACTTCGTAAAATATATGTAGTTGTCAGAGAACCTAAGCAGGAGATCGCTTGATGGCCTAGTGTTTTTACGATCGCTGTGTGAAAAAATTAAATATATTTGAACACGAAATGTGGTCTATGCGCGATTATTTTTTCAATTTTCAGTTAACACAGTTTTCAGCCGAGCAATCGCCACTGTTCTGGATTCAGCATGAGTACGTCGATTTTTGTTTTGCAAGAACAAAGTTGAAAGTGTTCACTCAGTAATGTTTTTGAAATAGATTAAGTTATTTTGACTTGTATGGTAGAATAGGCAAGGCGATTTAGAGAACCCAGATTCAGCGAAGCCTCGATACGGCTGACGTCATTGTTGTGTTTCCTGGATTATTGCCTGGATTATTCCTGGATTATTCCTGGATTTCCATAGTTTTGATGCAATTTTTACAGCCTTTTTTGTAGTAACAAAATTGAAAGGGAAAGGTAATCTATTGGCAGTTTTAGGGAGTTTGTTTATTGAGGATTATCTTTATTATGCAACTCCCTATAGACAAAACAAATGGGAAGAGCTACTTGATCAACACAGCTGTATTTTCACAATTAGCTTTGGACCATGGTTCAAGAGTGCCTTACCTGGTCTTCTATCATTTTTACCATCCTCATTTACATCCCCTTCAGTAAAGTCTTCAATAAAGTATTCACGTTACGTAATATGAATTCTTTTTATGCTCTAATATAGCTGTTAATTATAAGGTATTACGACTATAAATGATGTTAGATTTTTCACTTATTTATTTTATATATGAGACCGTATTGCACCCGTATTTTCCTCCAACTCAATGACCTGTAATTTTTTAATCAGATAACAAGACATCAATTTGAAGGAACCATTTATCAAGTTATCAAAGTGTCTGTTGGTATAAACTCTTTCTCCATTTGTCGACGAATAAGACTCCTCCTCCATGGTACGCATAGAATTATTGATATTCCCGAAGCAAGAAACCATGTTTATCTATGGAATCTCCAAACAAATGGTCGGCAAACAAATACGTGGCCTAAAGCTAGGCCTGTTTACGAACAATTCATACTTTCCAGATTCTCTGGTTGTTAGCTTTTTTTTAGAATTCTGGCCACCTTTAATAATTTTCTAGCAAATAGTCTCAGCAGAACCAGGTTTTTGTCGAATCCAAAAGAAAAAAGGAGAGGGAGGAGTGGGGGGGGGGGGGATTGTTGAAAGAAGCAATTGCCTCTGATTCTTAAGAATAGGATGTTATCTGCTCGTAGCTTTCTTTTTTGTCCTTCGTCTGTTTTGCGCGCTTTTTCTAAGCCTCGTGGTTGAATGAAGGTCTACATCTAGATTCGAGTGATTTGTACCGGCCAAGAAAGAACCTGACAACTGACTGTGAGGATAGCTTTGTAGTCAAACCGTAAATTTTTTCTATCAGTTATTTGTTATACGTTTTTTGTGTACCAGCTTTTATTTGTAGCTGCACTCTTGGGTTTATTCAAATATTCTGAATGGAGATTGAAGCTGTTTGAATTAGTATCATCCTAGGGTGCACTGGTGTCTAAAATTCTTGTTCTTAAGAAGGGGTAAACCTGAAGCAAAGCTAATCTTTCTTTATTCATACTTTATTCATTCTTTATTCATTCGGAAATTCATACTTTAAGTTGTGAGGCACACATTGAAGCTAAAACAACCAAATATATAAATTGAAGCTTTTGTTTTCACACTGATCTCTTATTTTCACAGCTTTAATCGACAGAATAACAAAATCAGCTACCCACGTCAAATGGCCACCTCTACGAGTTTTCTATCCTTATAGTTGGCTAGTTCTATCCCTACTGTCAAACCTATTCAGAATTGTTATGGGCCTTCGAAATCTTCTCCCGTGCATTTTCTTCTATTTTATTGAGGTAATACCCAGTCTGTAATGCCAATAATAGAGATACCTCTTTATATAAAGACCTGTTTTATGAACATTATCAATAAATAAATAACAAAAAACACACAATAACATGTTATAAGCGTTAGCGTAAGGTTGTTCAGTGAAACACTCAACATTACAAGAATCAAAGTTCGTTACGAAGTTGTAAAAATAAATTAGACATCTGCACACGATATAAGTACTTGCATGTGTTTTAAAAAAACCTGGAAAACCCTATTTACAAACTTTAAACAAGAGTATCAAGTATCAAGCAAGTCATGTAACGCAATGGATATGTACTGCCCTTAATTCTTTTTGTCTAGGGGCTTTTTAAATTTTGACCTCAGAAATTTTATCAGCAGAGGTGGACGGGGATACTACCCCATTCTTAGTAGACTTTATAGAATGCTCAAGTGATGGGCTACTTCTAATTCAAAGCTGGGCTTCTTCTCTCACTTCTTTCGAAGTTTTCCCGTTCCCCATGACTTCGTTGATTTTACTCTCTCCCAAACCCTATTTACACACCCCGTTACGTCATCGCTTCTAGCTTCAGGTGAATACCACGTTGGGGGTCGCGCTAATACCACTTGCCCCGAACATTTCAATGCCATTTTTTGAAGTACATTAAAACATTTCGGTGTCAACTAGAACAGCAGCCTGATTTTTAAGATAACGTCCAGAGAACTGAATAATATCTTTGGCTTTGACTTTTGCCAGCCTCTTTCTGACGTCTGGTACTTCCTCCAATTCATCCAGAGGCGGGTAAAATGCAGCACGTTGATGGTCGTCCCAATCGATGATGCAAAATCGAGGATAATAGTACAGTGCAGGTGTTTTATCCATGATATCTATAAAAAATCGAGTTTCTTTATCTCTGTAAATAAGCCAAATAACAATCTATAATGGGCCTAAAGCCCGGAAAAGTTTTCAGCGACGAAATCAAATTCGAATAAGGCATCGAAAACCTTTAGCGTCTAATGATGTTTAAATCGAGCTCTCTTGCGAGATACATGCAACACCTTGCTGGCTAAGCAATCTAAACAGATTGAATATGGCTACTTCTTCAATACTCTAAATAGGAAAATATTGAAATGCTAACTGCAGATCTACACTAATCCTTGGCATCTGTGCGTAAAAATGTTTTATGGATGCCCGCGAAAAGATATGATAAGGTAAAAGGGCAAAGTGCCCAAACCTGAGAAATTTTCTCGTTCCTGAAGAAACCGTAACAGCGTTCCCAAAAGGCAGTATAAAACCAAGAGATTTGCGGCTTAAATCCCCAAGAGAAGTACGAAAATCATAGAAAAAACAACCCTGTTTACTAAGTTATTATTAAATCTTTGCTCAAAAGGTTCATATGGGAATTCAGAAATTTAATCATGAATAAATTTCTTGTCCTTGTGCTGCCTTTGATACCTCTCCTCCTAGAATGCATGTTTAAAATCTCAAGGGGATTTAAAAGGATGCTTTTGTTACTCAAGGGGTTGTAGCAAATAAAAGGTTTTTTGATCTTGAAGCGTTTGCTAAAATGTGGTCTGAAGAGTTCAAGGTGATTTAGCTTCGGCCGTGAGATTATAACAAACAACTTCTCTGGCAACATAGATATGGCTGTGTGTGTGCAGACTTGAAAATGCTGTGACCCAGGAAAAAGGATAGCATATAACAAAGATTGAATGTAAAATTAGCTTACCATGGTGGTGATAGTGGTAATTACGTGGAACAAACTGACTGGCCCACGAGGGAAATTCATCAACATTCAACGTGGCTACAATCATTGTTGTATAAAGCTCGTGGGCAGCTTTTTGAAGTTCCTGCAGTAAACGTAAGTGATTGAATTCTAAGTGACAAATGTAAGCGAATATTCATATCAAAATGGATACAAAAATTAGCCTTTGCAGCTCTAAACATGACCAGCACTCAATGGCTTCGTGCAATTAAAAGTATGTCATCCTTTCCGAATTCTTGACATTACCTGGCAGAGAAGGGGCCAACATTTCACACCGCCTTGATGACACACAATTTAATAACTTAATTCACACTTTAAATGTGGAAGTTTTCTGGGTATTTGAATTCTGTTTCTTTAAATATTTTTATAAATGCTTAATATTTGTAAACTGCATCATTTGTTTCTACGATTACAATTAGGTATCTTTGAAATAAATGTGTACCCTTAAATTAGCAAATGGAAAATATTTATTTTACAAGGTGCAAATGTGCCGAATAGAAAAACTATTAATAAACCAAAAGCTGTCAAATATTTGCAAAAATGGCTTAAGAGTAGAGAAAAGTTGGGTTGGCAGGTTTGGCCATGAAAGAGTGCAATTCCTAATGTTGAACCAAATAAAAAACGATGTCTCCAGTGCCATCTGGGTGCACTCAAATAAACCAGTGATTCCAGGGAGATAGCTAAAAAGGATATTAAAGATAACAACAGAATTGCATAGGGTTTACGGATTTCTATGTAGTCCATTTGCAGCTGAAATATCTACATCGATCAAACCAAAATGGACCTACAAACCTCTAGAATCTATTAAGCATACTTTTTCAATGGTTTTTCTTTAATGCTATCATCTAAAACGCTATTTCATGTTGATAAAACAAGTGGAAAACAAAATGAAACGGTCTCTATACTAACCTTTAAAAATGAGCTATTGCTGGATATGTTGTTTTTATGAACTAAGGCTATGAGAACTGGAAATTCTTTCGAGAATATTGAAGACGATGCCCTAAAAGAGAATACAAAACTTTATATGAAATATCACGAGTAAACACTCTTGTGGGGGCCTATGATCTTATGAAAATAACAAATGTGAACTAATTTTTGGCGGTACAGAACTTGAAAATGGCTTTGAAAAAAGCAAACATTTTACAACATATTGGCTAAAAGCTTTTTCGTCTGACACTCCTCAGAGCATAAAACGTCAGAATAAGGTTCCGAAAGAACACGATGGAAAATATATACCCAGCGTGGATCGAGATAGGCCAATGAGAAAACCGCAAGCACAAGACCGGTATAGTTGACCAATCAGTGCTGCGTGCCTATAGAAAATTACCACTGGAGTCCGGGAGAGAAAACGAACTCCTTCTGTATATTTTTCATCGTGTTCTTTCGGACCCTTATTCTGACGTTTTATGCTCTGAGGAGCGTCAGACGAAAACACTTTTAGCCAATTTGTTGTAAAATGTTTGCTTTTTTCCAAGCCATTTTGAAAATAACGAAGGAAACACTAAAACAACTATTCAATGAAGGTGTAATGTATCCATAAGACAGCTAGTAAGCGATCTTAAGAATAGTATTCTATGTTGTATAGGCAAGAGCTGTACTCAATTGCCTAATGATTTGATGGGGAAATTCGTATCAGCAACTGAGAGCAGTCCTACCTCACAAGTCGAAGTGTGTATCGAGTAATTATATATTCAACTTGCAAGATACGATTCCATTCTAAAATATTTACGATGCTGTTTTAGAAGCTAAAGCCAATGGTGTAGTGCTATCAAAATAACAAGGGGGGCTCTTGCCCAAAATGTTGCGAAAAACAATAGCAAAAGTAGTGATCTGCCAATTATCGGCATCAACAAGGGGGGCTCAGCCCCCCTGAGCCCCCCTTGCTCTACACCCTTGGCTAAGGCTAAAGGCTTACGAGAATGAACAGTGGTCGAAAAGGTCGTGACAAAAAATTGGAGCTTCTCAGACCAGTTTTTACAAACCTCCATCTTTGATTAAAGATTGCGTTGATATTTACACATGTCATTTGGCAGAAAAAACAAAATTACAAAATGTGAAAAGATTTGACTTCTCTCACATTTTTATGCAAATTTATGCAAAAGGACCTTTAAGATAATCCAAAATACTGGTTTGCAGGTGCTACGATGTTCAGGGTTTCAGCTAACACCAAATACTGAAACTTGACAATAGTTGTTTATCGAATGAGCGTAACCTTAAGTTCAAAGGACTAGCAATATTGTCATAATCCAATTGCGAGCGCGAATCTGAATGCTTACCTCCCTTTCGCACAACAACAAATAAGTACTGGGTGGCAACACAAGAGAGACTATAAGATGCGAGGAAAGTAAACTTAAACCCAGAAGAAGTAGTACTCTCCTTAACAGGAAATTCATCAATATATGGATCGTATTTGGTACTAAACTTAACTTTTTGTTCTTATATGGAATAAAATACAAAGTAACTCACCCATGTGCATGAAAACTTTCTCTCGAGATATGCGTGATTGGAAGGCGTTGGTGATCCTCAACAAATTTCACTAAAATGTCCGTGCATAGTGGATGATTTTCCTCACATCGAAATCCGCTGGGTATCTTGTATCTGTTGGTGACAATGCATTGAAATTAGGCCAGGAAAGTGTGCTATGCTACCAAAACGATAAAACTCGGATGACATCTAATAGGGTTTAATATTTTGTTTCGTTTATGAAAAATTGCTCAAATATGAAGTAAAAATTATAATGACAATCAACAATTTTGAAACACGAGAAATTGTGAATTATCTAGTTGTATTTTATTGATACATAAGAAAAGAAAATTCATCAACCCCTATCCAACAATAGAATTTGTATAATTTTTCATTCCCATTATTCAACATCTTGCACACTGCACCAACAATCAGAAAGGACATCTCCAAACTTATAACGAATATTTTCAATAAACGCAAAATTAACAAGGTACATAGTAGATTAAGTTTCAACTCAATAAAGCAGCAATAGATATAGCAAAATCAAGTCGAAAAGGTTGGCTTCATTAATTGAAAAAAGCAGTAAAGCTGTAAATGTAGATATATACATCGTTGTAATTTATGTACTTATTAAGTCTATTTTCATGCATTAATTTTACCTTGTACATGTTATGTTAGTATTAATTTGAAGAGTATTAGTAATAACAATAGTAATAATGATAGAATTCTAGGAAAATAGACTGATGCTCTCACCTATGATTTCGGTGAAATTTATGTAGCTTTGTATCACCACTTAGCTCTAGTGTTCTATCCATTGGGTATGACAGTTTGAAAACTGTGGCCTTTGCTCCGTCACTTCGCTCAAACAGTACCTACATCAAAACATGAAATTTACTCTTTACAGGTTTGTCATATAGTGCTCGATGCAGTTTATGATGAGCTATGCATGCTTTTGGGTGCAGAATAGGACCGTTTTACGTTGAAACTAAAACGCTTCAAGCTCTGATGCATCAAGAATGCAACTAACAGCTATCTTGTTTTACGGGCCTATCAAGATAACATATGCTTAATAAGTTTTTGCAAGGATGTTGTCAAAAAGCTTTGGAAGATTAAACTATGAAGAATTGAGGGCTTAAGAAAAATATTCTCTACAAAAACGCCACCAGTTTTTGATACCCTTGCATGACATTCCACCAATGACTTTTATAAACAGACAACAGCACGTGCTTATGCAAATCACAGAAATGCTTGGATAAAAAGAGTTTAAATATCAAACAGTTTTGGTTTGAATAGTTAATAAAATATTCATTCAAGCAGGGTCAGTAACATTATAACATTGGAAACATTGTCTTGGAGATGTCTCGGAAACATTGAAATATGACATTTTTAGGAAGATTAAGACTTTTATATTAGGAAGATTACGATCTCGAATCATTATGTACTTAAAAGGAATAACAAAATCATATATCACCTGTTCAACAACCAACTGTTTTTCCATAATTCCATTCTTCCAAACCTTTTCGGTAACAAGATCTTCGCTTGGCACAGCAATGCACTCAGCGCTGCCAAAAAGTTTTTCACATGCCAACTTGAAGCATTGCAAAGGTATTAGTTTATGTTGCAACGATCTTGACAGGTATTTCCTGGCAAGTGTCCTGGTATAAAGGTGAGCAACAAGACGAACGTCTTTCTGTAAAGAATTGCAAAATAACAGAGATTAGGCTAAATTTAAATATCGAATTTCTGCCGTGTAGAATTAAATAATTTCTCCAGAAAACGACTAAGTACTAATTAAATGCGAATATAAAACGACGTTTAAATATACTCCCACATTAAACACAGTTTTATTAGTGTCTGCTAATTGAAAATGTCCGCCTTTTGGAAAGTTTTGCAATGTAAGTCCCAAATTTGAAAATAGACCCGAGTTTTGTATTTAAAAGGTGTAATCAGTGGTGGCGCCAGGGGAGGGCTACAGCCCCTCCGTTGGAAGCATCTAGCCCCCCATCGGAGGAAGTTTTTGGAAAGAGGTTGAATTGTGGAGGTGACTATGGTCTGGAGATTCCAGTAATTTACCACTTTCATGGACAAGGAAAGTTAGTGAACTCGGCTGTAAAGAAGCTAAAAGCTGTAAAAAACCAACTAGATTGTCAAAAGTCAAAGTGTTTGAACAAATATTCATTCGTCTAAGTTTTCTGTTTGCTGACTCCTAACTTTTTTGTAATGTCTGCTAATTGGAAAGAAAAAAGCCAAATTGACTATTTTGTGCAAAAAATATTGTCCGTTAATTAGAGTGGCCGCTAATTGAGTGTCCGCTTTTTAGAAAGTTTTTTATGAGACCTTGACCAGAAGACGATCGGCCAACAAAACTTGTCCGCTAATCAGAGGTGTCCGCTTTTTGGAGTGTCTGTAGTTAAATGCAGCAGTAGTTCACCAGCTCTGTCACTTTATTCACCAGGAGTGCGACTCTCTTTAAACAGCCGCATTTTTGCCGCGTTAAATTAAATACTTGCATTGCATTTTTTGCCAAGGACTGCCTGGTCCATTGATCATATAACAGCCGTCTCTGATTTAGCTTGCCATTCTTGAAATCTTCGTCTACTTCCATTAAATTCAATGCTGATACCGGAGTTGAGAAAAAGCGCAAAATATGAGTGTCTTGTGCGCATGCGCTGATGATGACCGGGAGAACGCAGAAGAATTTTATTTGAAGTTTAAATCAACTGCCGTATTTAGTCGCACAATTGCAGAATAAAATTCAATTTGTCACTATCTATCGATTGCCTTTTTTATGGTGTAGAGGAGTATGTAGTGTAGAGTGTACGATGGAGAAAAAGTGGATCATATGCTTGATTTTGAGTCAGCCTCTTACAACAACCTGATTACCCCCACAGACAAACAACTTTCTAGACAACACTCTTGATATGGTTTGCTTCAGAAAGAGTATTTTCATGATAAAATGACAACCTTACTATGGATGTGAGAAGAAAATGCTTTTATGCTTACTGTAAACATCTGCGTTTGATAAATCGAATTCAACAACCAACTGGACAAAAATCTAACTACTTAGGTTTTTGAGGAAAAAAATTGATTACATACAACAAACGACTTAAATAATCCCATCTCAGTTTTGTTAATCTGGTTTGAAGTGAAAATTTTTACGACGTTGACAACAATTAAAAGGTACTAACATTCATCTTTGGCCAGCTTTTGTTTACAAAGTAAAATTCCACTGCAGACATGGCGGCCTTAGACAGCCAATTTAATATATCACCAATCTGCAAAAGTACAAACATATGTTCTTCAAGAAACTGAGAAAACTAAATAAAGATATCGAAGGCAATGTCCAAACAATTACGCTCAGTATTCTTTACGACAAGTACAAAGAGTTCTTTGGGAAGGTTTCTTACCAAATTAGCTTTTGAGTAAAGCATTTTCTTTTGAATAAAAGGCGTAAATACATCGGGAATACAATGTAGCTAATTCTTGACAAAAATATTCGGAACACCACAATATTCACGTTCAAAAGATGACAACCCTAGGATTTATAAACTTTTTTGCAAGTCATCAATGTTGTGACAATATTCTCCCTCCCTCTACAATGCTGATTTCTTCCTTAGAAGTCTTTAGGCTTCCAATTCTTGTGAGATTGTCACTGAAAATCATTCCATATCGATTTTGATCAACGTTGTAAGGGGGGAAGGAGGAGGTGAAACAACTTTAAAATACTGTGAAGATTTTGTGTAGGTGTTCCAACAACTTAGGCAAGGATTGTAGCTGGGAGGAGCAACGTACCTAAAATTTGAATGTAACACGCCTAGTATAGCCAAGAGAGAGAAAGTAACTGAGAAGTAGATGGAGTAATTCCAGCTATATATATGGTCACAACTAATCAAAACAAAACATGTGAATTCACCTCCATATTCCCATGGTAATCCAGCCGAACTGACGATGATGTTGAGTTTGCGATAAGACAGGTCCTGCTCTCTTCTTCTGAAATACTCCGAAACAAAGCCAGTGTGGGGTAGCCTGTAACTTTATTCCGCTTGCAATTGACCGGATCTGAAGTGCAGTTCATTAGGTACACAGAAACCCCATCTGTAAGGAGAAACATTAGCTGCATAGGCATTTAGAACAAAAGAGGGTGCCACATATGCCCTTCAATTTGCCTAATGCCCGATTCCCGTTTTATGACGCTTTCAAATTCCTGTGTCAAAAAAGGTGGTTTCCGTACTGAAAACATATTGGTTTCCTTAAAAAAGACCATTCATTCTCAACATTGAAATAAATGGAAGTAACTTCGCGAGTCGAGTAAAAATAAAAATAAAAAAGGGTCGAGCAATATTGATATCTTCCAGAATTTTTTTGGTGTTTTGTCATGTCATGTCGTCAGTTTCCCTCCTACAATCAACTAGCTTCTTGCCATGAATGATAAAGTATTCAAATGTTTAATTGATCATAACAAAATAATAACTAGGATAGCTTAGAAATATGATATATTGTGTAAAGGAATGGATGCTTCTGCTTAAAACTTACGCATTCTTTTTGTTAAGCTTGTTAAATTGCTGAACTTCGGCATCATTATTTCGCAAAAACCGCAATCCGCCATGATGAAAATAACCTAGGACCAAAAAAATGGGTCTTTCGGTCAACAAAGTCATGTTTAAATTTTTTTTTTGAGAAAAGTTTTTAGAGCTTAAGGGTATTGTCCGGATAAAAAAGGAGACTCTTCTGCACTTCTATAAGGGCAGTCATTTGCAACACATATCAAGGTAAAAAAAACGTTGCCAATGTAGAGCTTTGGAATACTTCAGGGACCCTGTCTGGGGCTCTTTGTATTTCTGGATTCTGGTTTTTCAGGTTTTTTTCTTATCATTTTGATTTTCTCAGCAAATTTAGCAAACCTGAAGGAAACCTTTCAGACAGGATTCTAGTCCACATGTTTAGCATTCCACACTCAGCGCATCTATAGAAGATAGCATCTATTCTATTTACCCCCTCCCCCCCCCTTAGCTTCGTCACTTTCTCAATGGAAACATAACAAGCATTTCTTTGCCAAATTTACTGGCAATAATTTGATGCATAGAAGAGCTCCCTTCCTATTTATTGCGCTAATTCAACATGCTCTACTTGTAAACGTTTGACCTCCCATTAAATGACATTCACAGCGCACCTAATTTATACCTTGTCACATATAGGTTGAAATATACTTTATTGTGAAACGTATCGCATAGGTAGAAAAATCATATAATTTGAAAATGACGACAAAAATACCATGCCAACCTACCAGTTTTACGGTTGCAGCTTTCTCTTGACCAGGATAAGTTTCATGGAGAGATTTCTTCGCCTGAGACGTCCGGTCAATTATCTGTGGCCATAACTTATCTGTCAACATCGGTATGCCATTGTGATATTTCATTGCTCTCTTTTTAAGAAGTTCCTGTTAAAATGATATTTGCAGTTAATTGAAAGAACTTTATCTAATTCACTCTGTTCAAGTAAATTATTCAGAAGGTAAAAATATTACTGTTGAGCATGGCGACATGTGACATAACCAGCAGCGGTAACGTAACGTCTATTTCTCGTCAAGCAATAATGTTTTGGGCTCTTAGATATTATTTATCAGTCAGTACTCTTCTAGTCAACCTGTTAAATTCTACTTACAATTTCTAAAAAAATGTAAATAAAGTAATTATTGTAATATTATTGAAATATGTTCGTTGATGTCTTTCTGGAATTACAATAATGAGTAGCTGAAAGAATCTTCAAAGGGTTGTCACAGATTCCAGGAGACAGTGGGTGTGTGTGTGCACGCTACAATAGCCAGGACAGAATGAATTAAACTCAAGAAAAACAAGTCACTGTTCTTTTCAGCTTTTTTCTTAATAGTTCAGAAAATACCAAATGCAACTTGAAATAGTTTGAGAAGCAGCAATATTGAATTAATCACAGCCTTTCAGCGTTCTTTAAAATCAAGTCAAAATGGATCTTCGAAAACAAAAGATACCTTTTTGCGCTTGTACTCTAGAAAATATTTGTCAACATTCGGGCCGTAACGCACCAAAGGTCGTTCTTCTAAGTCACAGAAATCTTTTGTTCTGTTTTGGTAGCAAAACTGCAAAAAACAGCAAAGAACAATGGCCATTGAAATCTTATCTACTCTTTAGCTGTATTACTGCTGTTCTGTTGCTTTAATTCACATCCAATAAAAAATCTCTATACCGTATTTTCTTGAATATAAGCCGCTCCTGAATAGAAGCCGCATTTTATTCCTACTGAAGTTAACAGAATAATAGAATAAATGAGGACGTGTATTTTCTTAATCATATCATTACGATTTCTAAACATGAATACAACAAAAAATGATTTCAATCTAGCTTTGTGTATTTCAAGGTATTTCAGTTTAATACTGGATGACTTTTATCACTACATGTTATTAGAGTATATATATATCTTGTAAGCAATTGGTGATTTCCAATAAGCTGACCCTCTCAGTTGAAAGCAATCAACGGTAGGCATGTGAGCGGTATCATGCCCACTGATTGGTCAAATTTTGATTAACAGTGACACACTTTTCACCCTTTCTTTTCTTTTCATTAACTTATAGATCATCATTTAGAAGTAAGTTTTTTCTGGTTTAGAACAAAAAATTCTAATCAGGGGGCGCAGGGGGCGCGATTTTGCTTTTTATCACGTGACCCTATGACGTAAATTGTGATAACAAGGAATTCTCCTGTCATTAATAGAGAGTTTACGAAACACGACGCAACAGGTCTAGACGAACTGAATTCGTTTAGAAGCGTGTTGTAATACCAGTAGCAGCAATAACAAATTATCACAATCTACGTCACGGTGTCACTTGATTCATTTCCCGCCATAATTTGAAAAGGGTTTTTAAGTAGGAAAATGAAATCAGAAAGGAAAAATATTTCAACAACACTCTCATACAGCATTTTACTTTAATTTAAAAGAAAAAAAAATTTGGCGCCAAAAGCTAAAATGAATTCTTCAGTGGAACATTTTGGTTTACAAACGATCAATTTGAAAACAAACACCCCAATTTATAAATATTCTATCGAAGTGGGAAGGTCGTCAAATAGAGGTTTTTACTTCTTAAGTGAGTAAAGATGTACAATAGTCCGAATACCAAATACTTTCATATATAACATGGCAAAATCACCTTGTTTTCAAACGCATTTTCTTCAACATTCAAGATATCAATGTCGTTCAATTCTGACTGCAACATCCCCGGCGTGGGAATGATATCAGATAGTATCTTGTGTTGTATATGGTGATTTGAATGGTCTGTTGACAGAAGAATTGTACGCTTGAGCAAAAATTTATTGCACCTCTTTAAGAAAATTAATCTAACTTTCAAAATACAATGCAATCTTTAGTAGAAATATGTAAATATCTGCTTCATCTAGCAGTTCAATATAATGATTTGCTGGGGCATAAAGATTTGGTAACAGGGACAATGTTGCGTAGGACACTTCAACTTCCAGTTTTGCGCAGAACCTAATGATTTCTAAATGTCTAGCGAAAAAAGGGGGGGTATATTATTTGCAAGACAATTTTTTAAACAACTTTATCCCAAAGACAGCAGGTCAAAGGAGATAATAATTTTGTGTTTAGCAATCACATGTTCATTAGAAATGGGGCCTATGCATCTCCTGCTGTATAAGCAGTGATGGAATGTTCTATACTCTGGGTATAAGCACAAAAGGGCTTTAATATAAAACAATTTAAGCAATTACAAAACATACCTCCTGATTCATTATGACTCTGCCAAAAAGCTGCTAGAAAGGGGATTTTCTTGATCGTTGTAACATCGAGATACCTTGATAGAACTACAATGAAATAAGTCATATTTCTTAAGCATGTCGTGCAGCGGTTGCTACAGTGTCAAATGGCTGGATTCATACATTACCTCCGGGCAAAATAGATGATATTAGTATTTTAGAGAAAACAGACCACGATATAAAATCAGATCAGGGTTTCCATCACCTTCGACAAACAACAAATGCATTGTCATCAAAGATTTGTCTTGCAGTTTGACTCAATGAAGACCTAATTATGAGGCCTCATTATGAATCATTTTTGCATCACAAATATTTCAAATCAAAATGCTCGCAAAACTTACTTTTTGAATTTTCTGAATCAGCCAGATCGACAATCCCAAATCTCAGATTGATACGATTATGGTTTTTTGCACCACTTGTGAAGTAGTCAACACTTCTATCAAATGCATGTACAAACTTGTATGATTCCGGATTGTTCGATGAGTAAAAACATACGATAAATGGTTTTTCGTCGTGTCGTGACATCATGGCTGTCGTTTTGAAGTTATCCTGAAATTAAACAAATCTATTCCTTACTTTCACAAAGGGGACCCTGAAGATTGTTTTCAATTCAACAGAAAAATGACAGTTCAAAACCATTTAAATGGCTGTTGACGTTTAGAAAGATTTCCTACTTTATCAAACTAAAATGGCAACAGCCTCAAGAAAAGGCTAGATGCTATAAAATAATGCACAAATAAAATTTATATTCCTTTAACAACTCTTATTAACTAGTCATTAAAACACTTGAAAGAGCCAAACTCAGAGAAGAGCACTGGTACACTCTATCAGAAGATGGTAGAGGTTTCTTATACAATTCAAAAGGATTGACTAAAGAAAGCATTTTATTGTTAAAACTTTAGATGAGAGGCAATTCCAGTGAGCGAAGAGTGAACAAAAGGACGAAAAGTGGACGAAGAATTATTGTCAACTTTTGAAAAACCCCTTAACTTTGAAAATCGTCCATCTACCATTACTCTTTTTTTTAATTAAAGGGAGAACTGGAGAGGACAAGATTTTTGAGTGCTCTCTTTTCAAAGGGTTGATGGAAAGTGGAATCAATGAAGGTTAAGTTTGTAAATATATAGCATATGTTTTAGCGTTTTTATATATCCTAGTTTTAATGGCGAAATCTCTCTGTTGTGCTGTTGCACTGAACCCATTTTAGAAATCTTCCCAGATGGTTTAGTCTGGTGAAACCACTGCAAAGAATCTTTTATTCAAAGCAAAGATTTAGAATATGAAGTAAACAATCGATCGAAGACAAAACCTAAAAATGAAGATGGAATTTTCATAAAAGCTAGTTACATAGACTCACAAATGCTAGACTCTGTGCTTTTGTTTTTATTCTGATAACATGAAGTAAAACTGTCTCTTTGCTGACGGAATACAGTCCTTCTAATGTTTGCTTCAACTGTGGTACCAGCTTTAGCTCTGTATAGTAAAGGAATAGCGAAACTAAGACATCGAAATGATGGCAACCCAGGTACAATAACGAAAAAATCGTACTGCTTTGTTCTTTTTAGAGATATCAAACTAAAATGATAGCCCACATCTCAGACAAGACAATATTCTGAAAAAGGAAACTAAACTTTATAGTAAATATTATAGTAATAAACATTAGCAAATAAACATTGTCTTTCCTCAAGGTATCAAAAAAGATTGTTGTAATGAAGAATTCTTTCAAAATTGGCTAAAATTATCAACCTTGCACAATTACAGAAAAGCTACTAACAACTATCAATAAAGCAAAAGTTACATAATTTCTTTAGAAAATATCTTGAAATGGCGTTAAGACACTTGAAAATTTGCAACCAACTTATATTTCAGTTAATAGTGATTTATTCTTTCGTGGTTGAAGATTATGCGGAAACATGAGGTTCAAGTTAAAATTTGCAAGTAAAAAACGGACATAAAATCTAAAGAACATCAAAGATATCAAATGGAACTGTTCTGTTCCAAACACCAAAGCGTGTACAGCTCTGCCTAGTCGTCATCGAGTACTAAGGGCCTGTTCATATGGAGAAAATCATCCAACCTTCCAGCCTGTGAGCTGATAGGTGAGATCCCACTCTTCTATAGAGTCTTTTGTGTTTTCGTCTTGCGTTTTTATGGAGAACAAGCCAGCCCGGTTAAGTGAGATCCCACTGCATGAGAGGTGGGATCTCACTGAGGTGGGATGAACTTTTGCCATATAAATGCTGGAAGCTGGAAGATCGGATGAGATGTCCATATAAACAACCGGAAGTTTCGGAAGGTGGGACAGAATCTGCATATAAACATTCGATGATATAATCCCACCTGCCAGATTAAGGGCTGAGTGGTGGGATAAATTTGCTCATATAAACAGACCCTAAATAACAGACCGATAAAACAGTAATTTTAACAAAATATGTAATAAATATTCGCTAAAAAAGCAGCACCAAATGGCAAACATAAAAAGTATTCTGAAGTAAGAAAAACAATCTAAACTTACTTTTTCGGTGAAATATGAATGCGATCGGATGGTTAAAGACGTTGAACTTTTCTTGGAAAACTCTAAAATAAGCAATTAATATATACTTTTATTTTTTGAAGCGAAGCTGAAAGGAAATTTAGGGCAGATGAATAATGCTTCACAAATTTTGAATTCCCATAGTGCATATGCAAGTGGCTTTACAGCGCCTTACCAATAAAATGCGCTTGTAAAAAAATTGTTTATACAAAAATAGTTTGAGAATTTTTACAGGTTTAAATCATAAGAAATACATCTGTAACTACAACTATAACAAAACAAGTAAATAAAAAATAGCACACAAGGAACATTTGAGCAAATTTTTAAATTAAGTAAGATAATACATGCCTGTTACAATAGGCCGAAAAATGTTCTGCTCAAAATTTTCCAAATATTTAACAGCCATTTGTCAAATATACATATCACATCTTTTTAAAAAACTGACACTGTATTTTTTGTTCGTGTATATGATAATTTATTTAACTTTTTAAGCGTTATTTAATTTCTGAAACTTATTTAGCTCTATGCAAGGAGACTTATACAAGGGTTCCTTAAAAGACACTTGGGCGAGAAAAATTAAGCAAAAGGTCCTAAAAGAAAGTGTCTGAGATCTTAAAATCAAGGTTAATAGCTATAATCAAACTGCAAACCTACCTTTCCTGCTCGCTCCCCGAAGGGACAATAATAACTCGACAATTGGGGCATTCTCTTCTCATCTGCAAAATGATTTACGATTTCCAATTTAGAAATTTTATTAAATCAAAAAATAAATGCAGGAGTGCAAGGCTATGGGGCTTAGGGGGGGGGGGCTCAATCCCCTTGTTGATGCCGAATATTAGCTACTTTCTACTTTTACTATTGTTTTCAGCAACATTTTATGCAAGAGCCCCCTTTGTTATTTTGACAGCACTACACCACTGGAAAAATGCTACGTTTTTTCCGATTGGCTTTTAAACTACGGTAGCTATCTGGGGAAACTGAAATTTCCTAGGGTCAAAGCCAAATTCAATACTGTTAATGAAGATATTACGGATACATTTCTTAAAAGTCAAATATTTCAATTCTAATTGAAAAAGACTGAGTTTCGATTTAGCAATGCCACACTCTAGACCAATGGGACTAAGACCAAGCTAAAATAAACACCTTGTCAATCTTGTCAAAGTTTTTTTATTCAGTACATTTGATAATTATCTGAATCCTTACTATCCATATTATCATCCATCTATGCAGATTATTATTCAAATATATTAATCATCATTTATCATACCTCTAATAGTTGCGGCTCGATAACCTGGAAATAATTCAATCCTGGAAGTACCACAATAAACACATTCTTGTTTTGGTCTTTTGTGAAAATGCTCTCAATGTCGGCACTAGTTACCGTCTCAAGTCGACTCTTGTAGGCCACTACCTATGAAAAATGGAATTTCTGACAATTTACTACCAAGGCTGACCTTTCTAATGATATTTAAGCAAGATGGTCTAAAAAAATTGGCAAAAAATTGACCTAGTGGGACTTATGTTGGGTTGTTTTATTTGATTACACTCTTTTTTTTATAAGAACAATTTTATAAGAACACGAGCTTCAAAACTGGTCAAAAGTTAAGAACAAATTAAGAACAGGCTGAGGCTGAGCTTCTGCAAATTGCAATTTTGAACAACGTTTTTTCTCAAAATCGAGGATTTTTAGCGATGTGTGTGTGGGTGCTTTTTTTTAAAATTTTCAAATTTGTCAGCAAATTAAGGCTGTCTCACTCACTTTGTTGGCAAATGGCGCCTGAACACCTCCTTAGAGCGAAAAAGCTAGCAATAGCACTGCTTACACCTTCTCAATTTAAGAACAAATTAAGAACAATCCAGCCTCAGATTTTCGAAAAAAATTAGGAACAGTCAGCCTGAACTTATTGGTTCTTATAAAAAAAGAGTGTAATCTGAACTACTCTTGAGTTTCAACATTTGATGAATGAGTGCTCTGAAACCTAAAATAGTGCGAAGACATAAAGTATTCTGTCAATATAGATTCATGGTAAGCTACTGGTGCCAAATGTTTAGATGCAATTGAATACTGCTGTAAATATTTGGTCATTATTTAGCATTTTGTAGCCTGTTGAGTTCAATATGGAGAGATATTTCAATCCATTGTTTATTTTGCAATTCATCTACAAGATAAATAGCAACACAGGTCAAGATCAGGACATGCTACATAATTATGATTAGTTATCAGAAAAAGATGTCCCACAAAATATTGCTTTCACTTTGAAACACCCAAGCTGAAATCTTCTATCAGTCAAAGGAGAATGTCAGCACGTTTTTTAATGTTAGTCTAGGCAGAGAAGCCATGCTGAGTCCAGCCCATGTTGAGGTTCCGTAATGTAACAGGCCAAGAAATTTGGCAAAAATGCTCAATTCACTACTGTTGCCCTTCTGCGAACCCGGAATGACTGTTATGTTAGAGCTTTTCCATGAAACAAATGATAATAACCACATTTTCAGCATTTTTAATGTTCCTTTTTATGAATCCTTTCTCGTTCCTTGTCCCGTCCTTTCTGCACCCAGTCAATCACATTAACAATAGCTTGTTTCCCTAAATGCTAAAACTTTCCAGGCTGGGTAAACACCACAAGGGCTTAAAATATCAAAAGTGTTGAAACACAGCTGACATTGAACCCAACCTGGGCTGATATGCCCTTTCAAAAGATTTTTCATGAAAATCTTATTCTTCATGAAAATATTAGAAAAATAAAGGAAGATTTTTGAAAACTATCCTGTTTTCACAAAATGCTTTAATAATGCTTACAGAGACTTTGAAGCATAATTTTAGAAATCTAATCAGACCTTCTTTAGCTTAAATCTATAACAAAAAGTAGCCACACAAACCACTTTTTTTATCCATTTCTTCAGAGAGACCTTTGGTTCATAATCAAAATGAGATGAAGTCCCAATGTAGCATCGCAGGACCTCATTGGATGCTGGCAATGAAATACGGGATGAATAATTTTCCTGGAACAATAAGAAAATTGACTCAATGGTGGATCCTGTTATCAAACTAAATCAGCACAGATGCTGAGAGATCATACCCACTTGGTTGTTGAGGGCCAGCATTTTTCACAATAAGTGGTGAGTAAATTCATTCAAGTCAGAAAAGCTAAAATTCAGATTGTTTGTATTTCAACTTTTTTCTGGTAATGCATCACATTTCAAAGGTCTTTCCACTTCTTTGTACACATTTTAATAACCTCTCAGTTATTTTAATAACCTCACACGAGCATCCCAAATGAATTTAACTCTAATTGGTGTAGAAAAATAAATTTGCTAATTATATGGATGTGACACACTTTCTGTAGGAACGACTCAAGAATAAAAAACAAGATGAAACCCAAAAATTTGCTGGGTTTTTCATTGTGCAAACAGCAATTCTGAAACATGCGTGAACAAATTGACAATATGGATGATTCTCTCTGTGTTTCATATGATGCTGCATTCAAAATGAACAGCAATATTTTACTTATTGTTTATCAAAATCAGAACATGCAAATATAATGGTTTTACCTTGGCAATATCAAGTTTACCAAACCACCATTGTTTTAGGTACTTTCTAGTCATCAATTTGGTAACTTTTTTCTCAAGCGATGAGACAGTTCTCTTTTTCTTTATCCTTCTTGCTTTTGTAGTTATAATTTGTTTACCTGGCACAAACAAATAACTCATGAAAAGGCTGATATCACGAATGAAAGTTTTAAAAAAAGCACCAGCTTTAAAAAATGTTACATTAAAGACTCTACTATCCTAAGGTATTTCAAATAAAACCACAGATTCAATAGCATTACAGATTAAACAAGATTAAAAATTCTAAATCTATCAAAGCATGTGTTCTGTCGAGAAAAAAAACAAGAAACCACATAAAAATTCAATTTTTTTTTACTTTTAAAATCTTAGAAATTCAGGCAAAGAATTTAGAAAAAAACTTAAATGGCAATATGTGACCTTTGAATGACATAAATTTAGCAATATACATGATCCATTTCTCAGTGACATTATAAATATCAAACTAATTCAATTACCTTCTGATTTGTGCAAAAAAAGAATGCAAAATGGCTGATCCCATTGTCTATTAAAAACAAGGTGTTCTAGCTTCTGTACTGATACCTCTTGCAAGTTTCCTAAAACAAAAATATAAGCACTAAGATATTGCATCGCAAAGTATGATACATGGAAAAACAGGGAAGCCCTAATTGCCCTAATTGGTGAAACGCAAATTTGTTTGCAGTTTCTCCAATACTGTCCTGTAACCAGAGGGCCCTTGATGCCACAAATCAATGTTGCTAAAAAAGAGGAACAAGCGGAACAACCTAGTAACAACGGAACAACCCAGTAACAACCCACTAAAAAGTGGAACAACCAGTGGAACAAAATGTGAATTAATTGTTTAGTAAATAACATGTGGGGGGCATTTATAATCCAACTCTCTGAAGTTTGTGTGCTAGCATGTGCACTATCAAGAGGCCATCAGTCGTGTCTTTGTCTGTTTCGGAGGCTCTGTTCTGGCTACTTCCTGAAACTGGCTCTGCCATTTATTGAAAACTCCCTGGTTCTTCTGTTTAATACATCTGTTGAAACAAGCCAGTTTCCAGACATATGGAAAGTAGCTAGAGTTACTCCAATCCATAAAGATGGAGATAGGACTGAAAAATCTAACTATCGCCCAATATTGGTTTTATCTGTCATCTCAAAGCTCTTTGAAAAACTTGTTTTCAACCAACTGTACCAGTACACAAAGGAAAATGGTCTGTTCTCAGGTGACCAATCTGGCTTTTTGCGCCTTTTCTCCACTGTAACATGCTTGCTCAAAAATACTGATGACTGGTACAGTGGGTTGGATCTTGGAAAGTTTGTGGGTCTGGTATTTGTTGACCTAAAAAATGTCTTTGACACTGTTGACCATGAGATTCTCTGCCTAAAGCTTGAGCATTATGGTAAAGAAAATTGAGAACTCTCTTGTTTTAAATCTTACCTTTCTGGGTGTAAACAGTTTTGTAGGGTCAATGGCATTGATTCAGAAGTTAGGGACATAGAAACCGGTGTGCTACAGGGCTTATGTCTTGGCCCCCTACTTTTCCTCAATTATATCAATGACCTCCCATTGGCTATCAAAGATTCAATAGCCTGTGTTATTGATCTTCTGTTATTACTGAGCTGAATGAGGCTATTAACAATGACCTCAGTAAATTAAACATCTGGCTGCAAGGCAAAACTTACTTTGGATGTTGCCAAAACTCATTCCATGCTTATTGCTACAAAGCAAAAGCATAAAATGCCTAAATGTCAAAATGAGGAGTTGGACCTAGCGATATGCAACAAAGAGCTTGACATAGTCCAAACAACCAAATACCTCAGCCTTCAGATCGACAGTTCTCTTGATTGGAAAAAGCAAATCAAAGCAGTTTCCACTAAAGTCTCCAGAGCTGTCAGGTTCTTGAAATATGCCAAATCCTTCATGCAAAAGGCATCCTTGAAAACTCTTTATATGGGCATAGTGGAGCCTCACTTTTGGCATTGTTGCTCTGTTTGGGGCTGCTGTGGTTCAAGGGAAATTACCAAATTGCAAAAACTTCAAAATCGTGCTGCAAGGGTAATAACAAATAGTAGCTTTGATGCACCAAGCAGACTACTTATCCAAGAGCTGGGATGGAAGACCATTGAAAAACTTATAAACTGTGAAACAAAAACAATGATTTAAAAGTCCTTGCATGAGTTGGCACCAGAAAACCTCTGTAGCCTTTTCACTCGTAACTCACAGTGTGCTTCCCACAGCCTCCGAAATACTAAAACAGACCCGAAACTGCCCAGGAAAAACGCCGCAAATGGGCAAAAATGTTTTTCTTATAGAGGAGCAAAACTGTGGAATGGCCTCTCAGCTGAGTCTAAGCAGGCATCAACACTGAGTAGTTTTAAACATTCTATTTAGTGGACATTTTTTTATTTCTATTATAACTCTCATATTATTATTATCTGTAAATATGTATACTGCTATAAATAGGGTTTTATAATTTTGGTTCTCTAAAGTATCATTAATTGTAATTGTTATTTTTTTAGTTAGGGCCCCTTGTAAATCAACTTTGTCGAAGGGCGATCCTAGAAATGAAATATGAAATATATATAGGAAATAATAGGCAAGTCTAAGGATGATTGGTTGAAATAGCAAGACTTGTTAATATAAAGTTTATTTTAAGTTTAAAGTTTAACTCAAACAAAAGTTATCATTGTCCACCGATAAGCATAACATTTTAGAACGACATTATTATTTTTGAAATTTGTGCATTACTTAGTACACATTTTTATAAATAAAGGTTGCTTCAAACAACTTTTTATCAAGAATCAATTGTCTCTTTGAAAATTTTCAAGCTTCAAAAAAACCCGAGTTTTCTAAGATGTTTAAAACAACAATGCAACATACCATTTGCTGCACTGCTAGCCTGAGATAAAGTTGATAGATCCTTCATAAATATGCCCAACAGGCTCAACGTATATATTGTATAGACTTTGAAAAACATCTTTGCTCATCTTCCTTCTCACGAAGATTCAAAAGTGCGCCATTTTGTTACGATGTAAACAAACTTGCCGCTTAGATAACTGTTACCTGCGCAGCTAATAACCTCATTGCAAAGAAGAGGCTGCATGTTTTGGTGAGTCAGCATTTAATCATGTGCTAGTGCCATGCAGATTTTGTGTTCGATGGGGCAAAGTTCAGGTGAGTGCCTTATTTTAGGTGGATCCAACGATAAATTACAGAGAGTATAATCTTTTAAAAGCTTAATAGCGCACGAGCGTACTGAACTTTGATACTTTGACACTAGTCATTCCTGGAGCAGAAATGAAGGCCGAGAAAGCTGAGGCAATAACAAAAGAGATATTTGATTTGTATAGAAGTCACGGTACCAACAATTATCTTGGTGAAGATGTGACACAAGCAGAGCATATGATCCAGTGTGCTATGCTGGCTGAAAAAGAAGGCTATAGCGAGGATGTTATTTTAGGAGCTCTTTTTCATGATATAGGACATCTTATTGGACTCAACAAGCAGCTCGAGGCGATGGCAAAAGGGATTGGAACCAGACGCCATGACATGATTGGTGCTGAGTATTTATCAAGGCTTGGATTTCCTGAAACCCTTTGTCAGTTAGTAAGACACCATGTTAACGCGAAAAGATATTTGGTGCACAAAAGAGAGGGCTACCATGATCAGCTGTCAAAAGCATCAAAGACAACTTTGATCCACCAAGGAGGTCCAATGAATGAAGAGGAAGCAACTGATTTTGAGAAATTACAGAACTTCAAAGCTATCATACACTTGCGGGAATGGGATGATCTTGGAAAGGTCGAAGGAACAGAAACTCAAGGACTTGAAAAGTATGAGGACATGTGCAAGAACTTTTTGATAAAATGCTCTTAGTGGTCAGGCTCCAAATTCATTATCATATTAAATTTTGGCAGGGTAAAAGATTTTCCATGGTTAAGATTGATGTCTTCCTAAAGAAAAATATTTTATAAGAAATCAGCATTTTTATGAAAGTAATATCATTTAAACTATATGTAAATTAATTTATATCTAAAATCTTGAATGCTAGAAATGACTAGAGAAACTGATCTATCCAAATAATTTGATATTAAGAACATTGGTGATTAATTCTATCAATGAAATCATTTTATGATGCATTGTGCCATCTCTTCAATGTTGTCCTTAATTTAATTTATCTTTAATTAAGAGTGCTGACAGGAGTGGGTCAACTTCTTAAAATTTGTGGAGGTATGTCAAGTAGGTGTCAATCCTACCCAAAAAGTCTGTTGGAAGGGGTATATTTTATCAAAATTCAGTATGTGTTTTTGTACCTGAAAAGGTTGCACTTGAAATGGTTTTCTTTTGATAAATTTCTGGCTATGATGCATATTGTGACAAGCTTTCACAACATTTGGCTACCTTTCCCACTTGCAAAATCAATAATATCATTTCCAAGGCATTTAAAAAGTGAAGTTAAAAATAGTATTTAGGTGTATGTAACATTGCTGACAGCCCTAAGCAGATGACATAAAATTATGTTCTTAGTTTCATTTATGTGGCAAAGAGATTCATATGTATCCTCTAAAGCAAGGACCGCGCACTACTCTAAAAGTGGAGGGGCTGCAATGGGTGTGACCGAAATTTTTTGAGACCACGCCCTCATGAACAACGGAAAACGCTCCTTTTAGAAAATGCTTGCTTATTTCTATTGAATTTTTATAAGAAGTCTGGTTCAGAGAAGATATCAGTAACCAAAAAATAGATATAATTAGCTCGAGGGTAATAAAAAACCAAGCTAACCAAGTTTAAAAAATACATATATCATTAAACAAAATGAAACACCTAGAAAAAGAACAAAAATGGTTCCCAGTCAATGAGAACTGCTACTAGATAGGAGTAAGCCATCCAAAGTTGCTTTAGAGTAAACCTTCAAAAAAATGTTCTAGCCTATTATTGCAAAAAAGTGGGTGGGCTATAGCCGCTGCTAGCCCAATGACTGTGCGGTGCCTGCTCTAAGGTGACCCTGGTGAACCTAACTGTTCTGCTTGAATGATTGCAGTTCACATTTATGCAATCTAACATGCTCTTCTAAAGGTTCCTTTTGTATATTTCATGATAAATAAGAGGCTTTTTACTTTCTTACAAAGATTAGATGCAGGAGGTAAAATGCAAGCAAAAAACAAGCATGTTGAATTCATTGCTGAATAGTTTGGCAGATAGCAAAACTAGTCATGTGTTTTACAGTGCAGGGTCAGCAACTCTTTAAAAAGTCACTTTGGCACATTAAAAACCTTTATCACTAATAATTTATGCTGACAGTTAGAGCATAAAGCAAATCCAGGAATATCAGGAGACAATCTTTTTTGAAACAGATAAAAAGTTGGTACAATTTAGTTGGTACAACAGATAAAAAACTGATAATAAGTTTCTAATTGTTACCCTAAAATAAATGTCCACATACAATTGTCCACATACAAATCATAGACTTTATAACAAGATGCTAATAACATATTACATATGTTTTTGACTATCTAAATGCTATGCAAAAACAACTACATGCAAAATATGGTTTCTGGGTTGAATTTCCACTCTGTGAGCCACTTCTTCATTCCATCTTTGATTTTCTGACTCTTAAAGATAGTTCTGAAGGCAGTGTTAGAAAAAGATGACAGGCAGCACTTTCTAGATACAAATAAGGATCTCCAGCCTCGAACAAAACAAAGGAAAGCTGCATGCACACCATGAATAAAAGAATGTAAACCAGAAGTGCTTCTCTTGAGATTGGGATGTCAACAAATTTTACAGTGTGATTCCACAACAGTGCACTGATAACCACTGATGACTTTGTAGAACTGGGAAAATAAAATATGCTTCCTGTTGAATGATTAATTCACTGACATAATAAGAAACAGAAATTTTATTCTAGTCTGTCCTAGCAACTACTTTAAATTTCCCACCCAGGGACAGAGGAACAGCTTTAACCTCCATTCCCAAGCAGGGACTCAAACCCTTCTATCCATGTTTCTGGTAAACCCATTGATACCCTGTTGATACTGTCTTCTTATCAGAAATTTATTTGAGCCTGAGTATCTTCTAAAAAAAATACAAATTTCACCATGCCACTGATGCCAACCAAACAACTCTGACATCATTCATATTTTGCAAAGTTGATAAAACTTGTAAAAATTAAGGAGCAATGGGCAAATCAATAAAGGAGGATCCAAGTATCTTTGAAAAATACAAAAAAGAAAATCAAACAGATGCAGCCTTAAGAAAGGCAGAGAAATAATGAAAAAGTTGGTTTGCTTACAAATGTGGAGCCAGAAGCTCAAAAGATGAAACCATTCCTCCACGCACAAAATGATCAAGAGGTTTCATGAGAAACTTTGCACCACTGCCTACATATGAAAGATGAAACAAGCTGTAAATATCAATCTAAATAATATATAAAAGTTCATGATATGTCTACTTGGTAAAGTTAAATTCAGTCCTGAATAGAAAAACTATTGTAACAGATTTGCAAGATAAAGAGCAGAGGAGGTCATAATTAGACAGCTTCTTCCCTTACATTTTTGAATTGTCTTCAAAATAAAAAAAGACAAACAGTGGTCTCCAAAAAATGCCTATCTGAGGTTACTTGAGAATTCATCTCAATGTCTCATTTACTACTTTCTGATTATGTACAAAAAAGATTTAGAGAGATTACATTTTGAATGAATAAACAAGAGTGTGGAGAACTGGTTGGAACATGTAACAACTCATCTAGTTGTATAACCCACCCAATGATTTTAAAGGCTACCACCAAAAACTTTGAATAAGGGACCATACAATATGAGATTTAGAGGTATACATTATATATTGCTTATTGTTTGCAGAATATATATGGGTTCCTAGCAACTAAAAGCAAAATTATTAAATAATAATTTCAAACTGCTGGGCCTGTACTACTGAATCCAGACTGGAGAGGCCACCTGTGTAAAGTCTTCTTAACCCCCCTCCCTAGCCCTCATTCTGCCAAAATTTTTGCTGATACCATTTTACTAGGGACTTTGGTTAATGTATTTGTTGTAAGATAAGACAATGTATTTGTAATAATAGATAAAAAATCTGGACTGAGTTATGAGTTAGATGTGATGTGGGCCCTGAACTGTAGTTATTAATCTAACACAGCACAAAAAACAAAAGGCAATAGGCTGTCTATATGCAAAATATTGTCATCTGCTCATTATCTTATAAATACATCTAATGCCAAATATTGTTTACAAACATTTTTTATATAATGCTAAATGGTAAGATAAGGCAAAAAACTGCCTGGAAATGATACTTGCCTCTTATTGCACCATTGATAATGATGATCAAAGGTGTTGAAGGGTGCAGTGAGGTACCAACTGCTATTCCATTAATTATCATCCGAAGTCTGTGTAGTTCTTTGAGCATCACAAGAATGGCCTTGTAACAAAAAAGTCATATGAATAATGTTGATGGCATGCAATAAGGAAAAAAGCAAAACAAAGAAACTAGCTTATTAAGCTACCTGGGATAAAGGCCAGAGACAAAAAGAAAAATGGAAGAACAAGAATGATACTCATAAGAAAGAAATTCAAGATGGAAAACTTAGAATTTATTCATAGAACCAAATAACAGTCCTGGTCAGATGATTTGGACCACTTGCACAAGGCCTTCAAAAGCCTTTCCACACCTTGTCAAAAGAATGTCAACAGCTTGAGGGTTAGTATATAAACTTGATGTAGGACAAAACATCTTTGCATACATTTAGCACAGTTAGCTTGAAAGAGCTTGGGAATTGATTGTATCAGTTATGGAGAATCTCCTTAAGTTGGTCATATCCAGGCCTTTTTGGTTCACACGGGTGATCACCCTCGCCATTGCCATTTCCCTCGCCAAATTATTGAAGCAGGCTATTGACCGCCCTCGAAAAAAACATGTATCACCCTCAAGAGAAAGGTAGAGCACTCTAGGGAAATTGAGCAACAAATGACAGTATTGTTGTTGTCACTAATTTTCAATTCACATTGTTTCACAGTCTTGTCAAGGATTTTCCTCAAGGCCTTTTAGCTGAGCATTTTTTAAATTGTGAGTGCTTTGGGAGTTGGGGTCATCAAGGGGGGGAGTAGAAATCCGTTGCCTGGTCACTTTTAGCCAAAATTCAGCATCTTAAAATTGTTGATAGGACCTTCATTCGAAAATGTTTTTGCAAGACCACAGCTGAAGAATTCCACAAATTCTTGAAACTTTATAAAAATTCTGTATCCCATGCATCAATTTTAGGAAAATCCACATCTGGCAAACATGTAGAATTCTTTCATTCCATCCAGAAATTTCCAGATTTTCCATAATCCGCAACAAATTTTCTTCAAAATCCATTGTTCTGTAAACCTTGATGAGTCCCACTTCAAAAGTGGGTTACTCATAAGCAGGAACAGCAAATATTGATAATTAGCAACAATGATAAGAACTGGAGTAATGGAAAGAAATGCTATATAATGAAAAGAGCTGTTGATATTTTTTAGAGGAAAAAAACGCAAGACTGTAGCCTCATAGTAAGAAACATGCCTTGAAGCTCCAAAAGAATCTAAAAACACAGATAATGCAATCATGGATAATTTTTCAACTCAGTCAGAATCTGATTGTGATTTGTACACTGAATAAGAACATTAACAATTCAAACTTCTAGATGATGGTTTTGATTGTTTTCAAGTTTTATCTTTTTACTTAGCTGGTCAAACTTATTTTCTTCTCGTCCATCCCTAAAAGTTACGTTATTCCTGAATGAAGGGTCCAGTTGTTGATAAAAACAAAGCACCATTTCCTTATTTCCTTATTGTTGGCATTATAAATCATTACATGGAATATTTTGGATAAATATGCTGGCAGTAATTACATAGATAATACCCTAATTATCCCTCAGATTCTGAAGGACTCCATTTAGCAGATAATGTTTGACAGGCAATTGGCGTCCTAAGTTGATCCATGTGGGCCAGACTGCAAAATTTGGGTAACACGTTCCCAGCGCAATAATTTTTTGCTCAAATCCTGTCCGCCCATTTTTGCAAATTTAGATTAATCCGAGCAGTTTGAACATGGACTTTCGTGTGAATTCCGCGCATAGCCTAATCTCGAGTCCTAAAAGTGCTATTTAAAAATGAAATCCCACAGCTTTTAACCTGTCATTTTGCAACATGATTTGTTCCCGCGCAAGCGTAAGCAACAGAAAATAATTCCCTGCGCACAAAAAATACTTTGCACTCTGGCACGTGGGTAGTTTGTTGCCCTTGCAAAAATTTCTTCACGAATAGGCCTGGTCATATCCTACCTGATCCATCTATAATCAATCATCAAAAGTGTAGCCTGCACACAGACCCAAACTGAAAGCAAACCTATTCCATTTTGCAATAACCTGAATACTTTTATTGAAATGATTAAACCTGGCTATCTTTGATGTTATACCTTGAAAATCTTGAGCTGAAGTGCTTCCCAGAAGAAATCCCCAGGGCTGAAGAAGACTAAGTACCTTTAAATAAAATAGAAAAAAAAATTAATGTCAAATAATGAAATAAAACATATAATGAGAATTATCCTAGATTTTGAGACATTTTCTTGCTCCTGCTGTGGTGAAGTGACACATCAGCAAGAAAGCAACAGATACAAGCTTGTGTGACTGGAGTCAATACATAAATTAAATTAGGAAATCATACCATGCTATGGTTCCTAAGATTAAAATTTGTTCATTCTTGAGTGCAGCAAGAATTGGCTGAGCAAGCAGGAAATTTTGGATGATTGTCCCACCATAGCAAGAGACAACACTGACAAACCAGCTTGTTAGGGGATGATGTTTTGCGAATTCTTTGGATCCTGGAAAACAAAGAAATTTTGCTATTAAGCAGTTAGCATTCACTCAGTTGATCCTAGAATGCTCAGTTTTTAAAGTGTTCTCAGAAGATAATATTTTCTGGTTTTTGGGCCCATAATTAATTGCCAACTTTTGTTGCACATTTGCCGTGAAGTGTGCTTTTGCATAAGTCCCTGTTTGATAAGATTTTACATTATTAACAATATACTATTAACAATGAATTTCACATTTTCCAAGTTTATTAAGTCAAGTGTGTGATTTCAGGCACACAGTCACAAATTTTCAAAATGGACTTGTTCATCCAAGAAATAAAGTTTCCAGTCCGGTAATCGAAGAAATCGAAGAGGAGGCCTATTCAAAGGTGGAGGCTTTTTGAGGACTTAAGGTACCGTTAATCCTGATGTGATACAGTTGATCCCACTCTATATAGCAGGCTTATATATATATGATTATATATATATATATATATATATATAGAAGTCACAAAAAATTATATAGAAGATGTACAACTACTCAATTTGGCTCTGCTTACAGTCACATTTTGTCTAAAGTCGAAAATTTTCAATCAACATTTGGTGTGACCATAACTGCGCCGCAGTATCACACTTGATTAAACAAAAATTTTGTTCTTCTCCTTGCATGACAGCTTAAAGAGATTATACTAAGCGATATACTTAGCAAGATTCAACTATGTCAGCCAATATGTAGAAAATCTTCTGTTTTCTGTAGTATTTTGCTACAGTTAAATTTGCTGTAATTTCCATACCATCTCTTGTCCTCAAGGCACCAGCGACTAGGACACAATGCACACCCAAGAATAACGGATAAATGGGCACGTTCTCCACGTAATTCCCAAACGAATGCACATCAGACGTATGTTTTAAGAAATTTGAAATCGCTTCCTTAACATCGAAGTCCATGTTTCCTACTTCACAACTATTACCAATTCTCAATAGCTAACAAAGAAATTGGAGTTGTGTTGTATTTGCTGTTGTTGCTGTTGGTTTTGTAGTTGACGCTTTTGATAAATTCAAATAAAATTAAGACAGTGTTAGAAAATTATAGCAATAAAATAATTAATAGGCTATCATTGTCGAAAACTAGACCATATGGCTAGAAACTTTGAAAATATGCTAGGTGTTTTATTATTTGAAAACAGCTTTTTCTTGAAAAAGGAAGGAAGACTTCAGTCTGAATCCAATTCAATGCACTTTCCCATAGCCTGCGCGCAATCTTTTGTTGCTGCTATCCCAGGGGGGACTGAGCCCCCATTATAGCAGTTCCCAGGGGGGCCGAACCCCCACGTAGTCGGCGCCCATGATTCCAAGCATTTACAGTCGCGGTGCTTGCTGTAGTGTTTTCTGTCTTGTCGAAATTTCAGAAAATAATGATTGATCTGTTTTAAAACGGATCCAGCAACAATGTTTAGCCACTCAATGCATAAATTTCTTAACACATTTGTATAAAGATGTGATTTAGTTACTTTTTCTTTGTTTGTTTACAGAAAATGCTATGAAATATCTAGGCCAAACTCTAGAAAAGCCGAAAATAGGTCATAATTCAATGCTTGGATATTAATAACAGAATCTAAATATGGTAACCAATTTTTGATTTTATATAATCATTGATATTTTTAAACTATTTCAAAACCACACTCAGGGGCGGTCTGGCGTCAAAATTGCAGGGTGGCTAGAAAACTCAAGGGCCCGGTTTAGGGCGTGGCGGGAAAAAATGAGCCACACCCACTACAAATGTGGCTTAGAATACGATTGATTCAATAAAAATTGATAGTAAAGCAATTCGCTAAACAGCAGCAGTATATCGACTTTAATTCGTAAATTCGGACCCAATTGGATCCATACCTTTCCTCTTGTGTAAACAGGCTTTAAAATCCCATGTAGAGTTAAGAATCAAGATCAAAACTTATTTAAATTCTCAGAGTTTCAACTCTTTTCGACGAAATGCAAATGAATCAGCAAATTGGCCTATGACTTGCTCGTAATCAAGTGGGAAGTTTTCTCTTCTTTTCAAATTATCAGTAGCGCTGAATAATCTTTCAAAGGAAACTTGGGTGCAGCTAACTGTCATCAAGCATTTATACGCGTTGTAGAGGGAAGGGTATGCTTCTAGGTGAATGTTGTATTCACTAATTTTTTGATAGAAACCAGTGCTCGGGCCGAGTCAGCCAGGGCCGAGTCAGCCCAGGCCGAGTCAGCCCGGGCCGAGTCAACCTAGGGCGCCCGGGCAAAATCATCCCAGATCAACCTTGGCTAGGTAACTTTGTGTTCGCACTACAGAAAATATTACTTGGGTTCACTCTACCCCCTACCCAGGCTGATACAAGGCTCGAAAGTATAGTGTAGACAAGATATTTGACATTCATGACAGGGTCATACATAAATGATTTCACCTATAATTTAAAGATTTTAAAGCCCCCTGCCCTCCTCTATTATATTGCCAATGAAGTCACTTCTCACACTCCCCCCCCCCCTTTCAAGCACTTCGCTATACAATCATTTGAAAAGTAGAGGAAAGCAAAAAGCATAATTTATTTTTTATAAAAAAATTTTGCAGATCTAAAGTTGTGAAAATTATATTTTTAAAAATTTGCGAACATTAAAACAACTCTGAAAGGTACCTTCTAAAGCCTGCCTAATTCGGGATTTCTCCAGGCTCCGAATTCCCAGGAATATCCTTTGTTTATGCTTCTTTTTATGTAAATTTTTGTCCATAGTTTTGATTCATATTTTATCTGATTAATCAAGAAAATCAACAAAACTGATTTCTCTACGATGTTCGTTGCTTTAGTGTTTAGTCTATAGAAACTAACAACTCTTATAAATCTCAGCGCGTTTCAAAGATATGGTGAATTTTTTAGGCAGCTACTGCGATCGGAGAAAAATAACTCACAGCGCTGACTTACAGCTAAAATTTAACTGTACCCAAGAGAGGAAAAGATTGAAGGGTGTAACCTGTTGTTTAGAATGCATTGAGTATATTCTGTCTACGCAAAATTGAACTGATAGAATGACTGATAATACATTTGGAAAACTACAGTATGAGTACAAGGAAGAAGTAATGTTCAAAATAGCTCGGAAAAGTGGAACAAAATTCACTTGAACTCTTCGTCCGACGCTTCATAATGAAAACAAGTGAAATTATTTCCAATCGAAAGCCCGGTTTAGACTACAAAAAGCTACCCGGGCTCAACCTGTGTTGGGTTCACCCAGGGTAAACTCTCTTCAATTTGTATTATAAACGGAAAGTGGGTCTAAACTTGGTTCTCAAACGCAATTGTGAGTCAGCCCGGATTGAGTCAACTATCAACTCTGATTCTTTCTTGAATAATTTTGAAAGGTTTTCTGCCGAACGTTACATTTCTTTTCACTTACATTTGTTACCTCCCCTTCCTTTCTCTTTTTGCTTTCTCCCATTGTTTCTACTGATTTCCTTCTCATTTCTTCAGCTTTTTCCCAGGGCCTATTTTAGTGTGCAGTATTACACACTTTGTTCAATTTTTATCTAAAAACGTACAGTATTGATTTCCAAAATGTGCAGTATTGAATTTTGGGATTTGTGAAAATGTCTTTTTGCGGTTATCCCAGATTCCTGCTCTGTTCAAAAAATGTGATTTTTCCTCGCCACTTCGATATAGAGTTGATGTATTGTAATTATCGTATAACCTCCGGAAAGACTCTCTTATCAAAACTTAAAACAAAGCGAAATGCCCAGAACCAAAAACAAAACATATCCTGTAAATGTCAGCATTGCTGTAAATTTCGTAATTTGATCTTGTCGAAGATAAATTATTCAATAATAATTTATCAGTTGCCCTATGATGCTCTGGGCATCTAGCAGAAGCTCACTTAACTTAACTAAAATGAAGATAAAGAGCCTAATAAAACTTTTTAGCTAATAGACCTTTCTTGAAACAGACCCAACAACCTCTGTAATGTATCGGTCGTAAAAATCGGTATTACAGACCACTATATGACATACGGTATTAGAAAATTAAACGCTAGAGTTCATGTCAATGATGTAACATTTAAGACAGAGTCACGCAGCTTGAAAGATTATGACTGTGACTCTTTCCTTAATGACTTGGGTAGTATTGACTGGGAGATGGCTATGTGATGTAGATCGGATGGCCCTAATAGGATGGCTTGCAATTTCTACGATCTCTTTCTCGCTGTCTTGGATGTGCATGCCCCGTGGAAAAAATGGACCGCTAAGACGGGGCATGCACATGTACCATGGATTTCTCCAAGCTTAAAGAATTTGATGTGCGAAAGAGACCTTATTAAGAGACGGGCTGAGAGAGATCCAGCACTATGGCCAAGATATAAGCAGCTTCGAAACCAGGGGCGGTCTGGCGTCAAAATCGCAGGGTGGCTAGAAAACTCAAGGGCCCGGTTTAGGGCGTAGCGGGAAAAATTGAGCCACATTCACTAAAAAAGGTGGCTTAGAATACGATTGATTCAATAAAAATTGATAATAAAGCAATACGCTAAACAGCAGCAGTATATCGACTTTAATTCGTAAATTCGGACCCAATTGGATCCATACCTTTCCTCTCGTGTAAACAGGCTTCAAAATCCCATGTAGAGTTAAGAATCAAGATCAAAACTAATTTAAATTCACAGAGTTTCAACTCTTTTCGAAGAAGTGCAAATGAATCAACAAATTGGCCTATGACTTGCTCGTAATCAAGTGGAAAGTTTTCTCTTCTTTTGAAATTTTCAGTAGCGCTAAATAATCTTTTAAAGGAAACTTGGGTGCGGCTAAGTGTCATCAAGCATTTATACGCGTTCTAGAGGGAAGGGTATGCTGCTAGGTGCATGTTGTATTCACTAATTTTTTTATAAAAACCAGTAAATTGATGTTCAGGCTGACTGTTCTTAATTTTTGCAAAAATCCGAGGATGGATTGTCCTTAATTTGTTCTTAAATAAATAGGGTGTAAGCAGTGCGATTGCTATCTTTTTCGCTCTTGAGAGGTGTTCAGGCATTATTTGCCAACAAAGTGAGTGGGACAGCCTTCATTTGACGACAAGATTGAATATTCACCAAAAAGGAACTACTCATGGCTAAAAATCCTCGTTTTGGGATAAAATGTTGTTCAGAAATGCATTAAACAGTAATTTAGCCTTAGCTTGTTCCTAATTTGATCTCAACTTTTGACCAGTTTTGATGCTCATATTCTTTTAAAATTGTTATATATTATAAAAGATATAAATATATAAAAAATTAAAAATGAGCATCGGTACAAAGTTTTGAATGCGCAGGGTATGCACAGTTGGCAAGCTTTTACCCTCTTGATAAAGGGTGTCGATGTCGACTTTGGGGTCCTTTCTCTCTTTGTGAATCCCCACCTTGAAAGTCACAGTTTTCCTCTCCATATGTTTCTTCTCTAAGAGCTTGTTCCTTGAGATCATCTGTTTTCAGGATCTCTATTTCCACCAGTTGTTGTTTTCACTTGATCGATAAACTGCCGGTAGCAATTTCCAAATGCCAGCAATTCTGACATTCCATGAACTTGAAATCTTGAAAAAAGGCTCTTATTGCTCTTTTGCTTCCTCTTTGTGTCAACAAATCTTCTTAGTATTGTTAAATTCTGGTACAGATCTCTGTAACCAGATGATAGTGACGACCCCTTGTCATCTCTCTTCTGAATTTCCTGTTTTGAATTTTGCGTTATTTTCATGTACTGAAGCCCCCCTCTCAATAATTGCAGCCTAAGCCTTATGTCCTGTATCAGTGTATTAAGTGGAAATAAATACAATGAGCAGCCTCCCCCCCCCCCTCCAATATGAATTTCGTTCCCACGGCATTGTCTCTGACAGTCAGATACCCTGGGCATCAGAGCTACATAAATTAGAGAGCGGAAATAGAAAATAAGAGTACGCTTATTCGCTTCTCTGTTTACGCGCTCGAAATTTTGTGGCTCTGGGACCCAGGGTACACATAAGATTGAACACATGGCTGAAATAACGGAAACCAGGGTTTGGGTTGTTTGAAGCGCATGTATTGGGACTTTAATCGCAATTAATTCCATCGCGGGGGCCCCTTAGTTATGATAAACAAACCCTAATCTCAGGAAAAACATTTTGGGCATTTGGTGCATCTGCCCTTGTCTTGCCTGAGCAATGACGCAATTTTATGGCCGGTGTTTGATTCCAGGGAAAAACTGCTTCAGTTTTTTACCCCGATAATCAGACTGATACACCTCACCTGTCACACAATCGAATGACTGTGTGAGAAGAAGTGAGACAGGAGAAGGTAGAAGGAAGTATGCAACGGGATATAAGCAGGAGGAGAAGTGAGTACAAGGCAGGGGCGCAACTACGGGGGGGGTCCTGGGGGTCCAGACCCCTGCCCTTTTTCTCAAAAGGGTAAAAGTGCCCTTTTTCCTGGAAAATTGCTTGAATATTTTAACTATTACGCTAAAATGGTTGGTCATACAGTAAATGACACACTACGGAGATGTAATGGACCTCGCAGGAATACAGATAAATGATTTAGTCGAACTTTCGCGCACTTGTTGGGTCGAACGTCATCATGTTGCAGTAATAGAGTATATCTTCAAGCCCCAACTCTACAGCGTGTTTTATGATGCGCTACGCACTGGCTTTGAAGAAGAATGGTTCTGGGACTCAAAAACCAAAATAAAGGCACAGGATTTTGAACGGGATAGAGCCTCTACGACCTCTGGTAAAAAGTTACAAGAATAAAAACCAAGACATTTTTCAAGCCTGTCACATAGTTGACAGGGTCATAGAAGACCTTTGCATGAAACGAGCGAATGCAGGGAAATATTTTCGGACTGGTATTAGCAAGCAGTAAATATGACACAAAAAGTTGATGTTCAGCTGTTCCCTTCCTTGTCAGTATTACAAATCAGCTCAAGGCAAGACTTGGAGACAGAAACAAGCTGAAGGCAAGGCTCGTGGAACTGTTCAACCTCCTCCAATCTGTAGTGCGAAGCAAAGAATTCAATAATAATATTTTAAAGCGCAAAATGTCTTCGGATATGGAAGATGATGGGCTGCTATTCAAAAGTGAGCTGGCGCTGGGAAAAGGAGATGACAGCAGGGTCGCCGAGAGGGGGACAAAGGGGCAAATTGCCCTAGGGCCTCGAGGTCTAGGGAGCCTCACAAAGCAATGAATTCCGTTTTTAAATGGAATTTATTAAAAGTAACAAAATTACAATTAAAAAGTAAAACATCTTAAACGAATTAGTGAATTTAAGCTATTTGCAAGGGTATGGTGGCAAAATTTTTGCTCGCTTCGCTCGCAAGAGGCATTGTTTTTTCCATTTCCCCCCTCCTTCGGGCCTCCTAAACTTCATCACACCTCACCACAAAATAAACCGTACACCACAAACTTTTCTCTATTGATCAGTTTCCCTTGCCTGGCGTACAATATTTACAGATTTACTAACTGCTCATATTTTCGGTGTACCTAAACAAATGCCCCGGTGGACCTTTAATGAAGTTTAATTAGTGCCCTTTTTGTGTCTTGGACCCCTGCCCTCTGAAATTTCTGGTTGCGCGCCTGCAAGGGGACAGGGATAGGAGGGGAAAACGCGTACAAACAACGCGTGATTCTTGCTGCAAAATATGACATGACCCTAGCTGCATCACTGTACTTTAAACAAATATGCCAGGAAAAGACCACCTAGAAAATACCACAAGGTGATTAGCAAATAGCTAAGGTAACATGATTTCTACAGCCTACTAAGGATATACGTGTGGGACCACCCGATTCTAGAAAAGGGGGATCTGCGCACTTTCCCCTCGGGTATTAACTCGAATTAAACGATTAATTCCCATTATAATCAGTCTAGGGCATTAAGTATTTGACATTAAGTTGAAAAAGTTTCTCCAACGCGGAAAGGCCCGTAAATTTTTTGTACACAGGGCCCGGGTGGCGATCCCCACTTTGCCACCCGGGCCAGACCGCCCCTGACCTAGCCTGTGCTCCAGACCCTTAACCAGATCCTTCAGGTTAAGTGTCTGGAGCACAGGCTACCCCTGACCACACTCGTTGCTTGTAATTATTCTTCAGCACAATGCGTCCCTCCCCGTATCTTTAGGCCTATAAAATACCTTCGGGGTACACTTTCACGATAAAGATTTCTAATTTGGCCTTACCAAGAGGAAATAAATTTCATTCATATCAAATTTCTTTTCTACAAATTTAATCTGACAAGCTAAAAATAAAACATTCGCACTGTCCTACTCATGCCATATTAGGTTCTAAACGACAGACAAAAAAATTCAAGAATTATATATCTAAAATGGTCTATATTATTAGGTAATAGACCTAAAAAGTTTTTTCTAATCTATATGAAGATAAAAATTGCAAACACATACTTTTTCAACTTCTAAAAACACGACAAGCCAGTGCCATATTCCCCCCCGTAACTGCGTAAACTGAAAGAGCCATAATTTTTAAAATTCTCTTTAAAAACCCCAAAAAATTGTTATGTGTTGTTGATTTATTTCTCCTCTAACTACTTTCATCAGAAAAGGCACTGAACTAGTTGTGAGCCACGAGAAAATCATTCATTAAAACAAGCAATTTCCCATACTGAACCCAATTTGCCTCACTCGGCAGTACGCAGCATGACCCGAGTTAGACATCTAGCGCCTTCGGCGCTTCTATTGCACTCTCCTCCGTAAAAAAGGGAGCTAGATCTGGTTGTTGTTTGGAAGTGGAAAGATGGCTGCAACGGAGGTGCCTGGAGGTTTTGGACGCGGTCGTGGTCGAGGTCGAGGGCGAGGCCATCCTGGCAGCATTGGCCTTAATATATTAAAAGAAGCTTCTAAACAAAAAATCAAGCCTCCTAAGGGATTTCTAGAAGAAAAGGGGCTGCCAATCCCAAATAATTATGGTAAGTGTCAAGTGTCTAGACCAGTGCAGAGTGTGGCATGTGCACACACAAGGTTTTTTCAGAGGCTTGTCTAATGCACACAAAAACATAGTGCTGCACACACATTTTTCTGGGCACTGGAAAATTTTTAAGGACCACCTTATTTGAAACGATGCTTTCCTACCTTCTTGGTCTAAACAACATTTTCTTTGAAATTTTGAAATGCTGATGAATTAGGATTTTGTTATTTATAAAACAACTTTACTTTAGCTTGTGTTGGTCTGCATCAAAACCATCTGATTGTCACAAGTTGAAAGAGTTGCTGTCTATAACTAAATTAGAGAACATGTACTACTTTTAGCTATGTGCATTTTGTGAGCCGATAGAGTTTTCTCTAGTTACTCTCCTTGTGATTTGAAAAGCTTCTGGCATGCAAATGCATTGAATGAAGTATGAGGCACAGCTTTTCAGGGTTGCCAAATAAAATCTGAAAGCTTTGTGAAGTTAGAAAACATGTGGGGATATTCCCTCATGAAAATTTTTAAGGACCATACCCCATAGATTACCGCAGAATGGCCCTGGAGTCATCTCATATCTCAGTATTTTGATTTGATATTTTGAAATGACCCGTGCCTGCCCTAAATCCATTGATGCCCAGCTCCAATTCTCTGAGAAAACAGTCTTAGGTTAATTCTCAATTATTATTGCTGTGCACACATTGTCAGGCCTGGCTGTTTGTATTTTTATAGGTGAGCTGTGAATCGCTTTCCTCATTTGCTGAGGCGAGCTAAATCAGTAACACATAGAATGCACTTTAAAGACAATCGACAGATGACTTAATAAGCCCCTTTAGTATCTGTCGGTTGCCTCAATGTAATTGCCTTAGTCAGGAGTATGCTGTTTTACTTCTTTCAATTTGTATTTGCTTTAACCATGACTTAGGCACCCCCTTTACTTGAAGTATTTAAAAGAACAGACTTTTTCAGTTCCATGTAAAGCTGGCACAACACAAAAACAACAATTATCTTGCAAAACAATTTTTTTGTTGCACAGAATTTGAAAATGGCTTTGAAAAACAAATTTTTAAACAAACTTAAGTTATACGTCTAGCACTCTTCGGAGAATAAAATGTCAGAACATAGATGGAAAACATTACGCTAAAATACCCAGTTTTGGATCGAAATAGGCCAATCAGAAAACGCGAGCACATGACTGTTGAGGTTGTCCAATCAGTGCCGCTTTCCTATTGAAAATGTTACCAACGGAGTCCTAAGGTGAAAACGAACTCACTTATGTCTACACAAAAGCGGTCGGTCATGTTTATATAGTAGATAGATTCACAAACTGTTAGATGGAACGATGATCAGACAGTTTTTCATCCAATCTGGGTTTTTCAGTAAATGCTGCTGAATAGTGGAATTCCATGTTTTGGTTGTCGTTTTTGATCTGCAATACAGAGTACCTTGTTCTCTTTGAGGGATAGTTTTGTTTCTATTGCTGGAAGGGACCTGCTGTCTTATTATATCCCAAATCTACAATTCCTACCAATTTCTTCGACTTTCCATCCAAAAATATTCCTGTTTTCTTAAGATTGAAAGGTTCTAATGGCTAAAAACGTACCTTTCGGTTAACTATCCTTTTCCAAATAGATCGAAGTTTATGCCTATCATAACAAAAACCGTCCAACAAACAAAAAGTTAATTGCCAAAAATGCAATGACAAGAGAAATTGCTGCTACAAAATAAACCAATTAACCCTTGTGTGTTTCATAATTCTCTGAATAGGAAATTTTAGGGGAGCGATTCTTCCTTCATGTTCTGTTAAGGAGAGCAATTCATAGCTCGCCTCAGGTTGCGAGGGGGGCGTGGAGCTATAGCTCGCCTCAAACAGCCAGGCCTGATTGTGAGCCAAATTGACAAATACTTAGCCCAATAGAAGCTTGCTGCACACTTTGGATCAAAACTGAACAGTGTGCACACATTGCATACTTTTTCTGCACTCTTGCACACATGCACACATTTATATTTGCTCTTGCACGCACAAAATCTTGTCAATAACTGCCACACTCTGCAGACTGGCCTACAGATGCTGCCAGGCTGCATTCACTCAGTTTTGCACGGAGAACATAAATTCTGGTATACATTTTGCGCAGGTTTACAATGACTTTTTAAAAGCTGCTATTAGTTTAGAATCCTGAAATAACAATAACGTAACCAAGAATAAGCACTAAAAGACTAAGATTAAAAGCAAATAATTGAGAAAAATTAGAGCAAAAACAGAAACACAAACACAGTAATGTCTATGTCTGGGTCAGCAAGGACTTTAGAAGCTGTTTTCGCTTTTGTATTTTTGCATGGAATCCATTTTAGAGCCACTTTAGATTACCCAGAGAATAAATTCTCGGCGCATAACAAAGAATGCATTCTGGAGGTGCTGTAAAGTATATGGCATTCTCTACCCTATTTCCTATGTTCACGACATGGTCACTTCAGGCATGTTTTTCAAGTGTGTATCTCATTTTGCTTTAGATTTCAGTTTTACCTACAGGATTTTTCTTTCATAAAACTTTGTGCTGGTGTGCGATTTCTGCCTATGTTTTCCACATGCAATTTCCTTTTGCAATTATGCTGCATACATCATTATCATCATCATTTTCTAACAGTCAGGTTTTTCCCCTTTTCAGGGGGGTTACTGACTTTCCTTCCATGATTTGGTGTAGCTTCTCCACTTCACTTTGTTTTTTGATGTTTCAAAGGTCAATTCAACTTAATGATGTGCCTTCTTCATCATGATTTTCCAATGCAGCTGTGGTCTTCCTCTCCCTCTACTGCCTTCAATCTCCATTTTCCATGCCTGCTTCGCACAGTCATCGTCACTTTTCCTCAGTACATGACCCATCCATCTCAGACTCTCTTGCTTAACAGTTCCAACAATTGTGTCCTCCAGTCCTTATCTTCCATCAACTCATTTTTTTACCTAACTTCACTCCACACACCTTTTGGACCATACATGTTTCTGTTCTCCTCAAAATACCTTCTTCAATTGATCGTACCACCCACATATCTGATTTGTTTATCATAAAAGGTCCTGTAGATTTTACCTTTCAGCTTCCAGATGTACCTTTTCCCGAAACAGCATAGAAGACATGGTGTAAAATGCCTTCCAGCCTAGGCTTACTCTCCTTGTCATAGCTAGTTCGTAACCCCAGCTACCATTTATGCTGTCACCTAGGTAATAAAATTATCCACTCTCTCCAACTCACCAAGGATGTCTTCTGTTGCTGATTCTTGTTCCTGGTTTTCAGCTGCTCTTCTGGAGCATACTGCATAAATAAAATGTGCACACACATCCTATCTGTCACTCTCTTTACCGTAGTAGAGAACGCATAAATTCATTTCTGACAGGTTTTATACTGGATGCAGTTGGACTTTACTCTTTTATCGGGATGAGAATCCAGTGTTATGACATGAATAAATCAAATTAAACGAATACTAATATTTTGCTCTGGCATAAATCTAAGAGACCATTAAACAAGCTGGGTACACTTGATCTGGAATATCCTTCACTTAACATCAACACCTTTTGCCAAAAAATTTCAGTCTTGAGTTGCTATATGTACATAAATAAAACTAAAAGTCAATTTAATGGTCTCCTGGGAATGATTTACCAAGCCCTTTGCTGTACCTTATCTACTTTGAGAAGCTTCAAACTGTGTAGTGAATGGTTGAAAGACAAAAGATGAAACTGTCATTTATCCAGGCTCGTTTTCAAATCCAAATTGATTATCATACCTTATTCAAGGCAAAAGCTGTTCCTTAAATAAGTCAGAAACTGGCTACATCAGACCACTTCCTTAACCCCTTGATTTGACTTAACTGGATTCACCTTCACATATCCATATAGCCAAGAAATTCTTCAAACTCAATCCTGTGATCTTTTTTCATATGTTTTTAGATTCTTTAATAATTTTCTTCAACTTAACCTCAATGCTATTTCTCAGTGGATTTGTGAACTTTGCATGTCATACTATTTCAGAGAAACAAGATCAAGTCTCTGAAACTAAAAGCAAAAATTCTACTCAAGAGAGCTCATCAGATGATAAAACTGGATTCAAACAGGACCTTTCAAACAAAGTTAAAGAGTGTTCACTAAAAGATGAGGAAAGTCCCAGGGAAGAAAAGAGAGAGGATCAAAGCAAGGCAGCAACTTCAGCATCGAATGAAGAAGCACTATCTAACACTGCAACAGTAGCAGTTTTAAAAACAAATCTTAATGCTGGAGCTAAAGAGTTTGTTCCAAGTTCAAAAGCAGTTAAAGACAAATTTTCAGACACAAGTATGGTTGATTTTTAAAACAAATTATCTATGTTTTCTTTGACACTTCTTTTGGTTAAAGACAGTTTTGAATCTGATTTTTACTAATAGCTACTCAGACCTGACACTCTATTACATCACTCTGCATCATTGTCTTGAGATGCCCCACTCATCAGCAATTCCATCTGAGGGAAGCAACCCTTGAAAATACACCCTGCTAGGAAATGTGTGTATACACTTTGTGGTAACTTTCATAAATAAAAACAGGGTAATTTGAAAGACAGATATGGTGCTTACTTATTGATATGTTGAATCATTGGGTATTACTTGGAATACCAATCAACATTTGATTAAGTCCAAATTTAACTGATAGACAGTCTTTGCAAATGCCTGTTTACTTTGACATACTGTATTTCCTCTAAAGAACACCATGGTGTTTATTACCAACTCCAAATTTTGGACATGGTGTTTAATAGAGGACGGGGTTCATCAGAGGGTGGCGTTCAATACAAAATGAAAGGTTTTTCAAATGAAAAATGCGATGAAAAATAATAAAAACAGACTTTAAACAATGTTTTCTTTTCCCAAAACATGTAGTAAAGATTGTGTGAACAATTTTTGAACAATTACAAAATATGTCTTCACGTTATTGAAATGTCAAGGAATGTCAATACCCCTGCCTCCGTCAGAGTCCTTGTCTCGATGACAACTTTCATAGCTTTCAAATAGTGGTGTGTTTTCTAATGAACGCTGCTTTCAATATGGATGGCTGAAGGTGCTGTGTTCAATAGAGGGCGACATTTATCAGAGGGTGGCGTTCATTAGAGGAAATACGGTATTCTAAATATTTGCTTGTTGTTTTAGTTTGTCATTATTGACTTTCTGAATGCTGCTTTGTGTCATTATTTTAAAACATTAGGCCAATAAAAGCCTTCTTACTTGAACAGGTTTAAATTTCTACCTAACATAGATGCCTGCCTGATCTAAACAAGGAAAGCTACTTATTGTCCTCCTCAGATGCATTTAGTCCATATATTTTGTCATAAGTGGTACCAACTTTTATCTTACCACTAAATGATTCAATTCCATCATTTGTCCATGTCATGCTTGAATCATATGATGAAGAGAGGTATGGCACAGGGCTTGAATGGTTTAAAAACCTAATTTCTGATAAATGGATGTCTTGTGCTGTTGAAAATTTTTATTTAACATCATCAGTAGATTGAATTTCACACTACACAATTATCTCAGCTATTGATGATAATTTATGCCTATAATTTCACAAAGTTATGCCTATAATTAAACTGAAAGAACATTTTGCTTTGTTCTTTTAACAGTTCAAGAAGAGTTTTCTCTTGAAGTGTATGCTGTTGCCTTAAATGTCTTGTCACATAGACCTGATAAATTTGATGATGTCAGTAAAGACCTGTTGGTAAAGATTTCAACATCTTTGAAGCAGCCAACAACAATGAACAAAGTTGTTGATGTTCTTCTTGAAAAGGTATAACATTTAGATTATATAAGTGAAATTTTTGTAACAAATTTATTACTCCGTGAAATATGATTTATTGCTTTTTAACTTTTGCAGGAATAAAGGCATTGCCTTTAGATCAAATAGCTTGCCACCAAAGTCAATGTAGCAGTATTTGCTCAATGTCATGTTTTATTTTATGATGTTTTCTATCGTTGTTTGCTGTTTTGTCTTTTTTCTAATGTCTTTGACTTGTTGTTATTCAGGCCATCAGTGACAACAACTTTCTGTATTCTGCTGTGCGAATGATATCAGTATTTTTGGAAAGCCTTCATGCTGTTGTTAGCTTTAGAGAGTGCTTTTATCCAAGGTAACTTTAAAAATTTATGACTTTTTTATCATCCTTCAGTCAGTAAAAAAATTATTACAAGACAGCAAATAGTGCATAATTGTGATCAATCCTCTATCATTGCTCGACTTTGCACAAAGAAGGCTTTAGAAAAAGGAGGTTGACAGACGCTCCTTTTTTTAGGATAACCCTATTTTTCAATTAACGTTGTTCAGCAAAAAATTTTCAAATAGGAATGTGTTTGTCAGAAATTTCAAGCGTATCAATGGATTTTAAGGAAATTATTGAAAATTCAATATATTTTGAATTTTTGTAATGTTCACCCCTTCTGCAAGTTTATGAATTCTACACACTACTTTACGCCTTCTCTTATTATACACCCTGAAAAAGCAAAAGCTGTAATTTGCTTTTCACGTCGGCGGGGTGGGGGTAGCCGATTGGTTAAAAACAAGAAGCCAATCAAAGGAGCCAATTTCCCTTTTGAATCACTTGTCAACCGCACTTTGATATGATTTTCTGCATGATCTTGATGATCATCCTAGATGTCTATTTTCATGAATATTGTTATATTGAAGATAAATAAGTATGAAGCGTATCTTTGGAACTTTGAAACGTTTATAAATGGCATATTATTAAGAACAGTGCTGCATAACTAAATAATACATTTTTATACTTCACAAATCTAACTAAATAATATGTAACAAGTCTTGCAAAGAGTATACCGTAGATCAGGGACAGAAAACCCCAGGGACAGGCATCCTCAGGCACGTTTGCCAATTCCATCCCAGGTGCAGATTTTATTGGCCTTCAGACATAAATGATGTTTGCCGTGAAAGTTAGTCTAGAATTAAAATGATAAAATGTTTTACAAGAACGACTTTGATTCCTTCTCATACAAAATAGTCAGTCATTGCTTTCACTTACATTAAAAAACACAAAAAGCTGTCCTTGAAACTGAAGTTCACAAATAAAAAAGTTTGTACCAACATAAAATGTAGACATATATATAGCCGGATTCTGAAATGCCCTGTTTTTCATAACAGGCCTTTAGTAACTTTGATTAATGTTTTTGTCACATTTATTTGGTGCAAATGTGGCATGAAGCAACAAGAATACTTGTTTTAATAGGCTTAAACAACTGCAAGAGGAATTTCCAATTCTTCTGAACGACCGTGAAAATGCACAAAGTCAGTCTAAAGCGCTTGGCATTGCCCTTTTGTTTGCAGATCTTCTTTGCCGTGTCGAGGTAATAATATTTTTTCTGTGCTGTATAATTCTGCGTCAGATTTTTTTAAATAATGAAACCGCTTTTGTAAGCAATTCTATCTTTTTTGTAAATTTTTCCAGTGTACGAGTTATATTTATTGCAATTCTCATCTTCATGCAAGATTTAAGATGAAGCACAGCTACCTTAAGTTAGAAGTCATAAATCAGCTTTGGGCCGCAGGTCAAATGTAAGTTTACAGCCAAAGGTTAGAAGTCAGCTTCGTGTCATAGGTTAGAAGTCAGCTTACGGCAATAGGTCCAATGGATAGTAGTCAGCTGCTGGTTATAGTTAAGATGGCAACCTTCGGTCAAAGGGCAGAACTCAACCTCTGGTCTCTTTTCATTCTCTTGTAGCCACTTCTTTCAAATTTTTAGTTGTTTCCAATCCACTCTTTTTGGCCTTTCCCTCTTTCTTTTTTATTTACTTTATCCTGTCGGGATCCTCTCCCCATTCTTTTGGAGTTTGTTGCCTCATATTTTCCCTCCTCATTGTATGAGCTCCATTTTCCTTCTTCTGTTCTTGCTTTCTTTCTTAGTCACTAAATATTAGATACTTTTTACAGGGTATGTAAAATTATGCAGATTAAATGAGATCCAAATTTTTCAGGTTAAAGAAAACGAACTGAATTCACAATTCGTGGATGCTGTATTCCAAATTGTCGAACAATTGAAAGAAAAGCCGACAGAAAAGATGGTCACAACTCTGATAAAAGTGCTGAAGGTATTGGACCAATATGCACCTACATATTAATTATGCAATCGGTCAATTATACGGTATTATTGTGCGATTATTGTGAACAATTTTTTTGCGGTACAGAATTTGAAAATGGCTTTGAAAAAAGCAAACATTTTACGACATACTAAAAGCTTTTTTGTCTGACACTCCTCAGAGCATAAAACGTCAGAATAGGTTCCGAAAAAACACGATGGAAAATATATACCCAGTTGTGGATCGAAATAGGCCAATCAGAAAAACGCAAACACAAGACCGGTATAGTTGACCAATCAGTGCCGCGAGCCTAAAGAAAAATTACCAATGGAGTCCAAGAGAGAAAACGAACTCCTTCTGTCTACACAATGGCGGCTTTTTCGTTTTTATATAGATCGACTCCAAAACTGTGCGATTATTGTTCTGTCTATGGTATTTTTCAGATCACACTATTTTATAAGTATCCTTAATTTATAGTTCCAGCTGGCGTTGTAAATTTTTCAAAACATTGAGGTGGGGTTGTTTCAATTGCTTCCAAAATTATTCGAATGTTAGAAAGTTAAAAAAATAAAAGAAGTTGGAAATTCATAATATTTTAAAATAATTACAGCAGGTATAATATTTTAACAATACTAGCAAAATACATTGGCTTAATATGTTTTAGATTAGTGTCAAATAAGTTGTAATGCTACTTCTGACATTTGCATGGTATTCGAGATGGCCCTTTTATTTAACTGACTTAATTGGAATTCTTGTCAGTACAGCTAAAATGAATAAGGTATAATATTTTATTAACATTAACAAAATATATTGGCTTAAAATGTTTGTGTTAGTGTCAAATCAGTTGTAATGATACCTTTGACATTTAATCAAATTGGAGAGCCTGGTATATGATTTCTGTACATGCTCTTGCATTTTTAAAGTGATGTTTGCCTTTTGGAATTCGTTTGCATGCCTTATTCTGAATTCTTATCCTTTCGAATCTAAAAAGACGCATGAAATTAAATGGCTCCTTGCTACCTTTCATTGAAAAGTTTGCTTTTAAAAAATGCAACAGGAGCACTATGCCAGTTTCAATGATAATTTACTGATTTAGTGGTGAACGCAATTCACTAAGTTAGTACAACCATTATCTATTCGATCAACTAGATAAATCAATTTTGCAACATTTTGTTTACATTCTATAAGTACTGTCTCTTGAAACTTGTTAGTGACCATATATATCCTTCCTCTTCTATTAACATTTAATTTTGATTTTCATCTTACGTTTAACAATTCTCAACAGCTCGCTGGTCCAACTTTGGATGAGTATAAAACGAAAGGCAACGGCATACCTAAGGTTGATGACATGTTCAGCAGTTTCTCTGATCCCAACGATATCAAAAGCTGGCTTGCTCATCTAGATAAGTAAGCTTTTCAAAGAAATATTTTTACCGAACGTCTTGTTTTTCATGTTCTATTCATTTTTGCTTCAGTTTTCATTTTGTTTAGGCATTGAATTTTCAATTAGACGTTTGCAATTTATCGGCTGGGATTGAGCCCAAAGGTTTTTATGTATCACGGCCACCATTGTCAATATTGGCCAGTAAGCAAAGCGGTATCAACATCGGCGTTGAAGTGAATTTAACTACGTCACCGATGGATAATCAGCTGATTTTTCATTCTATGATGACAAAATGTCTTCTATATGATTAACAGTTTCTCCTCTTGACGTCATGATGCATCGAAAGTAACAAAAAGTCAGGAGATGATGTATGTCGGTTACCAATAAACATTTTGCCTTACCATTTTGCAGCGGTGAGAAGCTTTGCAATATAATTTTCAACATATACAAGCTGCATACACGGAACTGGGATCGAGAGGTGAGCACACATCAATTTGAGCTCGAATGAACTTAACTTTTCATAGAGTTGTTATCAGGTCTCCCCGGCTCAATCTACCTTTATTTAGATTTCTTCCATAAAATCATCTTATTTTAGAGCTTGTTATCATAATAACCTCATAGAGCTTATTAGAAAAAATCAACCAGTTTTAGAATCTATCACATCAAATAGATTTTTGGCAGATAATCTGCGTTTCCAAGTTCAAATATATTTGGTAATTTATTTCTGAAGATGAGCGAGATCTCTCTTAATCATGTTTAATCAAAATATTACTTGCAAATCTTCCAATTTATATTCTTGAGCAAACAGTGCATAAAGAAACCGAATTTTAGCTTAGTCAATGATCAACACGGTTTAGATATGTCTGATATTCAGATTCCCGTATGCAGGTGCAATTACTAAACGATTCATTTAATGATTTGACATGGCAAAGAACATATTTTGAGTAGACTTTGATTAAGTGAGATAAGCTATTTTTTCATTTTCATAGATCAGGAATTTTGAATGATTTGAAAACCATATTAAAGCGCATTTTCAGCCTCCTAAAGACATCACTGCTTTCATCCTGACGAAAAGTTGACTTTGGCACTAAACTTTAAAGAAACGATCGACTCTTCATCTACAACAGATATAACAATAATTTGCACGATACAACTTTATTTTTTTAATGGAAAAGCTATGTGTCTGTCATAAGAAGGTTTTTTATAAGGCAGCTGCAGTATATGAAAAGCAAGTTTAAGTAATCATGTAAGCAAAGAGGTAGCTTCTCTAAGACTCATGCGTACCTCTTTTCACACTTTACTACCTCCCACATGCATTGCCACTGATAGCCTAATTGCTGGCCCTAGGTCGGCTTTAGGTCCTCATTCAGTCTAGCTGTACTGATGAGCCCTGATATGGGGCGAAACCGGTCTACAGCCGACTGTTTGAGGTGTCAGTGGCTTTCTTTACTTCACAAAGGTAGCTTTTAACTGCTTATTAGACAATGGATAAATGTGACAAAGTTAGGCTGGATTATCTATTTGGTTAGGTTCATTCTAGCTGGTAGTATTTCTCATCTGTCTCTCTTTAAGCCTAAACCATGGCTTTGACAAACTGAGTTTAAATGTGAGAGCTTTCAGAAGCATTTAATAGCAAGGTTGTTCTCGTGTGACGTTATAAATCTGATGTGTACAGGCCTGGGGTTATTCACATCACCTTTCGGGATTATGTTTAGGTGTAGATGTAGCAGTTTATTTCAGAAGAATTCTCTCGAAGGGCCAAATAAAAGTCTTATTACCGTGAATTTTTTCATATTTAAGATTTTATATAAGAATAATATCTAATAAATCATTGTTTTAAAATAGATAAGAATTATCGATGTCAGATGTTTGATTTCTTTTTATTTGTGATATAAAAAATGATGTGTGGCCATCCATAGGCATCACAATTGTCTTATGAATTCTATAGAAATAAAAAATCTCAAAATGTCTTGTTGTTCAAATCTTTCTTTTTGTTTCTGTTCAAACGATACTAATTAGTACAGAATGTTCTACTCAACCTTCGCCTTAGCCAGTTAGTAAAATAACTAGCAAGTTTACTAACTTTGCCTGAGTATTGGGACCTGGGTTATATGCTTCACTCGAAACCTGTTTTGCTGCCTTTTAGATGCATTATTTGAATCTTATAAACTTTTTATTTTTTAGCCTGTGACAGTGAATAACTCGAGCGGTATGCACTCTCTTTATTTCTATGTTTATCTTCTTGAAACTTCTCTTTAAATAAAAATTGTTGTCAAAATTCGTTGAGAATTTATGTTTCAAGCGAAATTCATTTTGTAAAGCTCATTTTGCTCATGCCTTCATCTTTCCTCTTTCTTCAATTAATCCCGTTTTTAATTTGGACCTTGTGATCAGAAGAAACAAACCTTCCAAGTCTGTCAAATTAGTTGAATCTCTTTCGAATTTAGACATGGCCAGTGAAAGACATGAGGCTTACTCAACGATCTTTGTTGTTTTGGCTTGGTTCATAAATTTTAAAGCCAAGACCAAATTATAGCAATTTTATACCAAAAAAGCATGTTTTGCAGTATCTATGCTTTAACCATTTTCAAACAGTGTCGATTTTCATTTCGCATGAATGAATGTTAATAATGATTTCCAATCTAAGTGATGACGTCACCACTTTGTTTTTCCGTGATAGTACCGAGCTTTTTGTTTGGTTATTCTGCGTAGGACAGTTCATTTTGTCAAACCTTCCATCACGGCATGGCAGAGCTAAACCATACGCCTAGCATCTCTCGTCTGGATGACTCGGTGCGACCTTTCTTCACAGACAATATCTAATACACATTATAAGGCAACACAAGAAGCCAACCAAACGCAACCTTCTATTCTCACTGTTTTTTTCCATTTACATTGGATGTGAATATAAGTCTCTGCTAAACCTTAGTAATTATCTGATGTTCATACGGGATGTCAGGCAAATAGTACCTAAGTATGCAATGATTCTGCTTTTTCGCGATAATGGCTTTTTTGGATACAATAATAGTTGAAAAGCTACATTTTATGAAATTTGCCTTCTTGTTTTCCAATAAAATTAGGCGCAAGAGGCAAACTTTCAGCTCAGCCTGTGGGTTTTGTCTGTCGCCAAATTTAAAAAAAAAATATTTTGGACAGCTGATTGATAAATTTTTTTATGTTTTCTTTAACTGAATCAGGCCAAGATGAAAATCAGAAGACACTGGCAAAATCTGTTGTAAATCAAAACCAGGTCTCAAATTCACCTTTGAAAGCTGCAGCAGCCGAATTTGTCCCAAGTGCAGGTTCAAAGCTTCCAACAAATGAGGATGGTAAATATGAACACAGCTTCATTCTGTGTTTTCTTTCCAAAAATACAAATCAGTGTTATGAGAACTCTTTTGTTTTTAATTCTGGTGTGTCTTTATCGAGAGATATATAACCTCTTCTAGAATTTCTATGAGAGGTTGAGGAATGCTAGTTTCTTTCCTTGCTGTTTTAGCATCTTTAATTTTTTCCCAGCTCCTCTCTCTCTCTTTATCCTCTTCTTCCTCCTTTTCTTCCTCCTCTTCTTCCTCCTCTCCTTCCTCTTTACTCTCTTCCTCCTCTTCTTCCTTTTCTTCCTCCTCTTTTTCCTCCTCTTCTACCTCCTCTTTTTCCTCCTCTCCTTCCTCTTTATCCTCTTTTTCCTCTTCTTCCTCATCTTCTTCCTCATCTTCTTCCTCCTCTCCTTCTTTCTCTTCTTCCTCCTCTTGTTCCTCTTCTTCCTTCCCTTCTTCCTCTTTTTCCGCCTCTTGTTCCTCTTCTTCTTCCTCCTCTTCCTCTTCTTCCTTCCTTTCTTCCTCTTCTTGCTTTTTTTCTTCTTCCTCTTCTCCCTTTTTCCTTCATCCTCCCCTTCTTCCTCTTCTTCTTCCTCTTCTTCTTCCTCTTCTTCTTCCTCTTCTTCTTTCTCTACTTCTTCCTTTTTCTTTCTTCCTCTCTTCTCCCTTTTTCTTTCTTCCTCTCTTCTCCCTTTTATTCTCTCTTCTTTTCCCTCTAATTCTCACTTTGCTTTCCCGTCTTTTATCACCTCTTCTTCTTTCTATTTTCCCTCCTTTCCATTTCTCCCATTTCTTCTTCCCCATCCTCAACTTCTCACTCTTCTACTCCCTCAAATGCTTCCGCTTCTGCTTTCTCTCTGACACAACTCTGACATCATACTATTCCACTTTTTAGATCAAGATGAATTTCTCCTTGGAGTTTTTTATGAGACTATTGACGTCTTGACATATCGACCTGATAAATTCAACAGAGTTATTGAAAATTTATTAGAATCTGTTTCAATGTTTCTCACCCAAAAGACGACCATGGAACAAATTCTAGAAATTCTTATACAGCAGGTATGAATTTATCAAGCAAAATGTAATTTGAATTATTCGTTGAACTTCGTTTGAAGTTCTTGGACATTATTAAGCATTTGCTGTCAAATTTTGTTGAATAAATTTTTATTATCTTTTTCAAAAAGCTTTTAGTTTTATAAATGATCTTGTCAATCTGGGTTCAGTTCATGAGCTGAATTCTGAATATCGATTGTAACTGATCTACTATAGAGACAGGACACTTCCGTATTATGACATATTTCAAGGAAAAAATCCAGGAGATTTCTTCCCAGAAGCCTGGCAATGTGTGCTTGTTTCCGCCTTTTTGAAAAATTGGGACAAGCATAGGGTTAGAAGTAAAAATGGGAAAGACTTGAAAATTAAGGGGAAGCTGAAAAGTATAATAAATTATTCTGTTCAGTTGCCTGATTAGAACATATAATATATAAAATATAATGGCAGGCAAGCGGCACTGATTGGGCAACCTCAACAGTCATGTGCTCGCGTTTCTGATAGGCCTATTTCGATCCACAAGTGGGTATATATATTTCCTAGCCTAGAGTTTTCGATCTATGTTCTGATACTTTATACTCTGAAAAGTGTCAGACGAAAAGCTTTAGTTTACTCAAATGTTTCCTATTTTCAAAGTAATTTTTAATTTTTATGCCACTAAATAAATTGAGAACATAAAATGCTCGGCACGTTTGATCATGGCTTTGCACTCTTAAACAAGTCATCCTACTAAGAACGAATATTTGTCTTGTGGAAGACGGCATTTTCTTTGATTTTAAAAGTAGTTCGAAACGGTAATTATGGTTTTCAGAATTTCATGACCATACCCCTAGTTTTTTTTCCTCCAACTATTTTTATAACTTCTCGGTTGCCATGCCAGAAGAAGCTTTTCTAAACTTTATTGTTTTAATTTGTTGGTGTTTTCGTGTTTGATCAACAAGGCAACATTTGACCAAAAGCTTAATCAACTGTAAGTTGAAAGCGTGAAGCTAACTGATAAGTTTTCATTTCTTTTTATCCTAGGCGACTTGCAATCACAGTTTTATTGTCATGGCTGTGCGAATCATAGTTGTGTTTCTTGAAAAGCTGCAAATTGACACAGCAGAGGCAAGCTTCAAGTACTGCTTTTATTCGAGGTAAAAATAATATACCTATCCCAGTTTTTTTTGGGGAGGGGGGGGGGGCAAAAAGTTGCAAACTTCGTGACGATCAGCCAAAATTCTGCAATCTGCAATTTAATAAAAAGCTTCAGGCCGCAGCTATAATTGTTGCAATTTTCTTTAAAGGCCTAAGTTTTTGCATTTGTAATACCCGTGTTATGTATATCTTTATGCATAAGATTGCGAGCTGTATCTCCAGAACATCTTTTACTAGACTTCAACCTGAGAGCCTCCATACTGAACATCAGAATGGTGTTTTGAAGCCGGAGCTGCACCATAGAAACCCCAGATAACCTTGAAATAGCTATTAACCGTCTCTTGACCTTGTTCTTATAGAAAGGGAACAATAAGCAGTCTCAAACTAGCATATTTAGTTGAGTGTTTATGCCCCTTAGTTAGTATATCAGGAAAGGCCCTGTGCTTCTTTCATTTACTTCCTATTGTTCTTCATCCTTTGTTTGATTTAAATTTCTTTGTTTTAAATACTATGGGCAGGAGCGGTGGCGTTTTTTTTCTGGCATCTAAATAGAAAAAAGCCATTATGCATTCTCCTTTGCCAGTCTGGCACCCTGATTAAAAGCCCAATTTGCAAGATAATTTTGATTTTGATGGAAAGATAATTTTTCTCCGTTTAATCGTTTATTTAAATAAAAGTCCCATTAAAAGATTTGTGATTTTAAAGCAACTGAGTCATGGTAAATAGGCCTTCTCTCTAGGGGTCATTCTCTTTCTGCGTTATCGCTGTAATTTCATGTGATCTGCCGTTAACAACTTGATATTGAAGGAAGTTTTTTTGTTAATCAGTAAGAAGCAACTTCATGTGATCGCATTGCAGCAGGAACATCATGACTCAGCGTATTTGGGTATACCCTCTTCTCTTATCATGACTCAATGCTTTTAATCGAGATTTATGTGCACGTGCACCTTTCGATTGTTTTAGGATACAGGCTCTTTCGACCGAATTCTACACACTAATAAAGGATCGTGATAACCCCGCAAGCCAGACAAAGGCATTTGGTATTGCGCTGTTGTTTGCCGATATGCTCTGTCAAGTAAAGGTGACTACGTCTTCTGTGACTTTGATGTTACAATTCAGAAATTGCTGCATGAAAAATCAATATCAGACAACATAAGAATGCTATTTGCCTTAACTATTGATGCTAGAACAGTCTGAGTGAACACTGAACTTTGCGTGTTATCAAAAAAATAACATACATCGAAAATAACTTACAAAGCATACAAGTAACAAACTGAATTTTAAGATTTTACTGTCCTTGTCTCCTCGTTTCCCGTATCAACCAGCATCATTGTCAATCAGCATCATTGCCAATCAGCATCATTGTCAATCAGCATCGTTGTCAATCAGCATCATTGTCAATCAGCATCATTGTCAATCAGCATCGTTGTCAATCAGCGTCATTGTCAATCATTATCATTGCCAATCAGCATCATTGTCAATCAGCATCATTGTCAATCAGCATCATTGTCAATCAGCATCGTTGTCAATCAGCATCATTGTCAATCAGCATCGTTGTCAATCAGCGTCATTGTCAATCATTATCATTGCCAATCAGCATCATTGTCAACCAGCATCATTGTCAATCAGCGTCATTGTCAATCAGCATCGTTGTCAATCAGCATCATTGTCAATCAGCATCGTTGTCAATCAGCGTCATTGTCAATCATTATCATTGCCAATCAGCATCATTGTCAATCAGCATCATTGTCAATCAGCATCATTGTCAATCAGCATCATTGTCAATCAGCATCATTGTAAATCAGCATCGTTGTCAATCAGCGTCATTGTCAATCATTATCATTGCCAATCAGCATCATTGTCAACCAGCATCATTGTCAATCAGCGTCATTGTCAATCAGCATCGTTGTCAATCAGCGTCATTGTCAATCATTATCATTGCCAATCAGCATCATTGTCAATCATTATCATTGCCAATCAGCATCATTGTCAATCAGCGTAATTGTCAATCAACATCATTGTCAATCAGCATCATTGTCAATCAGCATCATTGTCAATCAGCATCATTGTCAATCAACATCATTGCCAATCAGCATCATTGTCAATCAGCGTCTTTGTCAATCAGCATCATTGTTAATCAGCGTCATTGTCAATCAGCATGATTGTCAATCAGCATCATTGTCAATCAGCATCATTGTCAATCAGCATCATTGTCAATCAGCATCGTTGTCAATCAGCATCATTGTCAATCAGCATCATTGTCAATCAGCATCATTGTCAATCAGCGTCATTGTCAATCAACATCATTGCCAATCAGCATAATTGTCAATCAGCATCATTGTCAATCAGCATAATTGTCAATCAGCATCGTTGTCAATCAGCGTCATTGTCAATCAACATCATTGTCAATTAACATCGTTGTCAATCAGCATCATTGTCAATCAGCGTCATTGTCAATCAACATCATTGCCAATCAGCATCATTGTCAATCAGCGTCATTGTCAATCAACATCATTGTCAATCAGCATCGTTGTCAATCAGCATCGTTGTCAATCAGCATCATTGTCAATCAGCATCATTGTCAATCAGCATCATTGTCAATCAGCATCATTGTCAATCAGCGTCATTGTCAATCAGCATCATTGTCAATCAGCGTCATTGTCAATCAGCATCATTGTCAATCAGCATCATTGTCAATCAGCATCATTGTCAATCAGCATCATTGTCAATCAGCATCATTGTCAATCTGCATCATTGTCAATCAGCATCATTGTCAATTAACATCGTTGTCAATCAGCATCATTGTCAATCAGCATCGTTGTCAATCAGCATCATTGTCAATCAGCATCATTGTCAATCAGCATCGTTGTCAATCAGCGTCATTGTCAATCAGCATCATTGTCAATCAGCATCATTGTCAATCAGCACCATTGTCAATCAGCATCGTTGTCAATCAGCATCGTTGTCAATCAGCATCGTTGTCAATCAGCATCATTGTCAATCAGCATCATTGTCAATCTGCATCTATCATCATATCACTCTAATCAATCTATCATCATCAACATCATATCCACCCTAAATGATCATCGTTGTTGTACTGGTCATCTTTGTGGGTTCTATAGACATCAACTTCTTTAAATAACATAATTATACTTATCCCTCTTGTATTTATTTTCCTAGGTGGCTGGTTCTTTGAATATTCCATTGAAGGGAGCCGTGTTCCAGATGATAAATACTTTGAAAGAAAATCCAACAGAACCGATGGTTCACCTTCTTTTGGATATTTTACAGGTACGGAAGTACTTGATCATGTCTTAAAGATCCAGTGGCTCAGAAAAAGACCTTTTCACATCTAAAAAATCATAAATTTTCGTTTTCCCTTTTTTAAATTTTAATATTTTAAAAAAATTCTTACGAAATTTCTGCTAGGAGAATCCTATATTTTGACCTTGCTGTATAGGTCAAATCAATAAAAAAAAACTTAATCGCTGTTCCTTATTCAACATTGATGAAAAAATTGTCTTAAAAACTTTCTGATGTGATATTTTACGCTCTCGGTCACTGGAGAAGACAAACATATGTTGTTAAAGCAGTCAGACTGTGTTCTCTATCAATAAGAGACAAAGGCAATTTATCTTCAAAACTAGAAATGCCCCCCCGCCCTCCTCCCACTCCCCTCTTAAGCCGCCAAGTTAAATTTGGGCTGAAACCGGATATCTTAATGTTAGTGTTGAGGGTTCTGATCAATTTGGTAAACTTGAATCAAACATTGGATTGCAGTATAATCTTAGATTTTCATATTTTTTATTGTCATTTTGTTTGCATACTATGAACAGCATATTGGACCCACTCTGGATGCCCACAATAAGGACCGAAGCTTGCCCGAGGTTGATGTGTTATTTGACAGTTTCAACCACCCATCAAAGAACAAGGCCTGGTTGTCCCACCTCGAGAAGTAAGTCAGTCTGCGGTTCACTTCATAAAACCCTCTTAAAGGCCCTTGCGCAACCGGCATGTTTACCGGCAGTTGTCTTGATTGTGTTTTGTATTTTCATGCAGAACGATATCAGGTCGGTCTTTTGAAATACAGTCGCAAAGCATACCGGTTGCACAAGAGCCTTTAAGAGTTCTTCTTCAATCATCAACTTAAACATTTCGTCAAGAATATAGAGATGATTAAAAAAATTTCACTTGTATTAAGATGCAGATGTAATGACTAATTGTCAATTCAATACCATGTGATTTCTAGGCCTAAAATTGGCCTTAAAAAGAAAGAAAGATCCCTATAGTTTCTTAAATTTTTAGGTTCCTCCCTACACTTATATACAGATGAAGTTTCTGTTGAAAAATATCAGTTTACCTTTTCAGAAATGTAGTAAATTTACTCAAGTGGTCGGTGTTCTTTCCAAAACCGAGTTCGAGAATGTTAACCCACTCTATTTCTTCATTGAAAACCGATTGACTTACATTTCGACTCCATTTCCAATATACACCACTGATTATGACGTGACCAGCAAGTTACAAATATTATATGTTTTGAAAGCAGCAAATTTTTTGTGTTTGGGAAGTGCAGCAAATGTTTTGAATCTTCTTTCTCAGTTTTCTGCAATTGTTTGGGAGACGAGCGAACGAAAACCTTGAAATGTGTGAGGCATCCTTCCGTCCTGGAGTTGATGAGCAAACGTAATATATCTTCGTTCCATACGCGTGCTCTTTTACTTTAGAGCGGAGGGTCGAATGTGTCAATAATTCGTTCTCCTTTTTTGTAGCTCGTTTCCCATATATAAACTATATAATTCCCAAGTTTTCAAAATAATATGAATGAATTTTTAAGAAATTCATATTGATTTCTTTCTCTCTAGTGGAGAAAGGCTCAGTAACTCTGTTTTTGAAGTTTACAAGTTGCACACAAGAGATTGGGATCGAGAGGTAAAATGAGCTAGTATCTATTGTGCTAAATATTATTACTTTCGCAACTCTCCTTCTCTCTCTCCCCAACAATTTTGATAGCCAAGGCAAGTATCATACAATCTCCTAATTTGCCTTATCTCCTACATCATTTCATGATTAACCAACATTGTTCCAAGAAGGAGAGTGAGACCCCGTTTACACTGTCCCGCACAAGTTTTGAGCCGTGACAAAACTGTCACGAAACGCCGTTCCCTGACGGTACAAAATTTGCTCGCTTTCATAGCAGGGTCCAAAATGTTCCAGATTGGAGAGCAAAATCGTTCCAAAGTTGCACGGGATATGGTAAACGGGGTCGCACTCTTCAATGTTGAACCAAGACGCTTTTGCTATGCTATTTGAAACAGTTCCGACCTTGCTATGAAAGCAAATGAATTTTGTACCGTCACGGTTCCAATTTTGAACGGGACAGTGTAAACGGGGTCTGAGTGGCTAAATTCGCTTTTAAAACCTGACGTTAGTGTTCCAGGACTGTTTGCAGGGAAGCTTGAATGATGGTTGTAACCTTAATATTGGTTGACACAGAGATTTCGGCTATCCTTTGACGTATGAAAAAGGTTTGACGATAAAAGTCGAATTTGAACAATCATTGAATTATAGATTAAGTGTTGCAGCCCTAATTCTTAGTTTATCAGACTGAAAGTTCAAGTGATGTTTGTTCAGAAGTGCCAGTTGTGCAATTATAGGAGGGTGACTGAAATCTTTTTATTTGAAGTGATAACTCAAATATTTTGATATTCAAACGCCAAGACTCTTTTGGCGTGGTTTTTATGATCCTGCTTATTTTGTTAACGCAATTTGTCTCGCCTTTGCAGGAGGATGTCGATACGGAGGAAGCTGTTGGTGTGTATTTCATCATCTTATGCATTTTTACACGTTATTAGCATATTTGGTTCGAAGTTAGAGTGCATTGATTAGCTGCATGCTACACTTTCAGAATGTTTACATGTCAACAACGAGACAATTTATTCTATTATATTATTGTACGTATATCCGAGAAGTTAAAGTACTAAATCAGACCAACTGGTCCTTCTGAACACTGAACTGAAAAGAAATTGTAGTAAACACAGAATTCATATAGGCATGTCTTGCAAAAGATAACGAATAATTTTGTGTCGATCTCCAAAACCTTGTGGGAAACCTATCTTAGTTTAAAATCCGTTTAACCTAAAAAGGTTCAAAAAATCTTTAAACATTCGAAGACTTATCACACGTTTGAGTGGATTCCTTACCCTACATCGATTTGATGTTAGTAATGCTCCTGCTGCATGTCATTAAGAATCCCAAAACACTTTTCTCATTGATAAAAAGACCTTCCAATATTTTCCAAGGCCAAGATACGTTATATTTCTCTCCGTACTCCACCCACCAAGTACGTCCACCAAAACCAATCTGCATATACAACAGCAATATGGCTTTGCCAATGTCCTTGCTCATATAGATTAGCTACATCTTTTTTTAAAAAGTCTTGAACTTAGTTAGGACAAAAGACTCCGCCAACAAGAAAAATCTTGTTTTCTTGTTGTCCAAGCAACAGCTCTATTTGTTTATCTCAATCAAAGGAAAAATCGAAAGCAAACTTTTCGGTTGCGGTGATAGGCAAGCAATCGTCCCGGGTAGGCCAAAGAATTTGCAGGTGACTTTGATGGAGAGCTTAAAGGCACAGACCCAAGTGCCAATGTTGCTTTCTATGTAAAAACTAGCATTAGGGCTGGAAAGGCAGTAAATATAATATGTCTACTTCTAGAGAACAGAAGTCAAGAGACGAGTATATTTTGTCCTATGTATTTGCCAAGTCACCTACACGAGCAAGTTTTTGAAATTAAAATTCTTGACATGACAAGCATTCATGTTTAAAAACTGATATGTCAGCTTTGAACGAATACTTTCGTCAATCATAGACCGTCATGGTTCCTCCATTTTGCCCATTCCATCTAACCAAAAAGCTGCCAATGGAAACTCAGAAAGGAAAATTGTTCCTGTAGACGTTCCTTTGTTGAAAACAACGAAGCGTTCCATGCAGACATAAGCTTAATGTTCCGTGACAATTTTGATTTTCTCTCTACAATAATTGCCTTAATCTTGAGCTTTCAAACCGAACCACTCATTTCTATCTTTACAGATTGGAACGCATATTGTGGTCCGGAAAACGACGATCCAGTGTAAGTTTATCAGAGCTTAATATTATGGCTTGTGTTAATACTTTATGGAAACTTTGCGCTTAATGAAATTTGTGTCTTGAATTTGCTTAAAGGCATTTGACATGCATATGTACAGCGAATCCAAAAATAACTTGCACAAGAAAGGTATTGAAAACCGCTCACGTGAAACCACTGCGCGCTGCTCTAGGATTTCACCGATTTGCAGAAAGGCGGAAACTGTTCACGTGTTTTTCTCTGTGTGCAATTCGATTGGTCAACCGAGTGGTCGAGTGCCACTTTTATCTGTGTCTGTGTAAAGTCACTGGAAGTCAATCGTTTAGAATTAAAAATAGACTTTGCAGCGCGTTAATGATAGAGGATTGGCCTGATTGTATTGTAACAATAGGTGTATTGTGTAGTCCAACCAATAGGAAATTTGCATGGCCAATGAAATACATCGGGACCTGGTGCCTTTAATGAATGAAATAATGGATATATTTATACAGCAATTGTAATATATCCTGTTTGGCTCCAGCCAACAAACAATATATTGTAATATATCCTTTTCAATTCGATGTCAGAGCCAATTTGTGAAAAACGTGAATACTGTAACGCATGCAGGGCAATGTCAGTAAAAATGATTTCGATGTTCGTTCACTTCCTAAATGTCAGAGAAAATTCCGATATTCACGGTTTTGAACAAACTCATGTTGATCAGATGGAGCAAAATAGCTATGAAATTTGATTTCTTTGCCGTAAACTTTGATAGAAAGATTGCCTTCATCAGTCGACAAGAGTAAACTACTGCCAACGAATAAAAACCAAACGAAATTTTTGACAAAGTAGATAATCAACACGGCGACAAAGAGATAATCAACACGGGAGAAGCAATCAGGACGTGAAAGAAGAAGGAACGAAGGGAGAGTAGATGAATGAAATGAATAGAAAGAGAGTCATGGGATAGATGACTGTTGGGAATTAGGCGAAGGCTTATCCCTATGTATGGGAAGGCTGTCATAAATAGGCAAATCAAAAGAGTTGTCTGTTTTCAAAGGGAGTGGCTACGTTTTAAAAATATGTTCATGGCGGAAGAACGGCAAGGAGATTTGACATTTTGCCCGTGTTCGTCAATTCTAAATTGCTCTCTACAGCGAATCAAAAGATTGCGGGATGTTTCACAATAGTCAGTGGCCCTGTTGCCTCCACACTGTAACTTGTAAATAACGTTGAAGCATAATTCGGGGGAGAAGATTCTTAAGAGCGAATAAATTAGAAAAACGTTTAGGTGATGTAAATACAAACCTTAACTCAAAATCAGGATAGGATTGTTTCATTAGTTTAATAAAGCAGTTATCATTAAGGCTTGTTTTGATTTTGCAAAAGTTCCTTGTGAAAATATTTCATATGTAGAGCAAATTTGAAAGGCGCTGGAATTAAGTACACTAAAAAGATTGATTTTCAGTTTAACAGGAGACAGACTGGGAAAATCAGTCTGTAAAGTCCGGTCAAGGTTTACTTGCGGTACAAAGTAGTGGAAAACTCACTGTTACTTTTGGATACCAAGATATCTAGAAATAGCAACGAATTGTATTGATTCTTTGAAAGTTTGTTAATTCGTCGAAAATTTTTAGTGACTAGGCTGTGTTTGATGTGAAAAGTCGAGAAGTGTGAAAAGTTAACGGTTTTAGCACTAAAGAGTTCCACTTCGGGGACGTTTAAGGCACTTGCATAACCAGCATGCTTTGCGACAGTTGTTTTCAAAACCGGCCTATCATCGTACTGCACGAAATACAAAATACAGCCCATTTCATCTCGTGTAAAACACCAGCAACCGCAAAGTATGACGGTTGATCAAGAGCCTTTAAGGCTGCACCTCCTCCAATCCTTGCCAAACGTTACTTCTGCACCAATGTAAATTTCGCTTCGATAATACTGATTCGTACTGTACTGTGCAAACAAGCTGACGTGTTAAAACAGATAAATATAAAAAATATAAAAATTGAAATAATTTCTTTGGCTGCAATGTCTAATATTTTGTCATAAAAAAGCAATTTGGGAACGTGTAACTCTATTCTGGCCGCGCACATTTCATCGAAAACCCTAGGTCGTCCCGTTGAGCAAAGCCATTTGAAAAGTCGCTCTGTGGCTAGCTAAGAAAGACACTTGTTGCCAAATCACAAATGGATTAACATACTTCTCTATTATTATAACAAATTCGCTCCAGTGGCTTTTTATGGAAAATTGCGTGGGATAACTTTCTTTCTGACAGGAACATTATGTCTATTTTTACGTATTGAATGTTGTTGTCATGAAATCAAAAGTTGCTTAATCTTGTATAGGTTAATATCAAAATGCATGATTATCGATAATTTAACATGAAAGGGATATGAAAAGGAAACTGTGTAGGCAGCAGGAGGGTTTTTATCGGATCTGCCCCCTTTACTGTACTGATGTTGTACAGAAACATAACTTCAACGAAACGTGCTATGATTTCAGCAATGTTTTGATCGCTTACATTGTTTTGAAAACTGGGAAGGACTTTGAATGGCTGCCTGTCAATTATTTGACACGATCTCAATAAATGGAGTTTTACCTGCCTTTTATCTCATGGGTTAAAATTATAAATGCTCCGGTGGTAAGAATTTTTATCCGTTGTTCGTTTGTGAAATGTGTGTATAATCGCAGAGTGGAATATTCACTTGCCACAAATTTGGCAGTAAGTTGTGTTTCCTGCAAGAATTCCTCTGAGCTCCTGGTGTGTGACATCACACATATTTGTTCCATGTAGTACCTAGATCTCTGGGGAGCTTCAAGTGAATCCCCATTTCAATCCAAGCATTGTTTTTGGCTAAGGGGAGGCGTAAATCTTTCTTTGAAGCTTAAAAAGCCTATCTTCAGTATTTCGGTCATTGTAAAGCTGAAACAGTTTTTGATTTCTTCGACACTTTTCAATTGAATAAATTCTAGGGCTATTTTAAAGCATTTTCACCTTTCTAAGAAATAATCTTTCTGTATGACACTCTTTCTGGCTTTGACTCAAACTAATTTTGTAGCAAATTGTTTAGGTATTTTATCGCATTTTTTCATTGTTTTCTTAATTCAGAGATGGCTACGACGATTCATTCGAACAATTTTTGAAAGAGACGGGCCAGGTGTGAATCTCTGTTTGCTGGGCTTCAAGAACAGTTATTCCAGGTACTTGAGTTTTCGTCGAATTTTCGCAGAATTCTTTTGCGCGCTTGTTTTCATTGTAGAAATATGTAAGTAAGATGTCCTATATATATATTTACATTTAATTAATTTCTGTTTGCACTAATTGCAAGGGAGCATCAATAATGTATGTATAAGAGGGCAATAATTCTGGCAGTTGCCATTTAAGGGCTTGTCTGTCCGAGCAAGTAGTTATCGGATAATTATTTTGCGTATTTTCATCAAAACGTAACGAGGGAAGGGAAAAGGATGAAAATGTTGCGAAACCTGTCTAGAATGTTACACATAGAATAAGATCAGACTACGCTAGCTGGAGCTTATATTATGAGCTTCTTGGTAATTCTATCATTTGTTCAAATGGGCCATTATTTCGGTAGGACTATCCAAGATAAATGTCAGTTTTCACAATCTAGCGAGACACTTACTTATAATGCAAGAAAAATCATAGCCACTATCTCAAAATTGCAGTCTCCTGCAAGAATAGTAAGATTCCTTACCTCCATTTTGCAGTCTACATACCTTTGCTTCGTTTTTAGACAGAATTTTCCCTTTGACTTGGCTTGTTTCTGGCAAATACTGCCTTTTGGAGTTGCCAGCGATAATTTATTTCGTGTTTTTAGGGGAGGGGGGGGGTCGTGGTTCATTGAGGGTTTGTGCTTGCTAGCCTGGATAACAAGTATTGAACAGGCAAATACAGTAAACAGCATGCTTAAAAGCAAAAACGTTACCTCCCTGTCTCTCCGATACCTCAGCAGCAATACCCTTGTTGTATAATCATTAGGGTTGAAAGGCGCTGTATCTCCATAGGCTGTTAATATTTTTTAAGGAACTTTAATCAGCACTATATACTAAAAGTTTCTTATTATTGCATCCAAATTAGAGTTCACTTGAGTTCAACCCCGCCCAGGCTCTTCGCCTTTAAACCGTTATTAAAGCATTCAAAAGCACCCAATAAGTCAATTTAAGATGTTTTAACACTGCGAGGCTTTGACTATGCCTGCGGTGTTATAGTAGCTGCAGAATACTACTCGTACCATGTAGAGAAGAAATTCTTGGAAAATGCAGGGAATCAAATAACGTACATTTGCCTACGTTTCTTGAGTATGAGAATAATTTAATTTGGGTAAATGCAAACATTTGCAAATTGCATCAACCACCATACCTTCTGTCAGTATTTCCTTAGCATACACATTTTGTTTGGTTGTCAGTAGCGATTTCCATCTGCTTTTGTATCGCCGCAGTTACTGTGTTGTCTGCTTTGGGGCTTGGTTCTTTGTAGATGTTGTTTTTCGAATAATACGATCGTTAGTTTCAGTTTTTGTTTAGATGCTATGAATTTTTACAAAGCTTTTACAATTCATCTCGGTGTCAGTTTTTTTCGAAAATATGATCAAAGGAACTAATTGATGTTATGTCTTGGAGCTCTGTCCTCTCTGGTGTGTGTGGGAGCAAGAATCAAACATTAAGGAGGATTCGTACCGCTTGTTGCGCGCGGTGAAGTAGCGGAGTATTAAGCTTCTCTTTGGCTCACAGCATGTCAGGTTTCTGTTACTATTGCTAACTGACTGTCTATTCTAGCTTTAAGAATAAGATGGGAGACATAAGAAGATCTGTTTCAGTGATATGTCCCATACAATTAGGCCAAGCGCAGTCAACCGATTTTTACGGCACATGATCGGGGTCTGCATTTTCTGGCGACAAACGTCGTAGGACTGCCACGGCTAAAACATGAAAACATTTTGTTTACTATTGTTCCAGACCGATGTGACACCTTGGACCAATATGACCCGAGAGTCATATCGGTCAAGACCAATATGACACCAGGGTCATACCGGTCCAGGGAGGGTCATATTGGTCTGGGACTTATTGGATGTTTTGAACTAAGCCAAAAATTTGGCTTATTTTAGATTTATCTGGATAATTCTCCAAATTGGCTAGAAAAAATGAATTTTTTAAGCAGCTGCTTCGTTTGTTATTCCTCTGCTTTAATTGCCTCTAAGGAAACACCTTTTTGTCGATCATTTCCTTTGAGACCTTTGCGTTTCCTTTGTAAGGTAAAACAAAGAAAGTTAGGTGTTAAAAAAAATTCAACCCAATGGTGTTCCTTGTTGCAGTTTGAATCAATTCGCTTTTGATAGTGCCATAAGACCAATTGAACATTTGTGCATATCGTCTAGATTTAGAAGGCCAAAGACATTAGATTTCAAAGGCCTTACAATATTTGATAACAAAATAAATTTTTAATAGGCATTATTGTTGCCATTCTGTTTTCTATCTTTTCGCATTGTTGAGTTCCTCGTTTTATTCTTTAAATCTACTTGCTGAAAGTATGTATTTGTTCGTCGTCTGTGAAGCAGCTCTACTGCCGTGGTCTCTTCATTTCATTGAAATTTGTTAAGCTTCTGTCATGGCCTGCGCGCGCTGCAAAAATACATTGAAATTGTGTCAATCAACAATAGGCAGAAACAACGCCAAACGGCAAGGAGCAATCCAACGTAAAATAATGTGATATGATAAGCTAAAAGTTTCAAAAGATTGTCTAATTCGCCTGGAAAAGCCGGCAGAGCTTTCGCTTGCCATTTCTTAAAACAAATTGCAATCGAGGCTAGTAACCTCGGGGGTCATATTGGTCCAGTTGGAGTCAGTCATATTGGTCTGGACAGTCATATTGGTCTGGACCGATATGACCCTGGAGTCATATTGGTCTGGACAGTCATATTGGTTTGGAGAGTCATGTTGGTCTGGACCGATATGACCCTGGAGTCATATTGGTCTGGATATTCATATTGGTCTGGAACACTATCAAAGCCTCTTGTTATCGGGCGTTGAATTTAACTAGCAGATAGGGAGATTGCTTATGCAACCTAAAAGGCATTGAACTAAGGCAGGATCCTTGCATAATCTCAGCTTCTTGTAATGAGACTTCGTCGATCTATTTCTTTTGTACTACGTGGCAAATCGGCAAGGGCCTTTTTTGAGAAACCTTGTGGCAGGCATGCAAAAGAAGAAATGGAGGAAGCTTTTATTTAAATACACTACAAAATTGCGATGAAATGGCGATGCTTTTTTAAATCATTACATAGCTTCCTCCTTTTCTGTAGGTGGCTTGGTTGCTTTACTGTTGTGGTTAAGGCCAATTAAAAATCTCCCAACTCTTAAACACAGTTCTCCGAATCATTCCCCGCGCATGATGCCAAAGTGAATGTGCAGTTTCTACCAATCACAGTGGCTCAGGTTCTATGTCTACTCTGAAGGGATGTGGCCTAGTCATTCCAATATTTGTCGTCCTTAATAATGTAAAAAGACATTGATATCATCAAAATATAGTTTGCTTTTCTCAATAATACCGTATGATAAGTGCATAAGAAACTGTCATAGAAAAACTCGCCGCTACTGACATTTTCACGTAAAAGCACTCTCCACAATGCCTTTGTCATACTTTACAAGCCTCTATCACAAGAGCATGATTGTATTTTGTCATTGGGAGTGATAAATTTTAGACGAATTAACCTAACTTCTTTTTAATGTCTGTTATATACAGCAAGAGAGTAAAGGGAGTGAATCGTAAGGTTTTTACATTTTTTTAAAAGTTTGAAGGGTCTTTAAAGGAACGAATACCGATTTTACACTTGCATCAGGGCCTGCGCCAAAAATGGGGGGGCAAGGGGGGAAGATCTTCCCAATTTTTCGCTAAATAAAAACAGCTTAAATTGTTCATAAAGATAAACATTTAGATTACAACAAACACGTTGAACCAAGAGACACAAGTAGAGCAACGTCGAAATGTTTGCCACAGTTGGGTCTAGAGGGGGTGTATTCAGTGGCATGGGCCTTGTACATACATTTTAGATTTCATTATCCTTTATGTAAGATGTATGTTGGAAATCATTCTAAGATAGCAAATATGAGATCAAATCACGCTGAAGATATTTGAGTATTAACGCACTTTGTCGTCACTACATAGAAACTAATTGGCTTGTTGATTTTGGTCAATTATTTTGCCAATGCCTAATTGGTGTCATGCAATGGCGTGCTGGGGATGAGATCGCAGGGGGGGCAAAGAGTTAAAATGGCGCCCCTAATTTAGCTAACTTCAAATTTTCCTTCAAAGTTTTGGTAATGTGCAGAACAGTATAAGATATAAGAGCCTGGAGGCACGCAGATCTGTATCTTTTTCTGTGAACGTCCAGGTGATCTCCACCAACGCGTAGCATGACACGAAATCAAATTTGTTTCTTGTGCTTCACGAATTTTCGGAAATATTTCCAATAATGCCTTGAAAACTGAAACATATCTAAAAATAGAAACTGCTAATTTTCTCTGTCCTGCAATACCTCCGATTTGTATTTAAGCTTTCTAAATATGGTTGAGAACAGACAACTAGCCCTTCTAATTACTGCACCTACGCGAAAAGCCCTGCCGCCGGATCAGCATAACCATCTTTAAAAAATGTTTCAATTTTCTGCTAATTAGATTGTAAATTCGCTGCAAACCTTTCGCAATAGCTCACAATCCCTTTTTATATATGAACCCGTAAATTTATGTTCCGGCTGGCTGCTGTCTATTTCCACACAACTATTTTCCACACCACACGTCTATTGCAAAATTCATTGAATTTCAGGCCCATTCAGGCAATCTTTTTTCAATGAAGAAACAATATTCGGGCAAGATCCTTAATAGATCACCCTCCCCCCCCCTCCCTTCCCTCCCCCTGTAACAGGTTTACTCTCCTGTCACATGTCACGCATGCGCCGTTAATTACTTATCATATGATTTTTATTTATATATATTGTAAATAGAGATTTGATTGAGAGTTTTTAGTTGATTTGGTTTATGAAAGATGATCACGTAAAAGTGCGTGATTATTTGCCTCACGCTCTACCAATCAGTGTTATGAAACGCCTCTTACACCCCATCCCCCCCACCTAACGCTTCGCCTCCGCTACACTCATGAGCAAAGGCAATGGCCATATTAAAGGTATAAAACTGAGATGAACTGCTGAAAGATTCTATAAATGTGATTTATTTTCAAACATTATATACATTTGCAAAAGACCTGCATAAGTAAACTCAAGCAGGCCGAAAGAGAAGACCGCTGAAGCAAATGATTTTGAAAATTCACGGCACTTTTCAGAACAATCGAACCGCTCAATTACAGCAACAGTTGAGGGTCGATTTAAAGCGTATAGATTTTAAAGCAAGCGATAATGAAAATGTAAAAATAATAACAATTTCATATAAAGTTGGGGTTTCACAGACAAAAATCTTGCTAATTAGAAAAACTGTGCACAGTAAGAGACATGCAAAGAAATAGATTCTACTATTTACAAAACAGCTTTAATCATTAATGTTTTTGATGTGTTTTTTAAGAGTCTTAAACCAACAATAGAAATCCATACTTTATTAAGTTAAAAAACAATTTTGCAAAGAAGTCTTTTAGGTGAAAGTCGCTTTCTTAAGTCAACAGGAATAATATGGTGATAAGAGCCAACAGAAAATTGATGGGTGGTGTTGTCCCTGATGACTGATGTTGTGATGTCTTTGCTGATGATTATAATGTCAAAAATGATGGCTATGGTGACATGGCTGAGGCTGTGGTGTCACATCTGCTGTCCGCGGTGTCATGGCCGATGAGCATGATGTCGGGGTTGATGACCGTGATGTCATGGTCGATAACAGTGAAGAACGCCCATTTATAAGTTACCATGACAGCGCCTCAATGCCAATTTCTTAATATATTATGAAAATTTGGGCTATCTTGAAAATTGGAATGTGGAATGCTGGAATGTTGGAATGTTGGAATATTGAAATGTTGGATGGGTTATGTTTTCTAAAACCTTTATAACTACATCCTAACAAGTACATTTGTATTTATTTTGGGTTCATCAATACAAGAACTTATCGTGAAGGAAGGTACTGCCATGCAAAGCATAAATTTCTTCTATTCACATTCCAACATTCCAACATTCTACGTCTTGGCTGGACAATTTAAAGTACCCTAACAGCATCCAAAGGCCTTTTTGCAATACATTAATTAAGATTGTAATTTCCTTTTATGTAAGAATCAAGAATTTTTTTGATAAAGAGAATTTGTTAAACTTATATAGCTTGGAAGCTTGGAAGATTGGTCGCGGTTTAGCAGACGATTTCGCTGGATTAGAAAGAGAGAGTTTAGGGTCTCCTTCCTAACTGCAGTATATGACTCAATAGTATTTTTGTCATCTCATCAAATTTTTATTCCAATCGCACAATTTTGCGTGACTCAAATTGACTTTTTATCAAAATTAACAACGAAGACAATAATTGATTCGAATAGCTATTGTTCTTAACCATGGGTAGCTTATTACATTTTAAATTGGTTTTTTTTCTTTACCTTATGCTAAAAGACCAACCACCAGTTTAATTTTTTCTTAAACTAGTTGAAAGATTTCAGCAATCATCGATTCAAGGCGTAATTCACCGATTCTAGAATTCTGGATATCTATTTACCGTTGTAAATGTGCTAAATATATAGTGGCCATGATTCTTTAATGTTTGATTTCTTTGCCTGAAATTTTATGTTTTCGAAATTTTATTGCACCATTTAAGTCAGGCAATGCTCAAAGTTGGCGTAATGTGTATTTTAGATTATTTTTCAGCGAAAATCATCAGGAGAATAATGAAAACAAAAGTATAAATGGATCCTTGATGATTGCATTACTAATAAAACTCGAAGCACCAACTTAAAATCTTCCTGTTCTACACACAAATCGTAAAGATCCTATGTCCACGGTGTTCACTGCAAAAAGCAGTAAACAGCAATCTTTTTTACATTGAGTAGTACTGTATAGCACCTGATATCACGCCTGGTATAGAGGGATTTCGCAGAGCCTACAAAGATGATTTTTTGGAGGATGTTTCATAGGCTTGTTAAAGGCAGTCTCTTCCCCATTGTTCTCAGAATCTCTTATCATGGCCACGATATTCATACACCATTGTTTTGATGCACAACTTACCAATTAGAATGAAGAACCACAATAGCCTACTTGCCCAGAGCGAGTTGTTGTGAATTTTGTTTTGGTGTCAAAGGTCTAAGTCAGTTACGAGGATATAAAGATTAAGAATTTTTGTCGCGTTCACCCACAATAACCAATGTCGAATTGTGTGAGGTTTTTGAGTTAGAATAAGCCAATCACGGAGGGAACATACTGCCTTCAACTAAGGATAGACGCACTCTGTGGGTATTGGCATCGAAAAATGAGTCATAAATGAGATCATAGCAACTTTGAAGTCAATAATTTCATAGATATTAGAGTAGAGTGAATGGAGGCTCTAAGAGTTTATTCTTGTCGTTTCTTTGCCAATCCTATTTATATTTCTATCACTTTGAGAGGTAGTTGCTAATTTCTGCGAAATGCCAGTTTAAGCATATTTCCTAACAGAATACATGCTTGCCACCAGTTAAGTTTTTGTTCAGGAAATTTAATCTTATCCTTACCTTAATGCAATTGCTTGAGCATTGGTTCATTTGCGTCAGGAGGGTTACACATGAAGCGCAAAGATTCGCGTATACGTGAAAATTAATTATTCATCGAGTCCTACAGCAATATACGACAATCCTTCTGTTTGCTTCTGGATACTCGCCTCGCAAATAAGCGTGTAGACGCTGTAAACGTCACAAATTGATTGTGGAAACGTGCGTATTCTTTTGAATTCTTTGTTGATACTGTTTGCCATTGAATTACCGATTAGCTTTGGATACTGATGTAAAAAGTCTGTTGCGAAATTTCTTTGATCAGCAAAATCGGTTTTTTGGACGATACCAAATAAACGTGCTTGATGCTGGACTATGAACTAATGGAAAGCAATCAGAAATTGTAAACATGTCGGCGGATATCTGACTTCGGCAGACCAGTTTTTGCTTAGAAACGCCAATTTTGTTGCTCATTTAAAGCGGTAGTGTTCGTTCAGCTTCCTTCAAGACATTGATATATTCACCATGATGACAGCCTTTTTCTAAATACTCTGTATAGCTCGCCAGTGACTTTCACAAAAATTTGCAGGCACGCAAGTGCAGCTTTACTCTGAAGTTGCCTCCATCAACTATTTCTTTGCGATGAACTCTGGTGTGTGCACGGAAAGAACAGGTCGTCTTTTGGATGGTGCGTAATACACCTTCTACATAGTGTTTTTGATGAAACCTTCGTGGAGGTAGTTGAAGAAAGTTGTTCTCAATTCACAGAGGTAAGCAGCGATTGATATTTGACCTCGCAGTATTTGTCTATTCAGTTATATTTCAGCACTTAATTCTTTTTTTACTTCTGTGCCCGGAGCTTCCTTGCTGAGCAAACCAAATCGATTCATTATTCCAACATTTCAATTATCATAATTGACAGCATTTATCCAATTCTCAGCAAAGCCATTATTTACACATTCATTTTTTCAAGCACTATTTAAACAGTGAAAGATTTAGAGCAATTATTCGACTTAAATGCTTCAAAAAACAGTTCAACACTTCATAGCGAAATCTTCCCTATCAAGGAATTAATTTGGGAAGAGCCGGGTTAGCAAGCACTGTTCCTTTTGAAATTTTCTCATAGTGCGCTGTTGGAATTCAGTTGCTGTATAGAACTGTCTTTTGATTTTTATCAAAACAGCTTGAAGAATATTTTTGGATTTGCCAGTAGATTCCTTTGATAGACATTTCCATACCATAGAAATCAAACTTTCCAAAAATCAGTAACATGTTGAGTATATTTTGCTGAAAAATCCTCATCTTTGTCTTTGTTCACGAGAATTTGAAAATGGCTTTAAAAAAAGCAAACATTTTACAACATATGAACTAAAAGCTTTTTCGTCTGACACTCCTCATAGCATAAAACGTCAAAATGAAGGCCCGAAAAACAAGCCGCCATTGTGTAAACAGAAGGAGTTCGTTTTCTCTCTTGGACTCCAGTGGTAATTTTTCTATAGGCACGCAGCACTGATTGGTCAACTATACCGGTCTTGTGCTTGCGTTTATCTGATTGGCCAAATTTTGATCCACAACTGGGTATATATTTTTTATCGTGTTCTTTCGGACCTTCATTCTGACGTTTTATGCTCTGAGCAGTGTCAGACGAAAAAGCTTTTAGTCAATAAGTTGTAAAATGTTTGCTTTTTTCAAAGCCATTTTCAAGTTCTGTACCGCCAAAAACTGTTCATGAGAGTTGTTGGGTTATAACATGCATTACATACTATGCAGCCTCGATTTATTTCGTTTGGTATATTTCAAGGCATGTATTGATATCTGCTATTGCCTGATGATCAATATCGGAGTAGCAGCTTAGAACCGTCCTGTTCTCTGCACCAAACGCATGTACGGCTCTGCTCTGCCTATACGGCATTGAGCACTTCATGACAGACCCGTAAACATTAGTTTTCTTTATTCATAAATATTGATATATAAATATGTACTTCTATTTTCCTTGGAATGAAGAGGTGAGAGTTGAAAGAACTACTTCAATTCATAAACCTAATTTTAGTAGAAAGAACATTTTGTCATAGATCGTCATCCGTTTATAACAAGATACACGCCGATAGGCTCTGATATAGATAAAACTTTATAAGTTGCTAGATAAGTGGTTGAAAATAGGGAGAGAAAATTCGTTACTCTGGATCTGGGCTAATTGGCAAAACGTGTACGAATCAATTTTGTACGTCAAAGCTCGTGTTTGGAATTATGGCTGGTATGTCAAGTTTTGCTCCAACTGTGTTAGCTAAGCTGCATTCCCGGATCATGTAAGTGGAGGTATTGGGACAGCCCTGGGGATAGCCCTGGTGATAGCTCTGGCCCATTTTCATACATAAAACCAGGTAAACACAAAATAGATCTTTCCCGGTTTCCATGTCTACAGAATAACATTGCGTAATGGTACATTAGATTTGCAATGCGTGAATAGATAGTTTTGATGCCCGATCAAATTCTGAGATCAACACGACCTTACAAATAAAGCCTCGTTACTTTTGCTATGATTTCCTTTAGTGCAATACAAGCCCTCTCTTTCCTGCAGTTTCCCTATTCGTATCGTCGCTAGTTTTCCTTGATCTAATGCTTAAGTGCTAAAAATTAATAGCTATGTTTGCTATTTAACTTTGATCAGACGGAACAGGCCATTCATCGAGCAGTTTTATGCTACTTTATATTTTTTTACTTATTTAATCCCACAAAATGATACGAAAAATCGCATTTTCTAATCATAGAATTTGTAAGTAAAATTGACTACCTATATACAAAGAAGATACTTTGCCCGACCAATCGATATAATGAGCAATCGAGATAGGATAGCCAGAGAGAGGATTGTGCAAAGTAAGGGCCAGGGAGGTTAAACGTCAGCTAAAGGGCTCACGTCAGTGAAACATAGCGAAAGCAGCTCAACTTCTAAAGATTTGGCGATGGAGTTTTGGCTTCTACTGTTTATAAGTTACCGGATATCAATTCCTTGCTGCCTTCAATATCTCCCCCAGCCCCCTTCAACGTTGTAACTGGTTTTTATATCCAAGTTTAATGTGAGCAAGGTATCTTTAATTGCTGCTTTAAAGGAGTTCAGCATTCAAATTATGGGCTCGAAGCCACAACCTTCTTCACAGTTGTCAAGTGTCTTAATCAGCCAGCTATTTTACTGTTTTCTAACTTTTACTTTGCCCAACAGCTATTCTTCTCGGAAAGATTTAAGTTGAATCCTCCTCTTTGGAAGTTTTTCTCCTTTGGTCATTTTATAAAGATCGGAGGAAGCCACTAAGAAGCCCACAAGGACCCAAATTCAGTTTTTTTGGCAATGGCGGCAAATACTTGATGAGAACACGGATTAAATGGTCAACAATTAACGATATTAATAGAAATGGACCTAAACACTGTAAAAATAATTGTAGATGATCTCTCGCGATTGAAGTAATCTGTCACTCAAAGTAATGTGTTTTAGTAATTGAGTAATTGTTTTGGCTACACACTTTCATATTGATGATCTTTTACATAGAAAGCAAGAAAAACATATTTTAATCGTATTAGATTTAAATACAATTGACAATAATTGAGCGACAGAGGCTAACTTAGATAATTTCAACTACGAGCTTCGATTGCTGATACGAAGTTGATCATCCACATCAATTGCTATCTAGTCCAGGTTACTTTGTCAAAAAACGATCTTGAAAATGCAGTGTAATAATAACAAAAATTAGTAATATTTATACAGGTTTACCTGTTCAGGATAAAATTCTGTTACCAATCAATTATCTGCTGAGCAATAAAGGATGCAATCAGTAATCCAAAATTAAATTAAGTTAAAACTGTGTTCAAAACTGTGTAGTACAATCTGTTTTTAAAGGCTCTTGCTCAACCAGCATGCTTTGCGATTACAACTCAAAAAGTGGCCTAATATCGTACTGCATGAAAATACAAAACGCAATCAATTTCTCAAGATAGCTGCCGCTAAGCATGCCGGTTGTGCAATAGTCTTTAAAGATTAGTTTCCGCTTAAAATGCACAAGAGAAACTTCAAACCGAATGTCCTTGTCACATTATTGCATATTCACAGATTGACAAAAAACCTTCTATGCCATAACTGTAACTTTAGTAGATTATTTTAAATGTTGATATAGGTTATGTATTGTGATACCACAATGAGCTTTTAATTGTATATTGTAATCCTGGACTATGGATGCATAAAAATACTCTGTAAATCTATAGCAATACCTATCAGCTGGCCATTGGCTGTTATCAAGATATAATCACAGCATGGCAGACATTCAATAATAGCAAGCGAGAACCTGCATCAATTTCCTGCAATGTTTATTTAAAGATGGGCGTGTTTGTGGACTTTGGTTGCACGCTGCGCGTGAAATCACGTTTAGCTTATATCTCAGGAAGACTTTTGAGGAAGCAGGTTGATGCACCCTGGGGAAATACCAGTTTTAATCTGATTTTGAGAATTTTACAGTTTACATGGGATTCTTGGTTTCAAAATGCTCGTATGAAAATGCAAAGTAGTGTTGTATTCTGGGGAATTGATCAATGTTTGAAGTCTAAAGTAAAAACATGTGCAGTAGGTCATACTATTTGAATGATGTTTTCATTGGTTTGTTGATATCATTTATTCATAGTAGAGTTTTATTCCCTCCAAGAAGAGAAGAGAACTCAAAAGTTTATTTACTTTTTTCTTTCGTATTCTTCTCTTCAGAAATTATATGCATGATAAATCGTCTGACTGAAAACTGAAGGCAAAAGCATTTCATGTTGTTTAGATAACGGACTTCTTGTGTTGGTTACAAATGACATTTCATTTCCACTCTTCCACCTCCTAATTGCAACTTTGTCTCCAATGACATCAACTAACCTTGTTGTTGTTCGTGCTTTTTGATCGTATTAATATCACTGGTTTGTGCAATTTTGCACCATTCTGAGAATTTTACTCTGGCTTCACAATTTTTCTTCGCATTAACAATCCTCGCAGGCAAAATTATCTTGCCACCAGTTTATAAAAATTTGTCGTTACTCAACGCAACAGAGTATAAAAGTGAAACGAGCATACCTTGCATGGTAAAAAAGTTACGGAAAAGCGTATATGATATATATATATATCATAGATTGAAGAAAGTAAAACTACATGGTTTATCTCTCTACAAGCCTGTTTCGTGAGTAACTAACTCTTCAGGACATGTTTTATATATATATATATATACATGTATGCGTTCCCCTCCACCCACCACGTAGGGTACTCATTCTTCGTACACAAAAATGATGTTGATTTTAAAGCATATTATGCTAAAGTATGTTAATGAGGCATAAAGTATTTAACTCCAATACAACGAGGGTTCTAAGTTGCTACTCCGAGTTTCACGCTTAATGCGATCATCAAGCAACAGTTGCTCTGATGTTCTACCTATATGGCATCGAGCAAATACTTAAGAAGACGTCATGTTTTCGCTGGCAACTTTTCAGTCAATTTTCAGCAGATTTGATTAATTTTTGCACATTGCAGATTATTCCGTCACTTCTTTAGATTTTCAAAACATGGTAATTTTACGTTTCTGTTTAAAGCAGTCCTGGGACTTTGTTAATCAGGCTCTCTATTTTAAGCAACAACTCCCAGAGATATTAAGTGCATTAAGAAATCCTGCCTAACTTACCCTAATTGCAGTATGTATACATTGGTGTTTCAAAGCCCTCCCTTAAAGGATTTATGCTACCTATTTTACCCTATCATTTT